CAACACTTTTCCGCTCATCCGATAACCCATCCAGGGATAGAAACCCTACATTTAACCGTGCCCCGAAATATGGACGCGACCCAAAATATGGATGCGATACTCGACAACCTTGTCCTTCCTTCACTGCAGAAGCTCCTGATGAGATCAGTAACGACTGGCCTGACGTCCATGATCGCCCGCTCCGCCCCACCTCTCACTGACTTGACTATAATGAACACTGTACTGGGAGGCGAAGAAATCTCCCTATTGCAGAAGATGCCCAGTGTGCGCGACTTGTGTCTGCTAGACACATGTATAGCCTGGTGGTTCTTTCGGCGTGTAGGCTCTACGGCCAAGTTCTCGGCGTCTCTGTCAGATGGCAGGGTTGAGCCGTTCCTTCCCACTCTCTCCTCGCTGAAGATACGGTGCGAGCAGGCGTATCCGTGGTCGTCTTTCGCAGATTTGTTTGGCCTGGATCCGGATCCGGATGTGCAGAGTGGCGATGATAAGACGCAAGTTTGTCAGCCTCTTAGGAGGCTTTTCGTTGAGATGGAGCACGCAGGTCCAACGGTGTTGCGCTATTATGAAATGGAAGACCATGAAGTGGATCCTATCGATGAAGTCACTCTCTGGCGACTACGCACACTTCAAGCCGCAGGAATTTCTATCGAAATTTATGATCATCGTGGTACCTTACTTTTTGGAGCCAATGATGAGGACGAGGATATGTCATTTTCTTCGGAGTGAGTTTAATTTCATTTCGAATATTATTTACCGACACCATTGGGCAGTGAGTTCAATGTTTATGGTCTCCCCTTTTGCAAGCTGACACCCTCTAATCCCGTTCGTGTTAAGGATCGACACAAGGCGTAGATACCAACTTCGGTACAAGCCACAAACAAGATGGTTAGATGCGGATAGTGCTCAAGAGGAGCGGTGCAAATCCATAGAACTAGAGTACCGAGCAAGGAGATGAGAAGTAGGGGGAGTACCGCTCCCCGTTCCCCCCTCCCTTTGCACTTCATTTTGAACTTGCATTAGTTCAGAATCATAGTGGCTGAGTGCACGAAATTAGGAGCTGGGCATGCTGGCCCGTCTCTGCTGCCAATCACAATCTTGATCTCGACCACCACACTTACACTTAAATTCTCCTCTACAATGCAGACGTGCCCCAACTGTGGTATTGACGTGCTGAATATCCCCAAAACTACAGATCTTTCACCTATCGCCTCCCTCCTTACCACCAACAATCCTCCGGAGCCGCAAGATGAAGCCATAGCCAGTGAGCTCATTGCATCTTCTGCAGCGTGGATCGTACAGATTGATGGGCTAATCACTCAAGTGCACCATATCCTTGACGGCTTGATCTCTTGTCGCGCAGAATACGAATACCACTCACATCTACACAAGAACGTTATCCGTAACATCCGTCGCATCCCAGCCGAGATCTTGGTGGAGATCTTCCTCCAGACCATCATCGACAGCGATCCGAATGACATATGGGCAGTAATCAAAGTTTGTCGGCACTGGCGCGAGGTTGCACTCGCTGCACCAACACTTTGGTCCATCTTTCCTTTCAACCCGTCCATATTACCCACCGCCATCCTATCATGCCTCTCGAGGTCACTCCAGCTCTCGCGTCCAGCTCCCTTGAATCTGAGCATCTCAGGTAAACCATCCTATCCAATCTGTCCACTTCAATTCTTCATATCCCCTGACTCAAAGCAGATTACCGGCCTCACCGTTCACGATCCTCTGCACTCCAGCCAATCAAAGTTGTTTTGGTCCTCAAATCCCCTACTCGTGCAGTGGGATTCTCTCAGGTCTCTTAAGCTACAATTCCCAAGTGCTGAACCTCTGGGAGCTGTCCCGATTACCGTATTTCAACATGCGCCTCTTCTCCAAGACGTCGACTTGAACTTCACTGACCGACAGAACATTTCCTCCATTATGAGCAATGTCCTTCTCCCTTGGTCTCAACTATGCAAGTTATCCATCTCAAATACTGCCCTCGATGGTGTCTTCACTATCCTTCAGGTAGCGCCGGAACTAGAAGAATGCCACATAGAGTCGACTGATAGATCTATGCCTTCCAACATTCCTACTCTCTCCCACCAATTTTTGATGATGCTTCATGTTACTGTGTGGAATACAGAGGTCACACATGGAATCTTTCACCACCTCACCCTACCATCACTTCGCAAACTCTCTGTGGATGGATGCGCTCTGGACATCAGTGTCATTTGCGCCCTCATCAAACGGTCATCTTGCAGACTCACCTTTCTAAATCTCCCCACAGCCAATCCCCTCATGGCCGATGACTCTCCGAGTCTCCAGCACCTCTTCTCACTTCTCCCAGATGTGACCGAACTCTGCATTTATATTTCTTTAGCATCCTTTGACCGAATTGGGGCCAGGTTAGCACCTATGCTCCTCCCCCAGTTGCGCCATCTCTGTCTCGAAGGGACCGGTTCCAGTAAAAGGTGTGATCTGGCAGCCCTTCGCAATATTGCGTACACAAATGTTCTGCCTCTTGAAACAATCATATTCACCACTGAGGGGAGGCCCTTGTATGAATTGATTCCTCATTCACCAAATTACAAAGACCCCCAGATCCGAATCCTCCATCAGTGGAACTGTCAGCTGGTGGAGCTGACTCGTTCTATTCACGACGTTGGTGCCATGAAGGACGACAGTGCGTTTCACCGCGATGTACGTTCTCAGTTTCATCTTGGGGAGACATTTTTAAATGATTCAAATATTCTCTCTTACAGCTGAGCCGTATATTGTCGCTTATGAGTAGTGAATCTGAGACGGGTATGTCTGGTGAATATTTATGCCACAAGGTGCGTGTCATTTCATAACCACCGTCGCATCGTCATTGATCAAAACTAATTATAGACTGGCCGGGGCGTCTTCTCCAGGCTTCAAGGGCTGTTGGAGCAAGTACCAGAGAGCCTCCACCTGTGTATTTCCGCGATTCTGGCTCTGTGGTTACCACGCATTCAGGAATATAAATCATACAGGTGGATGGAGAACTCCCTGGCGAGGACTACAGTATATACACGACGACAGGGCTCACTGTACGTCAAGGTTCGGGATCGGGAGAAGGACCGCTTTGCTTCATTTGGCCTGAAAGATGGGCACCTTACTCTACCGCTCAGATACTATGGTTGAGTTCTACGTGTTCGCTACTTCATGAATATCAACTGCACGTCATGAGACCAGCGCGAAAAGATGGCCTCTCTCACTTGTGAAAGCCTATAGCGTCTCGGAAAGCGACGAGATGGCATGAGCCCCAGTTGGGGACATGGACGTAGGAAAGGAAAGTATCGAGATCTGGGCGCCTATCTTGCTTATCTTGCATCGAGGGCAACTGCCGAGCGTGGTCCAGACCCAGGAACCTGGCCCGTGCGGCCATCCAGTCCCACGGTTCATCCTTCCTGGAAGACGTATTCCTTCTTGCTCCCGACTTCCAACTCCGTTCACCAATGGTCCGCTACCCACCACCTTCTCCTTCTTCTCCCCATCCTACTCCTCTACCCAGCTCGCTCAACCCACCACTGTGCATCCCAACATAGGAAGAAATGATCCAATTCGCACCTCCCGGCAACTTCGAAGAGAGGGAACGAAGGGAAGAGACGACGAGCGGAAAAGAGCCAATGAGAGTGTAGGGAAAATGACCATGGGAGGAATACGGGACAAGAACATAGGGAAAGGGGGTACGATGAGGGCGAATAGCGGGCGCCTTCGAGTGCGTCTTTGGGTGGTGTTTATCGAGAAGACTAAGGTTCTCGTACGTTCATGTGTGCTCAATCGTGAACGTGAACTGATTTCTGCGGCTCGTGGATGGATAGATGCATGCCATAATGAGACTATGAGCCTCATACCTTCGCTGAAAGAGTCTGTTGTGCATTTGTGCGGATACAGGTCCTCGTGTACGCCGAAGACCACCAGAGGATGAAGGAGCACCTGAGTATAATCGTTCGATCTAAGTAAGGGTGCGTCTCGCCATCAGTCCCTTTCTTTCATTAAACTAAAGTGTAGGATAGTTTGGGATCGTGTGTACAGGACGTTAGTCAACCTGATCGCCCATCTATCGTTCAACATACACACTACAACCCATCGGTAACCCTACTCAATCGATCCGCCTCGAATTCCTCCCGCTCGCTGTCAATGTCGACCTCGCCTTCGCTTCCAACCCCAGTTCAACTTCAACCCGCCTTCTACCTCAGCTTCGGGCACAACACCACACTGCCGCTTTCCACTCACGTCCACGGCCAAGTCAGCGCACTGCTCTCGCCCGACATCTTCCCTTCAGAATCGAAGGAGAGCGGCTTGACTTCACATGACTGCGATTCTGTTCGGAGGGCCCACGAAAGGGAAGTTGAAGAGCAGAGAAAGGGCCTGGCAGCTGGGGGTGTGGAAGGACACTAATACTTTAGAATCGGGGCTGAGGTGCGATCATGGGCCAGGGCACGGCACGGGCATGGGAAACGCAGTGGCAGAATGCACTACATCCAACTCCAGAGCCAGGACACCAAAGAAACCCTGGGCCCGCCCTGTATCTGGTTCACTCGTGCTCGCGCTGGTCGTCCGTGTCAGTCAAGACGCATGATAATTATACGGGGACATTGAGTGTCAGCTGTTTTCATTCTCTCCTCCTAACTACACCCGCCTGGGCTCCTAAACCTCGCCCCGGCGCACATAGAGCCCTCGGCCGCGTCTCTTTGGGTGAGTCTTCCCATCAGTTCGATTTCATTCATCCGTTTGCCTCACTCCTTTATTCCCTCCGTTCCATGTCACACTTCGATCATCAAAAGGCTTATTGCTTCTTTCTAGGCCCAGGGGGTCTCTCTCCGTCCCTACATCCTCTATCGCGTGATACTTGCGGAGATCACTAAAGAGCTAGCGTCTTGTGTGCCCTTCGGTCGAGTTCTGTGCTCTATGGTGCTGACCTTCTCTTTCCCCCTTCCATCTGTCTCTCCTCCTTTTTATTGCGCTTACATTTACCCTGCATCTCGAATACCCTACACGCATCATCTACGGACCTACAATGCACTTCCTTTTTTTCATTACTTTGTTGCGTATACTCTATCCCGTCACCCATGTTCGCGTGCGTTTTCCGTTTTCCTCTTCTCCTTCTACATTCTTGGCGCCTCTGCTCCCATTTCCTCTCGAGCTCGTCCTTTCACCCCACTTTCATGACGTGTTACCTACACACGCCTGAAAGAACAAGAGAGATCGAGGGTCTTGCCAGGCGGAGGACAGTGTACTGGCTGACGCTCCTCCGCGCAACTACGGAGCGAGAAGAGGCGGGGCAGGCGCCGGGAGAAGACAGGGACGAAGAAGGATAGGAGGAAGAGGAGGTGTTGGTGGGCGTGAAGGAATGGGCGGAGGGGCAGGTTGCTGGGGTTGCAGATGTCTCAGGCACGGAAGATGTTGCATGATAGCGGGGCCATGGGGCCGTTGACCGTCAGCTAGGCCTCGTGTGCCGTCTTGCCCCATCGTCCTCTCCTCCGATGGGTACGTCTCCTCTATTTATTTCGTTCCCTTTCGGATGTCGACTTCACATTCTTTATTCCTTCTTTTTAGTCTCCGGGCGGCGACCGTCCTCGGCACCCTTCGCTCTTGTCCTGCGGTGACATTCAATCCTTTTCCTCGCCATTCCTTCTGATATTCCTTCACGACGCCGACATTCCCTCCTTTCTGCTTTAATTTCGGGGCCTCTGCCCTCAGTCCCTCTCATCCGTTTACTCCATTTTGCGATATGTCACCCGCACATGCCCATCCTCCACTCCTTCCTCGCCACGTCGACCTATCCGAATCTGATTCTCATCTTATCATACTCGTTTCGCACGTACATTCTAGACCTTCCGAATGCCTGCTTTTGCCCGTGTCCGTCCATGGCACTACTACACGATCTCCTTCTGTCTCTTTCTCTCTCTCTCCTTCTTTGGCATCTGCTCTACTTTCTCGAGTTTTCATTCTTCTGACCTTGCCATCATCTTATATCTACAACCCTATGGAGGACGCGCCTTGCTCATGTCGGACGGCAGCGTCCATACCCCGGACTTTTCCCTCGTCGCTCCTCACAAAGCGAAAGGCGGGCGAATATCAAAGCATTTCACAGGCGATGCCCTTTGTGCTCGTGCGTCGAACGCAACCGGTGGTGGGTGCAGGTGTTGAATTCGAACTTGGATTTTCAGTCTGGGTTTGCGCTTCGTTGGACTCGGCGTGGTGAGCCCTATGTTCCTTTGCTTAGCTTCTGCTCTTGACGACCACCTCCTCCTTCAGGCATTCGCAACTTCGCTCCTTTTCCTCAGCGGGAGAGATACGACACGACGAGACTCGGTGATTCCGAGGAGGGGGAACCAGGGGAAGATACGAGGCGAAGAGAGCAAAAAGACTACGAGAGCAAGATGCTACAAGAATATCGAAAGAGACGCTGAGGTGAAGAGAGAGACATTGCGAAGATACTACGAGAGGAAGAGAGAGGAGTTCTCAGTGCTGCTTGCTGAGGAAACCAAGAGGGGATCTCATACGTCGTTCATATCTATTCCGTCTTCAAGCTTCAAGCTTCAGCATGGGCTGATTTTTGTGGGCGTCCATCGATAGAACGTGCCTCATATCTACGTCGACGGGGCCTCTCGCTAATGCAAGGACAGGACCTCGGTGCCGAGAATACATCATGGACCGCCAGAGGACGAAGGAACGGCTGGCCAAGATCATTCGTTCTAGAGGTTGTATCTTGGATCTCATCCTTCTCCACACTCCCTACTCTCTCGTTGATTCGCGTACTTGTGTTTCGTCACTACAGGAAGCTGGGTCTCGGTTCGACTGCCATTCAGCCGGCACAACAGAAACCACAACGTGGCCGCTGCTCGACCCGTCTTCTTCGTCCACAGCCTCCTTTGCCGTCAACGCCAATGACGTCTCACTCAAACCCATCACTATTCTCCCCGCTGAGTCAAGGGAGTAGCCTAGCTCCTCGCGAGCGCGATTCCACTCGGAAGACCGGCGAAAGGGAGTGCTAGAGGCAAAGGGCAGTGGAGACGGAGAGGCAAGGAGAGAGGACGAGTGAGAAGGGGAAAACGTGGGCGAGAGGGACAGAGTTGGCTCGCGGGCATCGAGTGGGAGACGGTCAGTATTTGGACTTACGCTTGTATGTGCACCCGTTGGGGGAGAAGGGCCGGGCGTTGAGGTAGGGGCGAAGAGAGAGCGAAGAGAGAGCAATGCGGGAGAGGATGGGCACGATGGAGAGGGCGAAGAAACGGCGGCGTAGGCTGCCGGGGCCGTAGCCTGTAGGTGTGAGCGGTAACGGCCACGACCACGACTGTGCACATGGGCACAGCTCTGCATCGAGATCGAGATCGAGCTCGCGCACGTCATCCGTGTCGTCCAAGATACATGAGTTGGCTTTAGAGCTCTAGAGTCTTGAAGCCAAAGTGTAAGAAACGCGAACACTCGCCTCGACATTGTCAATAAGTCATTGTCAATAAGTCCTCTCCTTACCTGCCTCGAGCTCGCACGTCGTCTGTTGACCGTTGGGTAGGGCTCTACGCAGTTGCATCGGGGTGCCTGCTATCCTCATCCGCGGACTTTCGCTTCTCCGTGGGGTACGTCCCTTCTTTTCCCCCATGCTTTCTATCTCGACGTTCCATGTCCACGTCAAATAAATCAAATCATCGCTTCTTCCCATGTCCCGGGCGGCTCCGTCCTTCCACTTAGTCCACCCTCTTATAAACGACCTTTACTTCGCCCTTGCTATTACTGTCTTTCTGCCCGCACCCCGCCTTTCTCCATTCTCCTCACCTTTCCACACACCGATTTCCACCCTCGCACGCAACGCATCTCGCCGAGCTTGCCATTTCTGCGCTGGGGCTTTCGTCTGGCTTTTCCGTGTCTTGAAGGCCGACGAAACCCCACAGACGCGCATCAGGTAATCTGCGCACTGTTTGACGAGATGCGTCGTTGTATGCGTTCGGATTTCGTGCGCTTCGAAACGGACTATTTCCTGTGGCTCGTATCTCTCCTCCGCATGCATGACTGATGTTCGTCTTAGGCTTCGTCTCCATGCGATCTGTCGGCCTGTGAGCTGGCTCAGCGCCCGAATCTCGTACAACTCGAATCACGCAGAATCGCAGGTGAAGTTCACTTCGTCTTCTCGTCTATCCTTTTCCCCCTTTCCTTCCTCGATTGAGCGAACGCGCGAGCGGCTGTAGAATCCTCATCAACGAAGCATCCACTCCTCCTTTGATCGTGGATGGAGTGAACTCGTTAATGTTTTTTTTTTTGCGAGAAGCTGTGCGTTCGCTCAGCTCGTTCCAAGGGTCAAAGGGAGTCCCTTTTCCTTCGACACGCCTTTTCGCTCCGTGCATCTTCCCAACGCCGCTCTTCCTCCTCCTCCTTTTCTCGCAGCTCCTCCATTTCTTTCACCGAATAGAGCGCATAGATGCATTTCATTGACAACAGGGCGAACATCTGAGAACGTGGCTATCATCGACGAACAGTTCGTATTCGCGTCCATATGGGACTCGATGAACACGTCGATGTGAATGGTTTTCCGAGGTCATTGCCCTGTCATCACTGGAATATTCGCGTTGGGCACCTTTCACTGGGGTTTTCGTGCATGCCTGGGGTTTGTGAGTAGCGTGGAGGCTCCGTGAAATGACGGAAGTCTCAGAACACTCTAATCTGTGCTTTTACAGCCAGAGGGTGAGTTCTCGTCGCCTGCCTCGTCATTGAGCGCTGAGTGACCAAGCTAATTTTGGCACAGACAGCACGGATGGTCTCGAAACGCCGGCGTTGGATCTTCCACTTAAATACTTGCATGCAATGGCACGAATTCTTGGGGATCGAGGAAATGGTATCGCAGAATTCATGTTTCTCTTATTTTTGGGCATATTCACACGCGATTTCCTTATTTTTTCCCGCACAGAGTTGGGCATAGATTGGCAGGCGTCAACAGCCTCAAGGAAGGATTCAAGCCACGACTCATCGGAGTGAACTCAGAAGGCGGATAGAAGACTGACAAAATCAAAATATGTGTTCTTGAACATATTCGCTGCGTTGGGGAGTCGTGAATAATGTGAGTGGAGGAACGAGTACTTATGAGGACGCGACACGAAAAGATGATGGCGGAATTCTAGTGGTGAGGGTTTTTATATTCACTGAGATTCGTCGGAAGTGAGATACCTACACGTTGAACTATTAGGCACCCATGTCCCTGCAGCGACGGTTATATCAAGAGCGTATACTACTCGTCAAGCACTCAGCTCGTGTGAACCTCCTTCCCTTTCCTTCGAGTTCTCAGTCGGGCCGACCCCGGGCCCGAGTCGCACGGTTCATTTACGGCTTCGATTTACGGCTTCGGACGTGATGACATAGTCTCGCAACCAGCCGTCTTGATGAAGTACACCTGTAGGCTGGCTTCGAGTCTAGTGATGACAGCATCCCACCTCTCTTGCTCACAACGTCCACCTCTTTCCCCCACCCCACTCCACCTTCCTCGAGCTCGTTCATTCACCCCATTCCTCGGCTCTTCAAGCTTCAGTGTTCAACTCCATTCTACGATAGGAAGAGACGGCGACGAGGAAGAGAGATGACGAGGGAAAGGGACGACGAGACTACACGAGCAACACACTACGAGAGGAACCAGAGGAAGAGAATGCGAAGGAGGTGGAAGATAAAGGGAAGAAGACTAGGAGACCGCGTATTGCGGCCGTCTTGGAGCCAGTACTCGGGTGCTGCTTGTCGAGAGAGCCAAGTCATATCCTCGTACGTTTCCCATGTTCATTCAGCCGTGAATATGAACCGATCTCGCGGTTGTCTACAGATAGCACGTACCCCTGACGAGAGGCGCACCTCATACCTTCATTGAAAGAACTCATTGGGTAAGCCTCATCGTTTCGTTGTCGCTCGGGACAATTTAATGTGGGGTTGTGTTGGTGGGTCGCAGGTCCTGGCTGTCGAACGTGTACGTCCTCGACCACCAGACGATGAAGAAGGGTTAAACATGATTCTTCGCTCTAAGCAATGGTGCGCTACCGTTGGTTCTTTCTCTAAACAACATCCTGTTAACTCGCCTGCTCGTGCACACAGGAAGACGCTCAACTGACCGCCGGCCGTTCGACCTCTCCTCAATCCATCCGCTTCAGATCCGTCGTGCTCGGGCTCGTAGTCTTACCTCGCGTTTACTATCAACCCCGCCTCAAATCCAGTCCACCTTCTGCTTCTGACTCGACACTGGCATCGGTATGGACACCACACCACGCCTCCTGCGGCGGGTTATTCCTTTAGCACCCTCCGCCACGTACTACGCGCACGGGGAGGTCGGCGCAACATGATCCCCCATGGTCTTCCCCTCTGAGCCGAGGGAGAGCAGTATTGCGCCACGAGAACGGGAAGTGGCACGGGAAGGAACGATGGAGAGGTAGAGAACGACGGAGAGGGATGGGACGGGTCTAGGGGATGGGCGAGAGGGCTGGCGAGAGGGCCAGCTCGGAGGCGAGTCGGGTGGTGTTTGCGCTGACGCTTATGGGCAACGCGCAGACTGGTGGGCGAAAGGAAGTGGGGCCAGGGGCGGGGGCTGGAGTAGGGGGGTAGAGGAAGTGGACGGCTGGCGAGGGGCGGGAAGCCAGGGATCTGGAGCAGAGATCTAGCGCGGTGGGGCTGGAGGTGCGAACAATAATGGGCAGGGACACAGACACGCACATGCGCCACAGCATTGCTCTGCACCGAACCCCGACAGTTTTGTTGACCCACCACCACCACAACATGAGCATCCTCGAGCAGGGGATCTGGCCCGTCGTCCCCCGTCGTTCTTGTCGTTCAAGCTCAAGATCCAGGAAGGGGCCCATTGACCGTCAGCTGGGGCTCTTGAGCCTATCTCTCTCCTCCCTGCACCTGGTGTCCGCCGCCCCAGTCTAATGCTCGTCCTCGGGCTTTCGCGTCTCTATGGGGTACGTCCTGCCTGGCCCTACCAATTCATCCCATCTGCGTCCAACCTTTGGTCTTCGATCTCTCGGTTCCTTGTACACGTCAAATGTTGACGTCAAAATGCTGATGACTTCTTTCTAGGCCCTGGCAGCACCGTTCCTCTCTGTCTCCGTCCTCCCACTTTAATTCTTCCGCCAGCTCGGCTTTTATGATGAACGACACTCAGCTCAGTTGTGAGTCTCAGTATTCTCATCTTCACCCATTCTGCCTTTCTTTCTCTATCTCGCTGCACCTCTCATTATCAGTGCGCTGGGAGCTTCCTCTTGTCCTTCCATGCGCTGAGGGTTGATGGAACCCTATAGATGTCCGTCATGTTTTCGCGATGTTCCATGAGATGCATCAGTCTATGCTACGTCCGTGCTTTAATTTTCGTGCGCTTCTCAGAAGACGATTTCTTCGCCTCTTATATCTTCTGCGCATGGAAGAGTGCCGTTCCGCTCCTACGTCGCGTTCACTCGATATCTCGGCCTCTAAGTCGGCTCAGCACAAGTGTTTCCTACTCCTCGAATCACCCGAAACTACCGGATGAGTCCACTTCATCTTCTCCTTTTCTCTCCTATCATTTCCCCTTTCCTTCCTCCATTGAGCGAACGCACAACCGGGTGAATACTCTTCATCAGCGGTGTATTCTCTCCTTCACTTATTGTGGATGGAGGAAGCTCGCTAATGTATGTACATTTTCTCTCTCGCATTGTGCGTTCGCTCAGCTGGTCCTAAGGCAAAGGGAAACTATTCTCTATTGACACATTTTTTGCTCCCTTCATCTGCCTAATGCTCTTCCCCTCCTCCTCCTCCTCCTCCTCCTCCCTTTCCTACAGAATTTGATAAAGGGCAGACATACAAGAACGCAACTATCATCAACGGACCGTTCGTACTTATGTCCACATGGGACTCGACGACCACGTGAATGTATACCTCACTCTTCGTCCTCACCCTCTCATCGAAGGAATATTCGCGTTTGCACCTTTCGTTGGTGTTTTTCATGTATGTTTGCCTCGGCCCTGGACCTCGCGTTAGGACTGGGTGTGGAACTGCCTTGGCACGACGAACGGCCAAGAAAGGAGGATGGCGTTTGGATGCTTCATGAAAGGCAACCATATGTCGGTTCGGTTCACCTGTGGTGCCATTCCGGATGAGTGACGCTATATACTAAAATCGGCTTGGTGGCTTTAGACACGAGATGGACGAGGAATCCTCATTCTACTTTTCTCTGTCAGAGAGTCGGGCATATATCAAGAAAGACAACCTCCTCCTTCTCGGTCAGGCCGACCCTGAGTCGCATGGCTCATCGAGTTCGGCACTTTGGGACATGATGATGGCATTTCGATTTCCCTCTCTTGCTTCCAACATCCATCTTAGCGCCTTCTCCACCTCGTTCCGAGTCCTCTTTCCTCCACTACATTCTCTAGCTCTTCGATCTTCAATGTTCAACTCCGCTCTACGATAGCAAGAGAGGCAACAGGAAGAGAGGCGGCGAGGGAGGGGTACAACGAAACTACACACTACAAGAGGAACAGCATGCGAAGGGGGGAAGGTCTAGGAGAGAAGACGAGGAGCCCGCCGAGAATGGCGGTCGCCCTCGGGCGTGTACTCGGGTAATGGTTGTCGAGAAACCCATGTATTCGTACGTCGTCCATGTTTGAATTCGTTCAGTCGTAATTATGAGCTGACTTTGCGGTCGTCCATGCATAGAACACACACACCCTGACGAGATGACGCTTCCGCGCCTCATACCCGCTCTGAACGAGCCTACCAGTGTTGTGTAGGTCTTGCCTTTTTTTATTTTTGACCAAACTTGATATCAATGCAGCTGCGTGTGTGCGTAGACGCTATTTACCCAACGTGCACGTCGTAGACCGCGCAAGGACGAAGGAGAAGTCCGAAAAAGACGATCGTTCTGACTTGGAAGGGTACGCCATTGCTTTCTTTCATTCTTTCTGTTCCCACTATGCCCTAACGAGGACGATGCTTCGGAATCGCGTCTACAAGAAGATGGTCGACATACAGCCCACCTGCCGTTCAACCTGCCCAACCGGAACCTCGGTGTGACGCTGCTCGAACAGGTCGTCGAGTTGGAGTTCCTCGCTTACTCGGTCGACGATGAAGTCGTCTCGGCCTCCAGTCCCACCTCAAACTCCGACTCGACACCGCACCGCCCTTTCCCACTCGATATCACCCTCAGAGGCACGGCCATCGGCCAAGTCAGCGCACCGCTCTCGTTCGCCGTCTTCCCTCAGAGTCGAGGGAGAGCTTAGCTTTTTGCGACCACGGATCCACTCGGAAGGCAAGCGAGAGGGAGCACGGGAGGGAAAGGGCAGTGGAGAGGGAGAGGCAAGGAGAGAGGACGAATGAGAAGGGGAAACGTGGGCAAGAGAACGGAGACATAGAGTGGGAGCCGGTCGGCGTGTGGGCCTAGGTTTGTCTGCGCGCCCGTTAGGGGAGAAGGGGCGGGCGGTGGTGCAGGGGTGACCGGTGCCGGTTAAGAGCGATGAAGGGCTCGAGAGGAATGTGGGAGAGGATGGGTGTGATGGAGTGGGCGAAGGGATGGAGGGGCAGGCTGTGGGGGCTGTAGGTGTGAGCGCGAACGGGGCTACGCTGAAGTAGCGACTGGGGATGATCAAGAAGGGTGCCTATCCCCTCATTGTCTTCTCTACCCATGGCTGATGAATTTAGGACCGACAGGAAGATGGTCGATGTAATAGCCCGCCAACCATTGAGCATACACAACCGCAACCTCTTAGTGACGCTGCTTGATCCCTCGGATTCGAATTCCTCGCGCTAGCCACCCCCGTCGACCTGGCACTCGAACCTCGCCTGTGCCTCTGCCTCAGCTTCGTATTTGGACTTGGGCTCGGGCTCGACACCGGCATTGGCGCAGACACCACGCTGCCCGTTCCCTCCAATCCACCCCCTTTTCATCCTCATACGACCATGGGCAGGTCGGAGCGCCATCGCCATTTCACTTCAGGTCGAGGGATAGCCGTACTGCATTGCAAGAACGAGGACGGGAACAGGACGGACGGACTAAATGGAACCTGGAAACGAGTATGCCCAGAGATGTCGAGTCGATGTTCGAGCTCACGTTTGTCCGCGCACCCGTTGGAAGAGGTGCCGGTGGGGGTGGGGGTGGAACGAAGAGGGGCAGGAGGAAAAGGACGGCAGGTGGGCAGGAAGCGGTGGGGAAGGCAGCTGGGGGCCGGGGCTATAGGTGTGAGCGGGAACAGCCATGACTTTAAGTTGGAGCTAGCGCGCGTCATCCTTCATGAGCCGGCTCTTGAAACCCTCCTGACCGTCGCCCACGCGAATATCGGTGCGCTCATCCTCCTCGGAGTTTCGCGTTTCCGTGGGGTACGTCCCTTCTTTCATTTCATTTCCCCCATGCCTTCGATCTCGACGTCAGAACGCTTATCGCTTCTTTCTAGGCCCCGGTCCGCCAATTCGGCTTTTATAAACGACCCTCAGTTGCATCTGGCTGTGAGTCTTATCACTCTCTTCCTCCCCGCCCACACCCACGTATACTGGCTCTGCATCACGCCTAATCCCCCTTCATCCCATCTACCCATGTTCCCACACGCCGCTTTCCACCCTCCTCGATGATGCATCTCGCCTAGCTTGTCATTCTGCGCTGGGGCATTTGTCTGGTCTTTCCATATGTTGAAGGGCGACAATACCCTACGGACGCGCATGAGGTAATCACCGCAGTGTTTGACGAGATGCGTCGTTGTATGCGAGGTGGATGTCTGGATTTCGTGCGCTTCGAGATGGACCGTGGCTCGTATCTCTTCTGCACGCGCATGACTGCCGTTCGGCCCTACTTTGCCTCCACTTGATCTCTCGGCCATCGAGTCGGTTCAGCACGAGGGCTTCATGCGACTAGGATCATGCAGAATCGCCGGTGGAGTCCCCCTCATCTTCTCGTCTATCCTTTCCCCCTTTCCTTCCGCAACTGAGCGAACGCGCGAGCGGCTGGAGAATCCTCATCAACGGTGTATTCTCTCCTCCTTTGGTCGTGGACGGAGTGAACTCGTTAATGCATTTTTTTGCCAGAAGCTGTGCGTTCGCTCAGCTCGTTCCAAGGGTCAAAGGGAGTCCCTTTTCGCTCCGTGCATCTGCCTAACGCCGCTCTTCCTCCTCCTCCTTCTTTGCACGCTGCTCCTCCATTTCTTTCACCGAATAGAGCGCATAGATGCATTTCATTGATAACAGGGCGAACCGTACGAGAACATGACTGTCATCGACGAACTGTTCGTACTTCCATCCATATGGGATTCGACGAACACGTCGGTGTGCGCTCTGTCATCACTGAAATACTCACGTTTGCACACCTTTCACTGGCGGGTTTCGTAAATGCTTGTCTCAGGTTGGGAAGTGGTGTGGAACTGCCATGTCACGACGAGTGGCCCATGGCCAGAAACCCTAACTTTACTCTTCTGAGCAATCAAGCTAATTTTAGCACGTTATGCCACACAGCGCGAATGACACAGCCGACGCTCCGATACGATGTGTCGAGTCTCCAAACGCCGGCTTCGGATCTTCCAGTGGTATTTACATACTTGCATATAGTGACACGAACTTCTCGAGCTCGAGAAGATGAGACGATGGATCGTCTTCGTCTTCGAAGGAGCCCTCGTGCGAACCTCCTTCCTTTCCCGCATCGGCCCGTTGACAGCTTCAGGGACGCGTTAACGGCATTCCTTTTCTTGCTCCCAACATCCACCTCGTTTCCGCACCACACCTTCCTCGTTCCGAGTCCTCTTTCCTCCATTTCACTCTTCAAACTTCACTTTTCAACGCCGCTGAGCACGATGACAGGAAGAGAGATGACGAGGCAAGAGACACAGAGACGAGGAAGACAACAAAACTCCGAGTGGAAGATACTAGGAGTTGGAGGGGGCTGAATGGCGGCCGTCTTCAGGCGCGTGTTCGAGAGCTGCATGCCCCGAAAATCAGCAGGGTCAACGTCCTGGTATGTCGTTCTTGTCCGTTCAGCCATGAACGTGAACTGACTTTGCGGTTGTTCATATATAGAGTGTACCCCCGGACGACCGCACGCACCTCATATCTTCGCTTAACGAACCTGTTGGGTAAGCCTAATCTTTTCGTTGTCGCTCGGCTCAATTTAATATGGGGTTGTGTTGGGGGGTCGCAGGCCCTCACTGCCGAATGTGTACGTCGCGGGCATCCCCAGGATGAAAGAGTGGCTGAGCGCAATTGTTGGTTCTAAGGAAGGGTGTGTCTCGCAATCTCTTCCCCCTTTCCTCTCCCCACTCCCTCGTTGACGTTTTGTGCGTACAGGATGATTGTAAACGTAACGGCCCTCTGCCTCTCAGCCAGCATATCCCCTTCTTTCCTCGATTGAGCAATTGCGCAAGAAGCTGGTCGATCTTCATATCACTCAACTGTAAGTGGTCACTCGAAACTGATAACTCTAGAAGCTGAAACACGATCGCCTGATTATGTTTTAAAACCTATAGGTCTAACGACGGAGCAGGTTGAAGAAGGTCCATGCAAGTTTCAATGTCTGGCTACGCCCGGCATCTGTATTTATTTTGTCGAGCTTGCCTCTCGGAATCGCTGCCTACGCGTAGTTGATCTTCGAGTCCGATGGTTGCTGACACTCTTTCTGTTCCCTGTCCAATACCTATAATATAACTTTATTCCATCGACGTCGAAAACATGTAAAGCCTTTCATTTCCGGACGAAACTGTGGATCAGACTGGGAAACGGTCAGCGAGACGCACGTGCACGAACCTTGATCTCAACCACGACAGCAAAAACGCTTCCACTATCCAGCTACGATGCAGAGGTGCCCAAATTGTCAATTAGATCTACTCAACATCCCACAGATTCCGGATACCTCGCCCGTCGCCTCCTTACTTACCACCAATGATCCTCCAGAACCGCGAGACAAAACCATCGCGTACCAGCTCATCGTATCTTCCGAGGTACAGATCGCACGAATCAATGCCCTAATCGACTGTAACGAAGTGACCTTTTCGACTTCTTTCCTTCTTTTCGCACACGGTTCCTAGTGTGGAGTCCTTGCCTCTGATTACATAGGCTCGGACTATCTTATCCTCCCTATCTTATCTTCTCTCCCCGTGATTCACTTAGTTACTTTCCCAGGCCTCGTTATCTACTGGTATATAAGTTCGCGTCCGTAGTTTCGTAGGCCCAGTGAATTCACCTCTGTTAAAACCGTCTTGAATTCCTCTGTGTGCCGGCTCCACCCTCTAGTCGCCTTCGCCACTCGAGTCCCAGCCGTCACATCGACCAAGTATCCAATATTCTAGATGGGTTAACAGCTCGTCGTGGCGAATATGAACTTCATGCTCGTCTGCACAGGAGTGTTGTCAACACCGTCCATTGTCTCCCATTCGACATCTTGGTGGAGATCTTCTTCCACAGCGTGATCGATGGCGATCCTAACGACATATGGGCGGTAATCGAAGTTTGTCGGCGCTGGCGTGAGGTTGCACTCACCACACCCATACTTTGGTCCGTCTTTCCCTTCAATCCGTCCGCATCACCCACCATCATCCTATCACGCCTCAAGAGGTCACTCCAACTTTCGCACTCGACCCCTTGTCAGCTTAGTATCTCATTTACCACCTTATCCAACCCAACATGTCCACTTCAAACCCTCGTACTTCCCAACCTAAAGCGGATAACCCATCTTAACATTGAAGAAACTCGGATTAATGAATCACTGCCAATGCTCTCGATCCCCAACGAGCTTGCACAGTGGGATTCGTTGAGGTCTCTTCGGCTCCGTTGTCGAGACATAAACGCTTTCCAAGCACGCACAGCCACCACATTTCTAAATGCGCCTCTTCTCCGACAAGTCGAAATCCTTTGCGACTCGCAAATACTTTTTGGGTATGCGGGCAACCTCCTTCTCCCATGGTCACAGTTACGCAAGTTCTCCGCATCAAAGGTCTCTGTTGATTGTGCTCTGTCTTTCCTTTGTGCAGCATCCACACTCTAAGAATGTGACCTCAATATAGCTAATCCATGGTTCCGCACATCCAAAAGCTTCTCACATCCGTCTTTGTCAATGCTTCATGTCTACTCAGAGCAACGTTCCATTGCCACATCGGATTTACACGCATTCTTTAACTCCCTCACCCTCCCATCGTTGCGTAAGCTCTCCATGCACGAAGTTCACGTGGAAATCCGAATCATTTGCAACCTCATTGAGCGGTCGTCCTGCTCAATTACCTTTCTCAACGCCCCAACACTCTATTCCCCAAACCCCCAGGAGGATCCCGCAATTCTCTGTCACCTCCTCTCACTTCTACCAGACTTAACCGACCTCTGCCTTCCTTTTCGCGATGAATTCTACGAAGTTATTCTCAGCTCTGCGTCCTCGCTTGCTCCCCAATTACGCCATCTCTGTCTCGCACTCCCGTTGCTGTTCAATGAGCAGCTCGCCTTCAAGGAAAGGGGTTCTTTGTTCGTCAATGAGTTAATACCTCCTCTCGAGACCATAATATTCACCTCTTCATTCTACAACATTTCCGCGTTGATTCCTAATCTACCTGATGGGGCTCTTATTTTAGGGACCTTCAAGCAATGGAGCACCTCGCTTCGCTCGCTGAGCGCTCTCGTTCAAGATGCGAATGCCGTGAATGGTGGACTCGACCGTGACGTAAGTAGGCTCTCTGATTCAGCGATCGACGGCGATACCTGATCTCCTGTTCCACAGCACGACCGTATATTATCCCTCATTAGTGCTGAGTCGAAGGTGAATATTCTGACCGAATTCCTGTGCCGCGAGGTGCGCTCCATTTCGTTTCATTTTTGTATTCGCAACCGGGACTGACGGAAAACTATAGACCGGTCAGGACGTCATATCCATGCTTAACCAGATGTCAAAGCAGCTTCCAGACGACCTCTCCCGGCACCGTGAGCGTATCGCCGCGATTCTTGCATTATGGTCGGCGCGCATTCGGGAGCATCTCACCTCGTTCGGGTGGATGGAGGCCTCGAAGGGGAACACCGTGGTCTACGCACGGAGGCAGGGCTCACTGAACGTCAAGGTGCGCGATCGGACGAAGGACAGGTTTGCCTCGTTCGCGCTGCAGAACGGATACGTTACACTCTAAGGAACGATTTGTCCATTTCAAGTTGTAAGTATAAATAGTTACCCTACGACCGCACCGTTTCCCATTTCTGTACAATAAATCTTGAAGGACATTCTAGCAGAGTCTATCGGTGAGATGACATCCATTTGCCCATCCTCAGATATCTTCTATTCCTCCTGCCGAGTCGCTCATCTTTTCGACTGTGTCCTCAGACGTCAAACATGACGGTGATCAACTTTCATGCAGATAATACGGACAAAATTCGTGCAAGAAAGGAGGCACTAGGGATCGTCATCGAGAACCAGGACCACTCCATTGCCACCTGAATCGGCGTATTCCAAGCATGGCCGAGGTTTTTCAAGCCGAAGAGGTACTTCAAGTCTAGAAGCCTAGGTTCGGGCGTTTCTCTCGATCGGCCACTTACTCGCCCAGGTGATTGGGGACGCTACCATCGCGAGAAGAAGAAGGGACGAGAGCCAGAGTCTATCCTGCACATTGAAACGTGATATCACAAGGCTCGAAGGTTCAGAAGTACAAGTACCGTTGCAAAATAAAGGTAGCTGCGATACTTCATTTCGAAGTCATACTTAATTCCTTGCTCGTGTTTGTGACAACGAGTAAGTTATAAGATTGTTCTTCTCGGGCGCGCGAGTCAGGTGGCTCGGGAAGTGAATAGGCGACAGGTTTAACGGGAGGCTGAGAAAGTAGAGAGGACGCAGTTGTCTTCGTGACCCCGGCGACCAGTCTGAGTACATATCGTGACCTGTCTCTCCTGGAGTAGGCATAAACCCTAGGGTAGAGCGTAGGAAGCAGCGAAGGGAGGCAGTTCATGGCTTCGCGACAAGTGAGGCGGGGGGACAGACGATTGCCCATCGGCCCCGGATTCCCCAACGCAGGATCGAAAAACGGGGGTTTACGAAAGCACACAAGCCAGGCACTCTGTACGTTTGAAGCGCAAAGTAACATCGGGCCTCGCCTGTGAGAAGCTTCGTATTGGCCATTTTTCGGTTCGTGGGGTTACGGGTAGAATCACGGGTGCCGAAGACACTGACAGAGAAGAGTGGAAGTGGGCTCGTAGAAGAGGAGTGCTTCGGGATGGAGGGCGCCGAGATAGGGTTTCAGGAATCCGAGTTCGACGTGTTCGGGCCTCTGTTTAACGTTGAAGAACAGATCGCGTATGCGTGCAAGGAGGACGCAGTGCTCTTTTCAAGTCTTCACAGTACAACAGAGGGGACTCAGCAGCGAGGTACTTGGCAGATAGTACTAAAATTTTCATTTCGTGAGTCGTGGGGTAATCGAGGGCAAAGGATTGGATGCCGAGAGGAGGGTTGATGGTCGATGTTCCAACGTTCATCGTTAATATGAAGGTGCGAGAATCTAATACAGAGACGATGAACCCGAATGGTGCTGGTAGCGTTGCGAAATCCGGCGGCCTACCAGACTTCATGGTAGGGGAAGAGGGAAGAGGGAAGCAAACTGGCGTGAGAATGAGGAGCAGGGTAGAAAAGCGAGAACAGAGAAGAGCGAGAACAGAGAAGGCAACGCTGGAGAACCGATTGCTACTAAGTCGATCTACATGCCCAACAATATCAGCACCAGTCTTCCCAAGTGGTGTGGGGTAGAAGCACTCTCGACTCGACTCGGAAGTCGAATGAGAACAACGCAGAGGATTCGAAGATGGCGGACTGGGGCGGCACAATCACGACTCAGAAAGCTAGATGAAGTACTTGAATCAGCCGCGAAAGAAGGGTCCCAGGCGCGCCCAGCGCGGGCTCTTAAATGGGGAGATTAAGAAGAGCAATGTACACACCGTTCTGTACGTTCGATATCTTTCATAGTCGCCCTCTTTCCGTTTCGTAGAGATCCCGGCGTGACGGGCGGGTGTGTGCATCATGAAATAAAGCGAATGGGCGCAGAAAGAAGGAAGTAGAGGCTTCGGGGATCCCGAAGCAGGGAGGAGGAACGCGAATGAGTCACTGTCAGTGACGGGACGAAGGCTGCCGAAGGGCTTGCCGCGGAATGGCAAATCCCGGGTGGCTGTGCACCGCTGACGTCACTTTGGTTCGAGCCGCCGAAGGCGACTGCGGTTCTTCTTGTCGAACCACTTCGCTCTCCTCTACAGCACTAGGCTAGCCCAAGGCCGACGACTGCGGTGCCTACACATCTATAAGCCACGTAAAAGACTCACAGGCGCTCGAGACCCGCTCTTGCGTCTTCGCCACTCCTCACGATATCACGACCTTGAGACCCCCACGACTTACAACTCCCAACTCCAAGCATCGACTGACCGACGCTGACGACTTTCTGTCCCAAGAAGACTGATTACGAAGGAAATATACTAAAGAAAGTACTCATAAAACACGATGGGCTTGGACAACGTTATTCGTAAAGGGCATCCGAGTGAGCACCTCCTCCTCTACCATCCTGGACATGCTGTCTCACCCCGGCCTTCCCCAGTCCTCTTCGGCGCCATCATCCTCTTCTCCATCATCGAGGTCCGTCTCCTCTCATCCTCTCTCTCTCCCTCAACGCGGAGCTAACCCACACCCCGCCCCTCCACTCTTCTCAATCCTGGATCCCCAGCTAGCCATCTCCGCCTGGCTCACCTCGCAATACAACTCCCACCACAACTTCTCCTCGGGCACCCTCCGCTCACGCGTCACCTACACCCTCTTCGTCTCCGTCTGGACGATCGTGCTCTCGTCCGCCTTCCTCGGGCTGTTCTTGGTGAACGCGGGGAACGTCCTCGTTAGTGTGATGGGGCATTTCGTCTTGTGCGTTCTTCTCTCTTCTTTTCGTGTTGGGTTTTGTGTTTTAGATTCGAATTGCTGACGAGATGTGTGTACGCAGCCTATTCGTAACCTGGATCCTCTGGCTCGCCGCGAGCGCAGCGCTCACCGACACACTGGGTGGGACGATCAACTGCGCTACGCAGAGCGTGTTCGTGCACTGCGGACAGCTGAACGCGCTGCTGGCATTCGCGTGGATCATCTGGTGCGTCCTCTATCCGCCCTCGTCCTCCACCGCTACCATCACCTTGTTACTAACCCTCCTTCCACACACTCCTCTCCTCTAGGGCGCTGATCACCATCACCCTCGTCCTCGTTCTCATACGCGGGATCCAGTCGGCGAGGAAGGGAGATGGGTACAGGGGTGGCCTTATCGCGGCTTGAACGTTCTCAACCCTGTGGCGTTCTCCTTTCGTCCCAAGTTTGTCGACGACAGATGTATCTGATAACACGTCCTCCACTCCTCATCGTTCCCGCTCTCATCACCATTCATCCTTCCGTGCTCTAAAAACCCGCCTGCGTCAATTATCTCTCAATGCCCTCCCATCCTCCCCAGCGACTCGTTCCCAAACAGTACTCCTCGCTCAACTCACAAGTTTCTGTATTTTCGTTATCGTTTCTGTTTCTTTTATGTTGCCGTATTCTACAGCCTCTCGAGTTCTCTCGAGCAAGTCAGGAGGTTGAATTTCCTTCCTATCCTCTATGTAGCCATTAGTATGTACGTCTGAGTATTTCTATATGAATCGTAGTTATGATAATTCTTCAACTTCCGATGCCAGCGATTCGATAAATACACAGGCGCGCGAATTGAAAGTAGGTCGTATTCCAAACCTTCGACACGGCTATTGACACTGCTCGCCTTCGCCTCGTCCTCAAGCTCGGGCCAGGAGTGGACGAACGGAATTATGAAGAGAAGCTAGAAGTGTGTCGTGGAGTGAAATATGGGAGTCCTGCCTCATGCGAAAGCCGAATCGAAGAGGAGAAAGACGAGATCCGGTCGCAGACGAGACGTGTCCATTTTATTTTGGACTTTTCAACTAGGAAGTTGGAAAGGAATAGAAGAAACTCGAAAGCATAACCTTCCGTCCCAGAGGGAGGGAGCGGAAAGAAGAGGAAAAGAGGAGTAAGCGTCGCGAGTGAAGACATCATATAGCCTGCCGAGGGCCAAATGGAAGGATGGTTGGAGGCATGAAGGATGTCGAAAATCAGACACCGAACCACGAGCGAGCGGTTCAAGAAAATGGGATGAATATAAACACATGAAGGCTCGCAGGGGGCCTACACACGTAAATCCATAACCGCCGCATTGCAACATTTCTTGTGACACCTCGCCACCGACTGGCATGACACGTGCTACCAGTTGTCTGATCAGGTGAGAGAGAAAACAGTGGTTCTGGCGGTTGTGGACTCGTGGCAGGCGCATAGGAAGAGACGGGTGCAAAGGAAAACGCCTCGCTATGCGGAGAGAGAGAGACCTTTGGGATGGGGTCAAATGAGGGAGAAGGGGAAGAACAAAGACGCACGTATACAGGATCGAATTCGAAGAGAGCCCGTACTAGGGTTCGAAGACACGAGGCTGCTGCCAATCGATGACTTAGATGAGATCGACCGTGGTGGTGATAGGTGGTGTCGAATTGACCAGCCGTCTGAAAAATATGTCCCTTCGGAGAAACCGCTATCATGGAAGTCTTCAACCTCCAGTTCTTCACTGTCTTCCTGCATCGGCCCTGGGAAAGAGAAGACAGGCGTGACGTACAAGGTTGGGGCCAATCCATTCTTCTCAATCGGATCTGCCCATCTCTTGGGGGTTGTTCGATCTCCCATCCACCCACTCAGGCCTCAGGGCCCACTCCGTCCTCCGTGGTGGATCTTGACGGCGAAACATGCACTCGTGTAGCAACGTACGCCGCACGCCGATGGATTATTCAACGCTGAAGTGGGTGGTTCGCCCTCCGGCTGCACGATCGTCCCGAACTTTGATTTGAACGTCGACATTGAACCAGCGGTGCTTGCCGAAGAGGACTGAGACCGAGGGAGGAAGTGAGATGGGAGGATGGAAGGCAAAGGGAGGTAGGCGCTCACTTTGCGAATAATGTTGTCCATCGTGTGCTATGAGATTTCTTTCGTTTGTTGAGACACAAGGTCTTGCGAGAGTCATCAGTGTCGGGCAGTCGATGCATGAGACGATGGGTGGACGGGCATAGGAGAGGAGGACCAGCTGAACGACCTCGACGACGGGCGCGAGCCCGGGAGATTTTGACAACGGAGGGTCGACTTCTGGGACGAACACGCCGTCCTCTGCGATTATCCTGCGTGTATGCCTGTTTTCGCTCACAACTGCAGCACCGCCTAAGTTTTCCCCTTCTAGCTCGTCCTCTCTCCTTGTCTCTCAACCTGCGTTGCCCTTTCCCGTTCCCACTCGCGCAATGAAAATGGGAGGAAAAAATGGACGAGAGCGGGGCACCGAAATGTCCGACGTCCCCGATGAGACGGGGGAGGACTTGAGGGAAAACGAGCGGTGTGATGTCGAGCACGAAGCGGAGGCAGGGAGTAGATGGGAGTTTGAAGTTGGGTTATAAGGCAGATGCGACGTTAGAATGCGACGTCGACCGCGACGGCGAGCGCGAGGAATTCGAGCCGGATGCGTCAAGCAGCGTAACAGACAGATTGCGGCTGTCGTTCATGCATCATGGGTCAATGAGACAGTAGGGAGAGGAGAATGAGGACCAGCTGCAGACTCGAGACACACCCTTTTTAGAACGAACAAGCGCACCGAGACTCTCCGTCTACGTTCACCGCGTTTAGCCCGTATTCCTTCTTCAACGACAAGGAACGACATACCAGAATCCGACTCGGCTTGCGGGATAGGCAACACCGGGACCTTGAACGTCTGCTCGAATAACGGCCTCCATTCGTTCTTTCTTCGTCTCTTCATCTTCCTCGTCGTCTCTTCGTATTCCCTTCCTCGCGTTGATTTTCCCACTCGCAGTCTTTCCCTCGTTGCCTCTCTTCTTGTCGCCGTTTCTTCCTATCGAATTTGGTGTCGAACATTTGAGATCTGACGAGTATGGTGGAGGAACGAACTCAAGGAAGGTGTGGTGCGGGAGGGAGGTGGATGTTGAGAGCAAGAGAGGAATTAGAATGCCGTCATCGCGTCTCTTCGCAAGGAAGGAGGTTCGCACGAGGGGCTTCTATGAATCTGGGCTACTGTTCGAAGACGGTGCTCCGATATTGCAATTGCATCTTTCGGCTATACACTAGCTGTTACTGTAAAGTCATTGCAGAGCTCATCTGCGAAACGTTCTTTAGTCTCAACCGATCTCGGTGAATCTGAACACCCTCGCCCTCACCACGCGAATTCAACCATCGTCTCTTCGGCTCGGGTCATTTCAACCTTCTCCTCCACTTAAATTATTCGAGACTCCCCAACCTGCCGAGTGCCCCTTTACATTAGCAGTCCCCTTCAAGATTTAATTTCGTCAGTGATATATACATCATATTTAAATTTTAACGGTCAAAGGAAGAGGAGGAACAGAATACCAGCCATTCGAGGTGTCAGGCCCAAATCTTCACCTACACAGATGTGCAACATCGAACTCCCGCAAACGACATTTCATTTGTGGATTTAGGGCATCGAAAGGCTGAACTCTGACTATGCAAATGCCTAATTTGAGCTGTAGAGTGTAAGGTATCCATCTTGCAGTGCGAACGAGGCAAAGCGGTCCTTCTTCCGTTCCCGAACCTTGACGTACAGAAGCCCTGCCGTCGCGTGTACACCACAACATTCGCCATTAAGTTCTCCATCCACCCAATTGATGTTAGATACTCCCGAATTCGTGCTGACCACAGAGCCAGAATCGCGGAAATACGCAGGCAAAGGCTATCTGGTGCTTGCTCCAACAGCCCTCGGAGCCTGGAGAAGACGCTCCGACCGGTCTATAATTAGCTTTGCTCAACGACGACGCGACGGTGGTTATGAAATGACACGCACCTCGTGGCATAAATGTTCACCAGACGTACCTGTCTCAGATTCGGTAATCATGAGGGACAATATACGGTCCAGCTGTAAAAGAGAATATTGGAATCATGTCCCGAGATGAAACTGAGAACGTACATCACGGAGAAACACGCTGTCCTCCTTGACGGCACCAATACCGTCGTCAGAACAACTCAGCTCCTCCAGCTGATAGTCCCATCGCTGGAGGATTTGGATTTGAGAGTCTTCGTCATGTGGCGAAGAAGGAATCAATTCTTCAAGGTGCCTCCTTTCAGTGGTGAATATGATCGTTTCAAGAGGCGGCACATTCGTGTATGCGATACTCCGAAGGGCTAGCATATCGGGTGTTTCACGCGAATTTACAGTGACTTTGAGAGAGAGATGGCGTAGCTGGGGGAGGAGCGTAGATGGTGACATGGCCCCAATTTGCTCGAAAGATACTAAAGAGAAAGGAATGCAGAGATCGGTCGCGTCCGGGAGAAGCGAGAAGAGGCGGAGAGTGTCATTGGTCACCACGGGATTGGCTGTGGGGAAATTTAGAAAAGTGAGTCTGCAAGACGACCGCTCGATGAGGGTGCAAATGATGACGATGTCCAGATCGCATCCATCCACAGAGAGCTTGCGGAGCGATGGTAGAGTGAGGCGGTTAAAGGGTTCGTGGGTGTCCTCTCCATACCACAGGCTAACATGGAGTGTCGTCAAAGATTGGTGGGATAGATGAGGAATGTTGGAAGGCATGGGCAGCTCAGTTAAATCAAGGTAGCATTCTTCCAATACCGACGCTTCCCGAAGGATAGTAAAGACACAATTGAGGGTAAATTTTGAGGTGGATAACTTGCGTAGTTGAGACCAGGGGAGAAGGAGCTTACTTATGCTGGTGACAGGGTTCCTTCGGTCGGTGAAGTTCAAGTTGACGTCTTGGAGAAGAGGCGCATGCTGAAATACAGTAATTTGGAGGGCTTCTAGAGATTCGGCATACGGGAATTGTAGCTCAAGAGACCTGAGAGCATCCCAGAGCATGGGACTCGAAGAGCAAAAGAGCGTTGATCGGCTTGATTGCAGAAGATCGCAAACGGTGAGGTGGGTGATCCGCTCTGAATGAGGGGATATCAGGACTTGAAGTGGATAGACTGGGGAAGATCGTCCACGGAAGATGCTCAGATTTAAGGGAGCCGAACACGAGAGCTGGAGTGACCTCGAGAGACGTGATAGGATGGTGGTGGGTGATACGGACGGGTTGAAAGGAAAGACGGTCCAAAGCGTTGGTGTGGCGAGTGCGACCTCACGTCAGTGCCGACAAACCTCGACTAATGCCCATATATCGTTAGGATCGCCGTTGGTGACGGCCTGGAGGAAGATCTCCACCAAGATCTCGGATGGGATACGACGGATGCTGCTGATAATGTTCCTGTGCCGGTACGCATGGTGTTCATATTCTGCACGACGAAAGTACAAGTCTTCCAGTATGTCGGACACTTGGTCGATTAACCTATCGACTCGTGCAATCTGGGCCTCGGAGGATGCGATGAGCTGGCGCGCGATAGCTTCTTCTTGCGGGTTTGGAGGATAGTTGGTGGTAAAGAGCGTAGTGACGGGCGAGATCTCGGGAGAGTGGGGTGTGTTCAGTAAATCTATGTGGCAATTTGGGCACCTCTGCATCGTAGCTGACAATTGAAACGTTTTTGCTGTTGTGGTTCAGATCAAGTGGCGTTTCGGCGGCGGAACCGGGCCATTGCCTTGTCCGATCCGCTGTTCGTCCGGAAGATGAAAAGGATTTATGTCGATGTAAACGTATATTATAGGTATTGAACGGTGAATAAATTGGCCCCAATATGCTGAACTATTCTCCTACCCAGCTGAAAGTTCAGACTGTTTACAAAGCGAGCAGAGCGACCACAATGAATGAGGCACCAACAAGTTGAATGAAGTGGACGAAAATGCGAACGATTTGTTGGTCATGATTGCGTTCAGACCTTTGTGCCTTCACCCAATTCTTGAAGCGATCTAGTCCACTCGATGCGAAGATGCAGAAGAACAGAGAAAAGTAACCAATCTTGGTGTGGAAAAAGTCAGTATGCGAAGAGGTCCTTCAACTCATCAGAGGGTTGCAGCGAGTCTCTGATCGACGAAGCTCTGAGGAGAGACAAACTCGACGACAGAAATACCGAGCACAGCCAGGCAACGAAATATGCATGGACCTTCTTCAACCTACTCCGCGTCATAAGATCTATAGTTTTCAGGCCACAATCAGATTCGGATAGAGCAAGAATATTTGTCATTGACTCACCCGGAAGCTCGAAAAAATCGCACAGAAGATTCACGACTGCGCTCCATCCTCCGAAGTTATCAATGCCAGGTGACCAGCGAAGTGACATGGAGTGAGCATGGACTTACTAGCGACGACTGCGAATGATAGTAAAAACCGGGCAGATTATCGGTACCCTTTGTCCTTGAGTTCGTATGAGCGAGCAGGCATGCAATTCCCGGGACAGGATATACATTAACAAGCTTCCTCCGTCCACAATACGTGAAGGGAAGAACACGTCGCCAATGAAGGGTGTCAAGCCCCTCGCGCATTCGCTCAGTCGAGGAAAGAGAGGGAAGAACGGCTGGCGGCAAGACGAGAAGACAAGGTGAACTGGAGCTGCAACTCCGCATGATTTGAGTCGCGTGTGCATCGGTCTAATGCGTGTTCGTGGAGGAAGCGGTTCTGGGACCATAGATGATAATGGTGTGTCGAGATGCGGAAAGACTCGGGGTCCTGGAGGTAAAGGAAAGGAGGGGTGAGGAAACAAGCCGGAGAGCACCACAAAATACAGACGAAGGACACCAAAGAAGGACACACCCCAGCGGTACAAATTCAAAGCCCCGAGGCATCGAACGATAGGATAGAGGAACGGAGGACCGGAGGACCGGAGGAGACAAAGCCGCGTGGGACTTAGAAAGAAGCGAAAGTATTTGACATCGACGTCTGAATGGAACAAAGAGATTGAAGGAAGGAAGTGAGCTGATAGACAGGACTCACACGCAAAGGAGGACGACAGGTCAGGCCCCAACGTAGCATGCACAACATTCAGGAGGGCTGAGAGGAGGATGAGAGGAGGGGCGAGACGGCTCAAAACCCCCAGCTAACAGTCAACGGCCCAACGTCACATATCTTGAACGACACGGGCGACGCACGCGTGCTCAAGGCGGTGACTTGGCGAATTACAGAGCAGTTGGGGTGTTCCGCCTCTCGTTGTTTCTCCGTCTGCGTCTGCGTGCCCGTGCCCATTACTGTTTGCAGGACCAGCACCGCCGCCCTCAGTCATGTCCACAGATCCTTCGACACCCATCCGCTTCTTCCCCCCTCTTCACCCTTTCTCGTGCCATGACTCCGACACGGACAAGGGTAAGCCCAAACACCAACTATTGCCCACCCGATGCCTCTGAGCTGACTCTTTCCTTCTCGTTCGTTCTTTCCTTCTCCACCGCCCTCTGGTGTTCCATTTGGTGCGCCGACCTCCCCATGGACGTATGAGGGTGAGATGGGGGTGAACTTCAGTGGGAAAGGGCGGTGTGGTTTAGTGCCGATGCTGGTGTCGAACCCGAACCCGAACCAGTACCCGAAGCTGAGGCAGAGGGCGGGTTAGAGTTGGAGGCAGAGGCCAGATTCGAGGTCGAGGTCGACGCGGACGGACAGCCCAATGACTTCAACCCGAGGGATTAAGCAGTGCTACTGCGAGGTTGCGGTTGTGTAAGCTGAACGGGGCAGGAGGGGATGGTGAGGGACAAGGGGGGATAGTAAGGACGGGGAGAGGACAGAGACAAGGGACAGGGACAGAGAAGGACGCACCAGATCAGCCATGCGAACACCAGGAGCGCGTTCAGCTGTCCGCAGTGCACGAACACGCTCTGCGTCGCGCAGTTGATCGTCCCGCCCAGTGTGTCGGTGAGCGCTGCGCTCGCGGCGAGCCAGAGGATCCAGGTTACGAATAGGCTGCGTACACACCCATCGTCAGTGATCCGAATCTAAAACACAAAACCTAACACGAAAAGAAGAGAAGAGAGGAACGCACAAGACGAAATGCCCCATCACGCTAACGAGGACGTTCCCCGCCCTGACCAAGAACAGGCCGAGGAACGCAGAGGAGAGCACGATCGTCCAGACGGAGACGAAGAGGGTGTAGGTGACGCGTGCGCGGAGGGTGCCCGAGGAGAAGTTGTGGTGGGAGTTGTATTGCGAAGTGAGCCAGGCGGAGATGGCTAGCTGGAGGGGGAAGAGGGGAGCGGGATGAGCGGGACACAATGGGAGGGGTGTGGGTCAGCTGTGAGTTGAGGGAGGAAAGCGGACGGACGGACCTCGATTATGGAGAAGAGGATGAGTATGTCGAGGATGGAAGGCGGGTGGTGCTCACTCGGATGCCCTTCACGAATAACGTTGTCCAAGCCCATCGTGTATTATGAATGTTTTTTCTTCGTAAGTAGGTAGTCTTCTTGTCGTCAGTGTCGATCAGTCGATGCTTGGAGTTGTAAGTAGCGGGGGTCTCAAGGCAGAGAAGCTGCGAGATATCGTGATATCGTGAGGAGTGGTGTTGAAAGTCGGAGCAAGAATGGAGCAGGTGTCGCTTTTAAGTGGCTTATAGATGTGCAGGGACTAGCCTAGTGTTGTGGAAGAGTAAAGTGGTCCAACAAAGACCTTCGACCGTTCGAACCACAGTGACGTCAGCGATGCGCAGCCATTCGGCAATTGCCAATCCGCCGATGCCGGCCGATGCCTCGAGTCTTCGTTCGGGACTCGTCCTCTCTCTCCCTGCTTCTATCCCCTCCCTTCTTGCTACATACATTCACTTCACTTCACTTCACTTCGTTCTATCCGCAAACGTTTGTATCTGACCACTCTCCCTTGGCCGCATCTCTGCACATTCTGCGCCCTCGCCCACCTCCTGCCGACTTCAACCCGTTAAATCCTAAAACCTCCGACCCCGAGCTATCTCTCCCTTCAACCGACCAGGCACTGCGTACTGAGTGCCTAACCCTACTCACTCAGTATTCAGCTTCCAAGGATCTCCAATCGTGCGCGCAAGTTGTCTCTTCATCGATCTGAATCAGCGGGACTTCGCATCGGCGCCAGGCTTGAGTTTTTCTCCCGCATTCGACCATGATGTTCTCGTACGAGAGATGGATCAGGATGGATCCCAGGAACCTCCCTTCTCTCGCTATCGACGGTCACATCCTGCCTCCCTTGATCCGCCCACGAGGTACGAGACGAAAGACGGCGGACTATAGGATTCATCTCACACAGGTGAGACGTCGACGGGCCCTCCGCTGCGCCGTCCCTTCGAACAGGTGTGCTCCGAGCGTTAACGGCCTCCTCGCTCGCTTGTGTTCGTCCGTTCGTAGTACACTGTCGTCTTTCTAGTTCCTGCTCGGGCCCGCTGGGCGAGTGAGTGGCCGATCGAAAGAAATCATCAAATGCTCGACTCGGAGTCCCTCTGGCAAATCTCGACTTGCTGGCCGGTTCGACACCCGCGATGGAGCCGTAGGATTCTCAACGATCCAGAGTACGTCCTCCCTTGCATGCCCTCCGAGTCGGTATCAACACGATCTTTTTTCCGCCTGTCATCCCCCCCATCCTACTCCTCGTCTACCGACCAAGTCTCTGCGAACGGGAGAATACAATGCGAGGCGTCTCACTGGCAGGAGACAACGACGTGGCACCACGGCACGATGTTACACGATGTTCTGCGAATTTAAATGCTGCGTCAGGTATCCCGCCTGAACGGGCGCATCTTGTAGCGTATTCTCCCTTCGCGCGAAATTGGCCTTGAGTGGCGATGATTCGGACCATCAGCGTCGATCATGGCTCTCGAGGGCTGTGTTCTACCCTGGGCGCCAGCCTGGTCTCCAGAGGGATATCGGTCTAGTGTCAAAACCTCGTGGAAGTACGGTCGTAGGACTAGCGAGATGCATATGGACACTTTGACCTCTTCAGATAAGAAGTCGGTCAAAGTTTCTTCGCGGTCTTATTTGAACTTTTCTGGCTGGTCGTGCGCTGCTTCGTATCCCTGGAACTTTCCGTATGGGAAAATAGGACATGGCTTTTCATCCCGGAAGATTTGGGTTGTATGCATTCGCATTCATTCATTCATTCAAGTGCGCCTCCCCAGCTGCTCTGTCATTGTCAAGACACTGCCTCGAGCACGTGTGGATCGTCCGTGTTGTTCAAGATGCGCGACGTTGGGTCGTTGCCGTCTCGCCCTTCCTCTCGCTCCTCCTTTAACCCCCCTGAACGTTGCACAGGCCAACACACGATCGCTAGTATTCCTGTTCGTCCTCAGACTTTCGCTCCTCTGCGAGTGAGTACTTCTATCCACTAACTCCTTTTTCTTCGATTTCTCTGTTTCATTGATGTCGAATCAAATGTCGATGTCAAATGCTTATCGATTCTTTCTAGGTCCCGGGCACCTCCCGTCCTGCGCATTTCGTCCTCTGACTGCCTCAGCTCGCGTCCTGTGGTGCCGTTCGACTCATATCTTCACCCTGCTCCGACTCGATATCTTTCATTTTTCTGTGTCATCCTTCTTTCGAGTTGTTCGGCTGTTCCTTCTTTCCGTTACTGGTATACCTCCATCACCCCGTTCCTTCTCCACACCTCGCGTACTCCGCACGCATCAACTAGGACCTACAATACGCTTTCTTTTCATTCTTTCGTTGTATATATTCCGTCTCACGTTCGTCTCTTTTACGCTGTTTCCTTCCTTTTCGGCGCCTCCGCTCCTCTGCTCTCTTTTGCACCCATCCTTTCACTTTGTTTTACGACATCTTATCCACACAGAATATCTAAACTTTGCTCATTCTTTATGACACCGGCTCGCCCAGTTCTCATCTTTTCGCACAAGTCACCCAAGTTTGTTCATGATACGGCGCAAAGGTGCGTCCTTTCTTTCTTTATTTCTCCGTTCCTTCTGCTCTATCTACTGGGACATGCTTCGCGTTTGCATTCTTCCGTTTTCCGTCCCACCTTGTTTGCTGTGGGTATCGGTGAAGGACCGTGTACTCACCCTGCTCACGTCGTACCTGCATCTGGACCGTCCAGGCCATTCTCCCGGGTCCTCGTCGCTCAAAGGCGCGCCTCCTCGTGAAGCGAAAAACGGGAATGATGCCGTTATCGCCCTTTTTGCGAGCCTACGCTGGGGGCGTTAGGGGACTATGGGTAAGACGTCGAATCTGCTTTTCCGGTCTGCTCTTCTTCAGTTCGCATACTGAGCAAGTGTGATATTTCTAGGTCCTTTCGCCCACCTCAAAGTATCGTGTGCTAGTGATTTCTCCTCCATGGTGTTTTTCGATGGTGAAAACTAGATAACGCGAAGGAGAGGTGGCTACTCTACTCCTGACTTCGCGCGCTCAGCGAAAGAGACTTCGTCGGCCATCTCGGCCCGCCTTCGCCGATGACACACTTGTGAACAAGAAGGCTGCTCATCCTTTGTGCGCTTCCCCTCTCCCTCGTCTGCCTCCCAGACAGACGCCAGCGTGGCGGGTAGTGTGTCCTCTGCTCCGACGTACGGCAGACTGCGAGTTGCTATCTTTCTTCGAGCACCATGATCAATATATTCCCATTGTGCCCGCCAATGGATCTCGAATCCCTTGCCTCGAGTTTCATCATCCCATGATGTACAGGCAAACCGATCCTGGAAAGCATCTTTCTACTGACGCGCATCGACAGGGCTTTCTGTTGATATGATACCGAACTTCATTGGAGATTGTTGGGAGGCAGTTGAGGTATATATGTAGCCAGCCCTTCCCGAGATTATGACGGGATCGGGTGAAAGCTTGGTCACGGATTCGCTCGGGGCCTCAGTGGGCTTGGCTCATCAATCGGCAATTTCTGTCTCACAATAAAGACACATCTCATGTTGAGAAATGGCGCTTCCGGGTCGTTAGCTGTCTAGTATAATATAAAGGTTTCAATTGGTCGAGGCAGGGATGTGGCATCCATCGTAAAACTACACAATAAATCATCCATGAAGAGCGCGAGCGAAGAATATATGGCGCGAATACAAATTCATGACCAATTTACGCTATTACTGGTTGTGTGCGGCGAGATTGCTGAACGAGATCAACTTGGAGGAATAATCCCGTCCTTCTCAGAGACGCTTTGCAGGGCAAACTGGGAGCGCCGTGGGCTCCCAACGCTACTCATATCTCGGGGGAGCCCATTAAGATAAGAGTTCACCCTGTTGTAGCTGCTGCATGTGTGGTAGGAGATAGATCCTGTCTCTGTGGGTAGCACCCTCGGTGGTGGTGTCGGGTGAAATAACCTGCAAAGGGAGGCGCCCGTCGCAGTGAAGTGGTTATGAAAATCGCCTATACAAGATCACCGTGAGAGGCTGAAATTTAGTTAGAGGAAACTGGAAGGCAGACCAGCATTTTTCTCTTTCTCCCGCTGGTGTCGACGACGGAGCGCCAGCACAAGGAGTACAATGAAGACGAAGCCGAAAACTGACCCTAGAATAGAGCCAGCAATCGTTCCCGAGGACGTTCTACTCGACGAAGTCACCGTCGTTCCATCTGGAAGTCCGGGAGTCGATGCGGCTGGGGTTTCCGTCACTAGATACATGTCATTAGTAGTGTTTTCAGCTTTCAGCCGCACTTCAGAGACTCGCCTATTTTTCTCTCTATTTTGTCAAAGTTTCTGCGGCAATCCTCTTCCTTGCCCCCCTTTCTCTCGCAATCCTCATCGTCAGAATCTCTTCCTCCTTCGCCATCTTTTCCTGAACCTCTCCCTCGGTTTCCCTCTTTCACGAAGCCCATTCGGAATGACGACGGGGTCTCAATATCAACCCTCATCAAATCCAGGGCGTAGCGGCCATTATTCGTGACGTTTATCAGTAGTGTATGCCTACCGAAAGGTAATCGAGGCGATTGATAGAATTTCTCATTGTAGTTCGGCCTCATTGTCGGTTTTGGGGTGAAAGTATGGTTGGAACTGCATTCGCCGTCAATGAGGTAGGTGGAAATGGGGAGTGGAAGACCGATTCGGATGTTGGGGAATACCGTTCCGAAGACGGATATTGAAGTTCCTAGTATAGGGTAAGTCAAAGAGATGGAGTGCTGTCTGCTAACCGTAGCTAAGAGACTGACCATTGAAGGTAACGTTAATTGTGCTTCCAGCGCGTTGACTGACTGAGAGGGTGTTTTTTACCGCCCTATTCTTATTAGTAAAATGGCTCCATGTACCATTGAATGCCAAGGTCGGGTCGGTGTTATCGAGCTGCAAGACTCGCTGCATGACGAAAATGAAAGTGGGCTTTGAGGTAGACGGTGGTACTTAAATACGACTGGCCTTATTATGTTACGTTCGTAAACTTGCCAGCACCATCGATGTGGTTGCTGGACCCACTGATATCTGATCTCTGTCGAGCTGTTGTCGATGAATGGAAGCTGTCGTCAGTTTCTAATTGACGAACAGATCTTCTGCTTCCAGGGTCTTCATGAATCTTTGGGATCTTTCCGAAGATTCAATGTAATTCTCGCTGTTCAGTAGACTTCACAATTGTTTTTACTCCCCTTATTCATTTTGACTGCGGCAGAAAGCCCGTCGATCTTCGTTATCACCGCGAAATTCACCGACTGGTCTGATAAGATTAGACCGGGTAGTTCCCACGCACAACATGTAAGGATTTTACGCAAACTTCGATTCCAACCACCACGACCAAAATACTTCGACTGTCTAGCTACGATGCAGAGGTGCCGAATTGCAACATAGATCTCATAAATAGCCCCAAGACTCCGGAGATATCACCCGTCTCCTCACTCTTTACCACCAACAATCCTCCAGAACCACAAGACGATGCCATCGCTCGCCAGCTCATCGCATCTTCCGAGCTGCAGATCACCCGAATCGACGCCCTAATCGACCAAGTATCCAAGCTTCTAGATGGGTTAACAGCTCGTCGTGGAGAATACGAACGCCATGTTGATCTCCACCGGGTGTTGTCAGCAGTGTCCGTCGTATCCCATCCGAGATCTTGGTGGAGATCTTCCTCCAGGCCGCGGTCGACGGCGATCCTAACGACATATGGGCAGTAATCGAAGTTTGTCGGCGCTGGCGTGATGCTGCGCTGTCCACACCCATACTTTGGTCCGTCTTTCCCTCCAATCCGTCTGCATCACCCACCACCATCCTATCACGCCTCTCAAGGTCACTTCGACTGTCGCACTCGACCCCTTTTCAGCTTAGCATCTCCTTTACCTTCTTATCCTACCCAATATGCCCACTTCAAACCCTCGTACTTCACGACCTAAAGCGGATAACCCATCTTAACATTGAAGACTCGACTAGTCGGACTTATGAATCACTGCCAATGCTCTCGATCCCTGAGCTTGAGCAGTGGGATTCATTGAGGTTTCTTCAGCTCCGTTGTCGACACATAACTACTTTCCAAGCACGCACAGCCACCATATTTCTAAATGCGCCTCTTCTCCGAAACGTCGAAATCCTTTGCGCGGGGACACTTTTGGGGCGTGCGGGCGACCTCCTTCTCCCATGGTCACAGTTACGCAAGTTCTCCGCATCAAAGGTCTCTGTTGATTGTGCTCTGTCTTTCCTTTGTGCAGCATCCACACTCTAAGAATGTGACCTCAATATAGCTAATCCATGGTTCCGCACATCCAAAAGCTTCTCACATCCGTCTTTGTCAATGCTTCATGTCTACTCAGAGCAACGTTCCATTGCCACATCGGATTTACACGCATTCTTTAACTCCCTCACCCTCCCATCGTTGCGTAAGCTCTCCATGCACGAAGTTCACGTGGAAATCCGAATCATTTGCAACCTCATCGAGCGGTCGTCTTGCTCGATTACCTTTCTCAATGCCCCAACACTCTATTCCCCAATCTTCCAGGAGGATCCCGCAATTCTCCATCACCTCCTCTCACTTATGCCCGACTTGACCGACCTCTGCCTTCCATTTTACCCCGCAGTCAATGAGGTTGTCCTCAGCTCAGTGGCCTCGCTTGTCCCCAACTTACGCCATCTCTGTCTCGCACTCCCGTCGCCGTTCAATGAGCAGCTCACCTTCAAGGAAAGTGGTTCTTTGTTTGTCGATGAATTAATACCTCCTCTCGAGACGATAATGTTTACCTCTTCGTCCTCAAACATTTCCACGTTGATTCCTAGTTTACCTGATGGGGCTCTTCTTTCCGAGACTTTCAAGCAGTGGAGCACCGAGCTTTGCACGCTGAGCGCTTTCCTTCAAGATGCGAAGACCGTGAATGACGGACTCGAACGTGAGGCAAGTAGGCTCTTTGAATCAGCGAGCGGCGGCGATAGATTTCACAATCATCATCCTGATCTCCTTTTCCACAGCTCGACCGTGTATTATCCCTCATTAGTGCTGAGTCGCAGGTGAATATTCTGACCGAATTCCTGTGCCGCGAGGTGCGCTCCATTTCGTTTCATTTTTGTATTCGCAACCGGGACTGACGGAAAACTATAGACCGGTCAGGACGTCATATCCATGCTTAACCAGATGTCAAAGCAGCTTCCAGACGACCTCTCCCGGCACCGTGAGCGTATCGCCGCGATTCTTGCATTATGGTCGGCGCACATTCGGGAACATCTCACCTCGTTCGGGTGGATGGAGGCCTCGAAGGGGAACACCCTGGTCTACGCACGGAGGCAGGGCTCACTGAACGTCAAGGTGCGCGATCGGACGAAGGACAGGTTTGCCTCGTTCGCGCTGCAGAACGGATATATTACACTCTAAGGAACGATTTGCACATTTCAAGTTGTAAGTATATACTGTAATCCCTACGACCGCGCCGTTTCCCATTGCTGTACAATAAATTTTGAACATCGTTCGAGCCGAATATACAATATCTGTCGGGGAGAAGATGTATTGGATAGCCCCTCGGCATCTTCCACCTCTCCTCCCACCTGAGTCGTTCATGTTCTCTACGTTGACCGTCAAACACGATGGCGATCAACTCTCTTGCATATGATACGGACAAAAATCGTGCAAGAAAGAAGGCACTAGGGATCGTCATCGAGAACCAGGACCACTCCATTGCCACCTGAATCGGCGTATTCCAAGCATGGCCGAGGTTTTTCAAGCCGGAAGAGGTACTTCAAGTCTAGAAGCCTAGGTTCGGGAGTTTCTCTCCATTGGCCACTTACTCGCCCAGGTGATCGGGGACGTTACCATCGCGAGAAGAAGAAGGGACGAGAGTCGGGGCCTATCCCGCACATTGAAACGCGATATCACAAGGCTCGAAGATTCAGAAGTACGAGTACCATTGCAAAATAAAGGTAGCTGCGATACTTCATTTCGAAGCCATTCTTAATTCCTTGCTCGCGTTCGTGATAACGAGTAAGCTATAAGAATGCTCGAGTGCTTTTCTTCTCGGGCGCGCGAGTCAGGTGGCCGAGGAATTGAATAGGGGACGAATTTAACAAGCAGCGGAGAAAGTAGAGAGGACGCAACAGTTATGGTTAGCATCATGGGTACGGAAGACACCGACAGATAAGAGTAGAAGACGTAGAAGAGAAGCACTTCAGGATGTCAAGAAAAAATTCCACGAATCCGAATTCGACGCGGTCGGCGCACAGCCAGTGTTGATGAGCAGATCGCATATGCGCGTGAGGAGGTCGCCCCGCACCTGCCCTTTACAAGTCTTCACAGCGCAACAGATGGGACTCTTGCTTGTACCCGAGCAGCGTGAGAAGCTCTCCATCCCCCAACACGACCTCAAATGTTGGTTTCGAACCTGAATCCGGGTCCGAATAGCAACATTCTTTTGGGTATGATGGATCATAATAATTAGGGAGAGGAAGGAAAGGAAGGAAGGAAGGACTGACGAAGAGGTTCTTATGTGTCGATGAAGTCGCGAATCGGAGCCCTGCTTGCACGTGTGGTGTGTAAATAAATGTAGAGGAGAATCAGGCTCTCCCCTTCTTTTCTTTTCGTAGATGATGACGGTCGCCGCTGTCGTCGAATGTCAGGTAGGAAGGACGAGGTGTTCCGCCGCTCGTTGTTTCTCCGTCTGCGCGCCCATGTCAATTACTGTTCGCAGGGCCAGGACCGCCACCCTCAGTGCCATCCACATGTCGTTCAACACCTTCCGCTTCCTCTGTCCCTTCTTCTCCGCCTCTGCCCCTTCTTCTCCGCCTCTGCCTCTTGCCCCCCCGCCCTTTCTCCGGCCACAACCGGTACGCGGATGAGCGCAAGCCCCTACATCGACCACCGACCTCCATCTCTCCTAGCCTCTCGGTGTTCTTTCCCTATCCATCGCCCTCTCGCGTTCTCTCTCCTCTGTGCGCGATGAATTCGAAGCTGAGAGATCGAGCAGCGTCACTGAGAGGTTCTGGTTGTGTAAACAGAACGGCTGGAGGGCTGTTACGTTGACAGTCATCCTGTACGCACAAAACGAAAGCACATGAGTCAACGGGGGAGTAGGGAGAGGACGAGGAGGACAGGGCTCGAGACGTACCCTTCCTTGGAACCACAGCCTCTCATTCATCCTCTGGTCGTGCACAACGTACACATTCGGCGGCGAGGACCTGCAACCCACCAATGCAATCCTCTATTAGAACCCACACGAGCAACAACGAAAAGACGAGGCTTACCCAATAAGTAAGTTCGTTCAGTGACGGTATGAGGCGCGTCCTCTCATCTGGAGGCGCATTCTATCAGCAAGGGTCAGTTCATGGTATTCGTGTACGAGACCGAAGGTCCATGGACATACCACCCCAGGAACCCAGCCTGGCTTCCTCGACAGTCAGTACCCGGATACGCGCCTGAAGGCGGCAGCCATCGTCCTCTCCTAATCTCTTCCTCATGTAGTGGCGTCCGATCTTCGTCTCCGCATCTCATGCTCGTCATCGAGATCTTGCCTCATCGCCCCTTCCTCCAGTTCCTCTCTGTCCCAATGTTCTCTTTCCTGTGGAGTCGAGAAGCGGAGTTGGAGAATCAAGGATCGAGTTGAAGATATGAAGGACATGAAGGAAAGAGGGACGAGGAAGGCGTGGTGTGGGAACGCAAGTTGGGATGCCGTCATCACGTCCAAAGGGGTAAATGAACCGTGCGACTCAGGCTCGGCCCGGCCGAGACCGTCGGAAAGGAAGGAGGTTCACACGAGCTGGGGTGAGGAGTGCTACTCAATAGAAATAGAGTATACGCTAATCGTAGCTGCAGGGACAAGAGCATAATACTTCAACTGCGTCACTCCTCGCAAATGTGTATAAATTTCAACATCTTACACTCACAGAGCGAATCCGACCATCCGATATCGTCTCTTCGTTTCGTTCCGAGTCTCTCTCTGTCCTACGAGCCATAGCCTGGAGCGTTCCTTGAGGCAAGATAGTGTGCCTCCTAATATATACAAGAATCTACGTTCTCTGTACGACAGAAAAGCTAACAGGAAATCTATCAGAAATTATCCCCAGAAGACTTGGAAATTCAGCGACACCGTTTTCTCCAGCCTGAGGAATCCATGTTACAAGCTGTGTGTTAGTATTGAAGCACTTACCAATGGAGGATCCAAAGCCGGCGTTTGGAGACTTCATGAAAAGCAGCGACATATAGTGTCAGACCGCCCACTATGCCATTCGTGCTGTGTGGTGCAGTGTGTTAAATTTAGCTTGGACGCTCAGCGCTCAGTGACGAGGTAGGCGACGAGCACTCACCCTCTGGTTCGAAAAGCATAGATTAGGCTCTTCTGGACCGTTCGTTGCGCCAGGGTAATGCCGCACCACTTCCCACCCCGAGGGCCGAGGCAAGCGTGCACGAAAAAGGCTCATGAAGTATGTGCAAACGCGAATATTCCAGTGATGACAGAGCGACGTTCAGAAGAATATTCTCACATCAACGTGTTCGTCGAGTCCCATATGGACGCGAATACGAACGCTTCGTCGATGATAGTCGTATTCTCGTGCGTTCGCCTTGTTATCACAGAGAAGCGTGGATGACACTACTCGGTGGGAAAGGGTGGATAAGGGGAAGGAGGGAGAAGCGAAGAAGAATACAGATGAAGGGAACGAATGGGCTTGTCAATGGAGAATGGTTTCCCTCTGAACGAGCTGAGCGAACGCACAAGTTGTGGGGGAAAACAGTTTATGAACGAGTCCGCTCTGTCCACAATAAGTGAAGGAGAGAATACATCGTTGATGGAGATAGTCCGCCGGCTCGCGCGTGAGGAGGGAAAGGGGAAACGATGGACGAGAAGAAAAAGTGAAGTTCACCTTCAATCTCCCGTAGTCCGAATCACGAAACCCGCCGGTTGTTATCCGCGTAGTAGTCCGCTCTGTGGAGGATAGAGAAGAGTTGCAGAAAATTGTTCATCGACAAACGCACGACGACGACGAGAATCCAGAAACCCACCTCGCATACAACGGCGGATCTCGTCAAACAGCGCGCAGATTACCTGATGCGCGTCTGTGGGGTTTCGTCGGCCTTCAAGACACGGAAAAGCCAGAGAAAATCCCCAGCGCAGAATGGCAAGCTCGGCGAGATACGTCACGCACGAGGGTGGAAAGAGGGGCGTAAAAAGGTGGGGAGCGTAGAGAGGGTAGATGAAGCGTGAGGTAGGCAGCCGGGGAAGGGCGGAAAGAAATGAGGAGAGTGAGATTTTGAGAGGGCGAAGTAAAATTACGGCCGTTTATAAACGGGCAGACGAAGTGGGAGGACGGACGAAAACGGAGCCGCTCGGACCTGGAAAAAAGCGATAAGCAATTTGACGTCGACGTTTGACATGGACATAGAAAAGAGAGATCGAAGATCGAAGGCGACGGAGCAGGTAAGCCGGAGGAAGACGGAACGGGTGCACCAATAGTCTTGTGGGGCGACGGCCAGGAGTCCAAGCAGATGCCGATGACACGGATGACGCGCAGGAGGTCGAACTCGAGAGCTGCGCCCTGGCCGTTCCCGCTTAGCTCCAGCAGACTGCCCTCCTACCCTTCACCCGCTCCAACACGCCCATCCTCTCCCGCACGCCCATCCTCTCCGCCACACCCATCCTCTCGCGCATTCCTCTTCGCGAAAGACGAGAGTGGCGCGACGACCTGTCCGAGCACGTACGAGGGCAGGATAGTAGGAGCCGGTGCAGGAAGGAGGGCGGGGTTGACAATGACGTTGACATCGACATTGAAGTGGAACCGGAAGTGGGGCGGGTAGCCGGGTTTGACACATAGGCGAAGGCGACCTTCGGGTACGACATGGACGTCGACCCGCAAGCGTGAGGAATTTGAAGCAAAGGCATCGAGTAGCCTCACCGATAGGTGGCGCTCCTTTGCTCTGACGGTCATCCCTAGCCACTCCTTTTCCTCTGTTGGCCCACAGTGTAAGTTCTACAGTAAAGAGCTATTCCACGGAAGCCCATGAGCAGCGATCACGTAACACACGACAAAAGTAAAGTACCCATACGATCATCGACATCTGTCGCCGCCATAGCGCAATACATCCCCTGCCAGCCATCCATGCACTAGCACCGGTCTGACTCCCGCTCAAGCACCCCTGGCATCCCCTCCTCGTCCCCGCCAGGCCTGTAGCACCTCCTACCAACCACGGCTTCTACCCTCCAATCCCACCCGTACGACACAATCAGCACCCCCACTCATGCTGTCCTCCACGAAAGAAACACACTCCCGGAGGTACGTCTGCTTGTCTCGCTGTACGTTCTACATCCATCCGCACGCAAACTCAGCCCAGCTCGCCCTTTAACGCGAGGAAACACGTACGAAAGCATTGACCCCACTCGGTCTCCGGGATAAGCAGCACCCGAATACACATCCGAATACCAGTGTCGTTCGTGAGGCTCTCTCGTAGTCCCTTCCATTTCTCTCCCATCGTCGTCCTCTCGCACTTCTCCTCTTGTTCGCAGTGTCGTCATCGACGGTGTCTCCTTCCTCTCGTCGTTTCTTCGTCCCTTCCTCCTTGTCCCTTCCTTTTGGAACACTTTCCTATTGTTCCTTCTTGAGTAATTTCTCCCTCTCAACGGGAGTTCGGGCCGAGGAAGGAAAGGGAAAGAGGTTCGCACGAGGGGCTCACTATGAGCCTGCATTGTTCGAAGCCGATGCCCTGCCGCTGCAATTGTACTGTCTCAGACTCCCTACTCTACTACTCGGTCAAATATTCAGGCATGCAGCAAAGATTAAATTTCCATCTAAGTAGCTCTTACTTTCTCCGCACTCCCTATATTTATTATCTCGGTGCCGGGTGAATCCTCACCGCGCGCGCGACGTTCCTTTACTCCCTCGTCTCTTCTCTGAGTCTCAAGCCGTTCCTTAAATTCCTTATCCTCTTATCATTGATCCAACGTAGACCTGCGCCCGATTCTCATGAACACCTCTAGCCTGAGTTCCCGGAACTTCGAGCACATGCCAAAGGCGACAAGTCAAGTGAAAAAACAGAGCTTGGGACCTCCTTGGTCGATGGCCTGGGACACCACAGCTGAATTATTCTATTTTTGAGGGGAATGTGATGGAGCATACCTGGTTGTACATCGAGTATTTTTGGGTGGGAGAGAATGTTTCCCACTGACACACCGTAATCTGCGCGAGGCAGAGCATGCCTTTGAACCGTGTTCTTTATCATCAGCCACACGGCATAAATAAATAGAATGCTGTCAGATGGCATGAATTTCTATCCATGAAATGTGACTGCTCTTTGGAGAGACTTTCGAGGGTCGGAACTTGCCGACGCTCGGTAATTGCCTTAGATGAACGATAAGATAGACGCCCAGATCCACAAGTTCTCTCTGTACGTCCACGACGCCCACGTCGTCACTCTCCATAACCTCGTCACGCCGTTTTCAGTCCTGTCTTCCATACTTTAACTGCACAGGTGAGGTAAAGCTATTTCCGTGTCGCAGTCATGCTCTCATGTCGAGGTGGGGATGACGCGTCGTTTCAAGTTTGGAAGCTCCGAGGACGATGTCTAGTGAGTGGTAAGGCCACAAGGAGCCTATTGATGCTCTGAAATATCTGAACATTTTGACAGAAAGGTTATTCATGAAGCTATTCCTCGTGGACGAGCACGGGGTCGAAACCTACCAGATGACCGCAGTGGTACCTTGGCCAACATGGAAAACAAACACCTCCAGCGTGAGTCTTCTGCACCGGAGAAAGCGACCTTCTTAATATTTTATAACTTCTAAAGTTCATGCAATACGCCGCTGCACATTTCGACCACCCAGAACTTCAGAAGGAGTCTAGAGGGCCTCTCTCCTTGAGATGTGCCACGCGCGAGGGGGAAGGCGTCGTGTGGACGCATGTCAGCGTGTACAGTTGGGCTTGTATAAGACCTCAAGATGAACTGGCAATTTTTATTTCGCGCACGAAGGAGGAATCACAGGACGGGCATGACCCGGTCAGTGACGCGAAGGTCTGGATCATCGCCCTCCTCCCTTGTCTTCATGCTGACTATCAGTGACATCAAAGGATGCCGGAGCTGTTCGACCTGAATTCCCTCAACTCGTTTGCCTTACATGCACTGAGCACCGTGCTACCGGGGCCGATGACACCAGGTATGCAATTGCACCCCCGTGTACTCGTATGGATGCTGGCGCTTAACTCCACCCATTCAAGGAAATTTGCAAACACGCGTTGGTTGTTTTCGGACGCGAGGACGAGGTAATTGAGCAGGTAAAATTAACAACATCATTGGTCGATCCAACCGGACGCTGTGTCTGGGTTATTGCGGACGAGCCTGCCTACGAGCGCCTGGTGGACATGTGTTCGAGTGACGTCCTACATATCAAGGTGTCGTTCTGCTAGTTACTATGGCAAATACTCTTAGAGTTATTACATGTCCAGACGGAGGGAGGCGTTTACTCAAGAAGCTGAAGAGAAAGCTCGGAAGCTTTGAATGCCGGCAACGAGAGTAATATTCACGGATGGTTGATTTCGACACCAACTAATGTCGCACCCATCAGAGAAAAATACAGCGTTTAGAAGGACGCGAACAGACTTCGCTCGTCCCTTTCGACGTCCGAGTTTATGGACGATAGATTAGATTCTAGTGCTCAAACTTGAAGGCTCAGTCGTTCCGAACCGGATCCGAAGTCGAGGGAAACATTTGCCATGGTGGTGGAAGTCAAATTTCATCCCAGCCCTTATCTTTATAGTTCAAAAGGGTTCGGTGAAACAATGGACGTCTACATACGAGATCGGGGTCTGTATTTGACTTGACAAGTTGACCCCCTCACCCGTGTCTCCGCCCTTTCACTCCTTCCTCGTTGCTCATCCTTCAATGCTGAATATACTTTCGCGCCGTCGATGTGAGGTTCCAAGAGGAAAAGGAGAGGCGCTGGGGTGGTCCCGGACCCACGGCCCTGGGAAACATGACCCATCCAGCCAGACATAGACGGTGTTCAATCTCAATCGCTGTCAAGAATCCGGGTAGGAGGGACCTGGTGATGCAGCTGCTTGTTCTCCGACAGCGACAGCAATCTTCACATCGATGTGCTCGTCGAGTCCCATATGGACGCGAATACGAATGGTTAGTCGGTGGCAGTCATATTCTTGCATGTTCGCCCTGTTGTCAATGAAATGCATCTATGCGTGCTATTCGGTGGAAAAGGAGGACGGGGAAAGGTGGGAGGAGGCGAGGAGGAGGTGAAGACGACATGAGACATGAGACAGATGCGAGAAATAAACGAGCATGGAGATCAATTTCCCTTCGACCTTAGAACAAGCTGAGCGAACGCACAAATTACTAGGTGGATCTATTAGTTCACTCCATCCAAAATATATGAAGGAGTTAAGACATTGTTGATAGAGATCATCCGCCAGCTCGCGCGTTCGCTCAGTCGGGGAAGGAAAAGGGAAAAACGATGGACGAGAAGACGAGAAGATGAGACAGACTCAGCCTGCAATTCTAAGGGATTCGCATTGCATGAAACCCTCGCGCCGAGCCAGCTTCTAGGCCGACAGATGAACAGATTGCATGAGGTGAAGCCTAGGCCGAATGACAGTCTTGCGTCAGCAGGAGAGTTACGAGCCACAGGAAGCAGTCCATCTCGAAGCGCACGAAATCCACCTCGCATACAACGACTCATCTCGTCAAACAGTGCGCAGATCAGCTTATGCGCATCTGTGGGGTTGCGTCGGCCTTCAAGACATGGAAAAGCCAGACAAATTTCCCAGCGCAGAATGGCAAGCCCGACGAGATGCGTCACGTACGCGGGTGGAAAGCGGTGTGCGGAAAGGAGGGGAGGGTAGATGAAGGCGGGGCGCGGGCAGAAAGAAATGAGGGTAGTGGGACTCACAGCAAGACCGACATGAGGGTCGTTTATAAAAACCGAGTTAGCGGACGGATTTGAGGGACCTAGGTTCGGACTCGAGTGAAAGGGGTGTGGCGTCGAACCCGATGCCGGTGTCGAGCCCGAAGCTGAAGCAGAGGGTGGGTAGGAGTTTGAGGTGGGGTTGGAGGCAAAGGTGACGTTGGAGTGCGGTGTCTTCATCGGCGGAGGGCGCGAGGAACTCCAACTTGGCAGCCTGGGTCACACTGAGGTTCTGTTTGGGTGTTGAACAGCAGGGTGCTGTATGTTCACCTTCTTCCTGTAGACACTTCCGAAGCATCGTCCTCGTTAGTGCACAGTGAAGAGAAAGAACGGAAGAAAGCAATGGCGTACCCTTCCAATTTGGAACAAACGGTCGTTTCAAACTTCTCCTTCGTCCTTGCGTGGTCTACGACGTACATGTTGGGTAAAGAGCCCCTACCTACACGCAGCTGCGTTAAATAAGTTTGGCTCAAAAATGAATAAGGCCAGACCACCTAGCACTGGTAGGCTCGTTCAGAGCGAGTACTTATGAGGTGCCTCCTCTCATCAAGGTGTGTGTTGTATCCACGGGCGATCGCAAAAATCAGACCATGTTTAAGACTGGGCGAATCCAAACACGGACGACGTACGGAAATGGCTTGGCTTTCTCGATAACCAGCATCCGAGTACACGCTCGAGGATGACTGCCATTCTCCGTCGGCTCTTCGTCTTGTCTCGTCTTGTTCCTCTCATCGCGTCTTGCTCTCGTAGTCTCTTTCTTCCTCTCGTAGTCTCTTTCTTCCTCTCGTAGTCTCTTCCCTTCACTCCCTTTCTTCGGAGTCGTGGTGAAGAGTCCAATCGACGAGCGAGGCAAGTCGCCTCCTATTGGAACTGAGGAGAAGTGACGCACTTTTGCAAGGATATGGGAGGAGGCGGCGGTCAGGAGCAAAGAGCCAATCGAAAGACGGTGCCGAGACGGAAGATGGAAATGAGCCAAGAACGGAAAGGGAAGGTGGTTCGCACAAGGAGATTACTCTCGCCTCAACACTTCAAGCTTCACTAGCTCTTCACTGGTAAGATCAAACATATACATAGCGCTCGTGAAGAATACGCACCTCGGGATGGCGATAAATCGACTGATCAGGTGAAAGACAAAGCAGCAGTGCGTGCTGGCGGTTGTGGACTCGTGGTAGGCGCATAGGTATTAGGAAGAGAGGCGGTGGAGAGAACGAAATTTCGGATAGGAGAGGGGAAAGGAAAAAGACACACGTATATATATAGGATCAAAGAGGGTGGACCGTACTAGAGTCTTCGATCTTCCGCCTACCTGTGACCCAGGTGCTGCATCCGTTCCGTCTTGCGTCGCGAATCTTGACGCTGAAACGTGCCCTCTTCACCCAGGCAGCAACAGCAATGTGCGCCGCGCGCCGATGGATTCTTCAATGCTGGGGCGGGGAGTACAAACGATTGAGTAGCCATACGCTGCAAGGGCGCACGAAATTTATGGAGAGAAGCTAGACGCGTCTGGTATGCGGGAGTTGAATCAAAGTCGGGAGAAGGACGGGCTCTGGTTGGAAACAATATGCCTCCTTTTTTCCTTTGGACCGGGAAAATAGAAGGGAGTAGAAGAAACTGGAAAGAATAAATTTCCGTCCCTGAAGGAAGGTAGAAGGAGGAAAAGAAAAGTAGGTGTCGCGAATGAAGATATCATATAGTCTGGCGAGGGCCAAATGGAAGGGTGATGGGACGGAGGATGCTGAAAATCAGACACCGAACCACGAGCGAGCGATTCCAGAAAAGCTACGAGGAGAGACACGGAGGTGTGCGGAAGGGTGGTCTATACATGTAGATCCACGACCGCCAGGACACCAATGAAAAATTACACCTCACCAACGACTGACGCGTCAGAACGCTACTAGTTGACTGATCAGGTGAAAGAGAAAGCAGCGGTACTGGCGGTTGTGGACCTGTTGCAGGCGCATAGGAAGAGATCCGTGAAAGAAACGCAGGGCGAGGGGCGGGAGGAGGCAAGATTTCGGAGAGGAGGGGGATCAAACGATGGAGAAGGGAAGAAGAAAGACGCACATGGAGAACCCATACTAGGGTTTGAAACTTGAAGTTGCTGCAAATCAACGATTCAGACGAGGAGTGGAAAAGAGAAAATAGGCGCGACGGACCAGGTTGGGGCTAATAACTTCGTCTGTCCATCATGTGCTATGAGGCCTCTCTCCGAGTCTGGTATTTTCTTCGTCAGTTCAGACACAAGGTCTTCTTGCAAAAGTCATCAGTGTCAGGGAGTTGATGCTTGAGACGATGGGGTGGGCGCCGGGCGGGCATAGGAGAGGAGGACCGGCTGAACGACCCCGATGACGGGCGCGCGTCTGTTTTGACAACGGAGGCCGACTTCCGGGACGAACCACCGCCCTCCGCGATTATCTTGCGTGTATGCCTGCTTTCGCTCACAACCGCGGCACCACCTACGTCTTCCCCTTCTATCTCGTCCTCTCTCCTTGTCTCCACCTGCGTTGCCCTTTCCTGTTCCCACTCGCGCAATGAAAATGGGAGGAAAAGATGGATGAGAGCGGGGCACCGAAATGTCCGACGTCCCCGATGTTGAAGGTAAGACGGGGGAGGACTTGAGGGAAAACGAGCGGTGTGGTGCCAAACCCGAAGCGGCAGGGGGTGGGAGGGAATTTGAGGATGCGTTAGAGGCAGAGGCACAGGCAAAACTAGAACGCGACATCAACCGTGATGGCGAGCACGGGGAATTCGAGGCGGAGGGATCGAGCAGTGTCCCCAAAGGGTGGCGATTGCGAAATTTGAACGGGAGGTGGGGTGTTACCTTGGCCATTCCCCTGTACGCACGAACCAGTAGTGCCATGAGCTTTATGTTTGGATAGAAGAGAGTAACGGCGTACCCTTCTTTCGAACGAATGATCATCCCAAAGCGTTCATGGCCGTACCCACCCAACACCATCGGCTTCACCTTAACAGACAACGAAAATATCTCCAGATTCAATTAACGTAGGTATAATGTGCGCCCTGATCGTCCGTGAGTGCGTTCTGTACATGCACGACCGAGAAAATTAGTTCACCTTCATGACTCAAGAAGCCTGAACAACATACGAGAACCTGACTCGATTTCCTCGACAGGCAGCACGAGAGCACATGCTCGAAGACGGTCGTCATCCTTCCTCTCTCGAAGACCCCTTCCCTACTCTCTTGTTGTCTTTTCCTCCCGTAGTCGCTTGCCCTACACTCTCGCCGTCTCCTTCCCTTGTTGGTTCTTGCTCGTCATTTATTTTCTGCTTATCGTCTCTTCGCTCTCTTCATCTATCAGTCAAACAGCGGGATAGCCCAGTCGTACAGTTGCGAAGTTGAAGAACGGAGTGTTGGGAGGAAAAGGAGATGGAAGTCAGGAGCAAGAGACAGAAACTCGCCGTAAAAGGGCCGATGCGGGAAAGGAAGGAGGTTCGCACGAGGGGCTCCCGAGTCAACGTCGGTGTTCAAATTTCAAAGGTCCTAGAGTAGTTGTAGCTTGTATCTCTAGGTACATCACGGGTCGGTCGTTCCTCATTGGGACCTCGCCGGTAATCCAACCTTCCTTCCTTCCTCTGCTGTTGCGAATTGCACTCTCGGCTCGGATCGACTCTCGGTTTGCTGTCGTGGTTGAGATCAAGGTCTATGCGTCTCGGTGGCGGACCCGGGCCGTTGCCTGGCCCTATCCACAGTTCGTCCGGAAAATGAAAGGCTTCACATATTTTCGATGTCGATAGAATAAATGTATATTACAGGTATTGGACTGTGAACAGAAAGAATGTCTTCACTCCGTCAACAATAAGTGAAGGAGATAATACATCGTTGATGGAGCTCGTCCATCGAGTTGCACGATCGCTCGGTCGAGGAGGGGAAAGGGGTGGAAACAATGGGGAAGCCAGCCTATCATTTCGAAGGTGGGAGTCGTACGAAATCTTCGCGCCGACTCGGAAGCTGGAAGGCCGACTACAGGCGAAGCCTGAACCTCTTCTATGCGGAGATGTACGAGTTGCAGAAACTCGTCCATTTAACAGCGTGCAAGAGTCTGAGATGGCAACGACAATCCAGATATTTACTTTGCGTACAATGGTGCATCCTCGTCAAACGTTGCGTTGGTCCAACGCTTATCCGTGGGGTTCGTCGACCTTCAGCATACGGAAGGACCAGAGAAAATTCCCTAGCGCAGACCGACAAACTCGGCGAAATGTGCCACGGTGGAGGGTGGATTATGGAAAGCTTAGTAGAGTGGATAAAGAAGAGGTCGCGATCCAGGGCTAGCGGGTTGGGAAGGGCAGAAAGCGATTGAGATAGTGAGACTCACAACCAGACCGTAGTGAAGGCCACTTAGGTGGCACCAGAGGATTACAGGAGAGGGCGCCCTCGCCGGCGTTCAAGATTTGCATCGGATGAAAGCAAAGAGGTATGGGCGTTTCTGGATAGCTGAAGCGATGTGGAGATGTGAGCAGAGGTATCGAGACCCGAGAGCACAAAGAAAGAAGGGAATAAAAGGATTGCAAAGAAACGTCGGTGAAGATACACAACGAAAGAATGCCAGAAATAGGCGTGTGTGGATAAAGTGTCGTGAATTAAGATGAAAAGATGCCTGAGAGCATATGGGAGCAAAAACGTCGAGGAACGCTTGAGGAACGCAGACAATAAGCAGGAAAGGGGTCCAAGAAAAGGGATATACGCGATCGAAGGGCGTACACACCTCAGTGGTATTGCTGTAGGCACCCCGTACGCAGGTATTAAGCTGGCTGAAATCCCAGAGGTACGAAGGGTACCAAACGATAGGGCGCAGTGCAGGAGGCGTCTGGAGGTGGTGGGCCGATGGGCAGTGGGCCGGGAGTGCCGTCGTTCTCCGTCGATTCTGCTGCCCGTGCCTATGGCCATTCTCGTTCGTACGTTCCGCTCCAGATGCCTGTTTAGCCGCCCTTAGGCTTTTGGCCATCTGCCCGCACCCGCGCCACCCTTCCTCTTCCTCCTCTCCACCCCAGGCCCCGCTTCCCCCCCTCTCGCCCGCCGCTCCTTCTCCTGCTTCGACCGGTGTACACATGAGCGTATGCTCAAACACCGACCGCCGCCTACTTGACGCCTCCGGGCTCACCCTCTCGCCCGTCCTCTGCCCGCCTCCTACTCAGATCCTCTATGGCGAGGTTGGCGTTGAATCCAACGCAGAGGCAGAGCTCAGGGTGGGGTGAGTTGGCAGTGGGAAAATATAGGTGGGGTCAGAAGCAGAGACGGGGTTCGAGTGCAGCGTAGACGGCGAGTACACAGAATCCCAACGCGAGGGATCGAGCAGTGTCACGCCGAGGTTCCGGTTTGCAAGCTAAAGTGAAGGCGGGTGCGAGAGTACGAATCAATGATGTGTTGAGTAGAGAAAGAACCCGGAAGTGGCGCACCCTTCCTGAGGACGATCATGCCCATTCGCTCCTTCACCCTCTGGTAAACGTCCACCACGTGGACGTTGGGTAGGATGCAGAAAATGAGACCCACTGTCCAACAAGTTCGTTCAGCGCAGGTGTGAGATACATCCGCTAGTCTGGGTGGGTGTTTTACCCACAGACAACCGGAAAGATTGGTTCGTATTCGTGCACATGGTTGAACGAACATGAAGAGATTAGAATCCAACGCGGCTCGAACCATGGTGACATCAGCGCTGCACTTGTGCACAGCCACTCGGGGACTGCCGTCTCGTCAGCGTCGACACCCCTGCTCCCATCTCTCCCACCTCACCTCTCTTCGTGCCGTCCATCCATGCCCTTATCTGCCCGCTATCCCCTGATTTCACCCCTATACTTGCCCGCAACTCACCTCCCGCACAACGTCTGTTCTTTCCCCGAATCCGGTACGCGGCTTCAGCTATCGTCATAGATCTCAGCAGGATCCCGCATCGATATCGACGGTTACATCCCACTACACACCCACGAGGTACGAGATGAAAGATTGTAGGCCATGTATGAGGGGTTACACAGGAGAGATCGACCTTCCGCTGCGCCGTGTCATGCGAAGGGCGCTTGCTGGGTGTTCTCGCTCGCTTGTGTTGTCCATGCTCCAGAGCCTGCCGTCTTTCGAGCCCCTGCCCGCTGGACGAGAGGATGGCCAAACGAGAGAAATCACAAAAGCTTGACTCCCTCGGACAGACGTCGGCCACCTCGGAAATACCGGCCATGGGAGTCTAAGTAGGTGTCGTGACGACAATTCTGAGAGTATCTTCCCTCGCACGTCATTCGAATCACTGGGAGCTCCTTCCCGTCTCCCATTCCATCATCCAAATTAAATTTCCACCGCCTCCCAGCACGTCCACACCAGCGCCGACGCTCAAATCCCTCTTCCCCCCATCGTGCATGTGGATGCACAGACGTTTCATCTAGAGTACGTCTGATTCACGTACTGGGAGGTCACGGTTGGGAACTCCATGTTGGCGCTGGGCGCGTACTTCTGCGGTTTCTTTCTACGTCGTTTCTCTTTCTTTTGCATGGCCCCAGCCCGATACCGCGAAACACCGCATCTACCCACGGACTCGAAGGGAAACGGGAGAATACGAGACGTCTTAAGTACTGGCGAGAAGCAATGGCATGGCGCGGTATGTCCCGCGAATGTCCGTTGGCGCTCGCCTGTTATGTACACTCCGCACCGTATTCTCCCTTTTCGCGAAATGGCCTGGGGTGGCGATGGATTAAAAGTTCAAGATCGGTTTGGATTCGATGTCTACGATCTTGATGTGTCATGGTCTACCCTGCACTGCGGTTTTGTCAGTTGAGGGATATCGACCTAGTGCAGAACTCTCCTAGAGGTTATGGTCATTGCCCCCCAAAAGATCATGGCCACGAGGAACCTATAATCAAGCTCTTATCGGAAGAGACGAAGCTTCTATCTCGCTCGTCCTGTGGTGCGTTCTTTCGTACCCCTGGAAATTCCCATACGCGAAAGTGGGACGCTGATTTTCATCCCAGAAGATCTAGGACATAGTCATTGCAGTTTGTTCATTCGATTACACCTCTTTGTTCCTCCTCCTTGCTGATATTCAACGACAGCGGTGGCCGTCATCTATGAAAAGGAGAGGACCTAACCTTCTAAATTTATACACCACACATTCAAGCACGGCTCCAATTCGCGACTTCCTGGAACGGTAGAAACCGCTCTGCCAGTACTTCTTTCTCTCCTTCCCTTACTTTCGTCCTGGAAACCCTCCGAATTTTCAGCGATCCGTCCTCTCTGATCCCTCTCTTTCTCTGACAAGGTCAAAATGACCATCTCCAAGACTTCGGATTCATTCAACGTTCTCTCGTTTTCTTCTTATTCTTCCTTGGCTTTTTATTTTATTCGCCCTTGCAGTACATGGCTATTTAATTCTTTCAATTTATAGTCAAGGTTCAGAAAATACTCCCTTTAGAGTGACGGGGTAACAGCTTCGAAACCAGGACCTCCGTCGCAGGCGTTTCCCAAAGCCCTGTGACAGAATTTCAGAACCGTAGCGCATCAGAGTGCATCGCCGTCTGTGAAGCAGCAGCCGCTAGATTTGACGTCTGCGAGGATGCATAAACAATAAGCAAGCAAAGTCATTCCGGGATCGCATCCTGGTATAGTGTGAATTCTCGTGTGACGACCTCGCTCGCCCAAAACTCATAACCGAACCCGCACAATTTCGAGGGACACGCATACTGGATGCACGGCCATGCGAATCAAATCACTTCGAGAACAACTAGGCATCCACGAAGGAATCAGCGATTGTCAGGACCTAGATGAGAAGCGTAGGATTGCAGGTCGTGGAATCTGAGAGTTGCGCCGCATGTGAAAGCTGGATCGACGGGGAGAAAGACGAGGTTGGACGACGATCTGGTTGGAGACGCGACGTCTCCTTTTTCTTTTGGACTTTTGAACCCAGAGATTCTAAGAAAATGAAAGTAACTCGAAAGAATGACTTTCCGTCCCAGGGGAAAGGAAAAGAGGAGTAAGTATCGCGACTGAAGACATTGTATAATCTGGTGAGGGCCGAACGGAAGGATGATTAGAAGCACGAATGATATAAAAAATCAGACACCGAACAACGAGCAAGAGATGCCAGAAATGCGATGAGTAAAAACACATGAAGGCTCGCAAGGCCTACACACGTATGTAGATCCACGACCGCTGACCACATATTCTTTGACAACACATCGCCAACGACTGACGCGTTAGAAGTTGAACGCTACCAGTCAACTGACCAGGTGAAAGAGAAAGCAGTGGTTCTGGCAGTTGTGGACTCGTGGTAGGCGCATAGGAAGAGAGGTGCGAAGGAAAACGCTGCTCGAGGTGGGGGAGAGAGCGAGATTTTGGATCCGGAGAGGGGGGACGGACGAGGGAGGGGAGAGAAAAGGAGCACGTATATAAGATCGAAGAGAGCCCTACTAGGGTTTGGAAGCTTGGAGTTGCTGCTGATCAATGACTCAGACTAGGAGTGTAAAGAGAAGATATGTACGACGTACCACGTTGGGGGCCATTCCTTTCGTCTTCGTCGGTTCTGCCCATCTCTTGAGAGTTGTTTGATCTCCCATCCGCCAACTCAGGCACCATGCCCGCATCCGTTCCGTCCTCCCTCGTAGATATTGACGCTGAAAGACGTCCTCTTCACTCAGGCAGCAACATACGCCGCACGCTGCTGGGTTCTTCAACGCTGAAGTGGATGGTTCGTCTTCCGGCTGGACGATCGTCCCTTAATGCTAACGTCGTCAATGGAATAACGGTGTGTTCGTGCGTTCGATGATGAGTTAAGCGGTATATGTACGGACCTCGATGATGGAGAAGAGGATGGCGCTGAAGAGGACTGGGAGGAGGTGAGACGGAGGATGGAAGGCAGAGGGCGGTAGGTGCTTACTTTAAGAATGATTTTGTCTATAATGTTCTACGAGGCATTTCTCTGGCAGTAGTATTTCGTTCATTCGTTCGACACGAGGTCTTCTTGCGAAAGTCGTCAGTGTCGGGCAGTCAATGCTTGAAGTTGTGGGTCGCGGGCAAAGATGCGAGATATCGTGATATTGTGAAGGGTTATGGGGTCGTAGCGGGCAGAAGCACAGAGCTATATGGGATTTGTAGATGTGCAGGTGCAATCATCAGCCTTGGACTAGCCTAGTGCTGTGGAAGAGTGAAGAGAAAGGGGTGCAGTAGCGTTTGGCCCGTTCAAAACAGTGATGTCAGAGGTTCACAGCCACTCGGCAACTGCCGGCCTGTGAGGCTTGCCATCGCCTGCGTTCCCTTGCTCTCTCTTTGCTTCCATATCCTCAACGCCCCTGCTTCTGTCTCTTTATCTCCTCCTTTGATTTAGTCTGCTTTATGGCATCTGCATATGCTCGTATCTGCCCGCTCTCGCTTGATCTCCGCCCATCATTCTGCATCATGTCAAGCCCGATTCTCTCCCCTCGCCCACCTTGCACCCGACTTTGACTGATCAGAACTTTAGATCCGAATTACCCTTCTCCTTTCCCAAACCAAGTGCGTATCCTACAATCTGGTTCAATAGTGCTAGTGAGTACTTGCCGCATCGATATCACCCTTGTGTTCTCCTTCCGAGAGTTGGATCGCTGGTGTCTCCATTCCCTGATTATCGACTGCGGCTTCCTATCGCACTCCCCACAAGGTGCGAGGCGAAAGACGAGGGATTATGCATGAAGGATCCCACAGGCGAGGCTTGCATACTTGCGCTAAGGATGCGCCCGGCGTGTGCCTCCGGCTCTTCTCGCTCGCCTGTGCTGTCCATCAAAAGCACAGTCGTCCGTCTTTCGAGCGTCCACTGGGAGAGTGAGTGGTTGATCGAGAGAAAACACTGGTAAATCTCGGCTGGCTTGAAGTACTGGCCGATTTGATTCGCTCTGGAGTCATAGGGATCTTGTTGACAATTCAACGTGCGTTTTCTTGCTCGACCCTCCGGAATCAGTGCGAGCTCCTTCCCATCTGCCATTCCTCCATCTAAATCCCCACCACATCCCAGCACGCCCGCACCAGCGCTGACGCTTGAATCCCTCTTCCTCCCAATGTGCACAGAGGCTTCACCTCCGTCTGATTCACGCATTGAGAGGTATCCAATGGGGTCTCGGCATCAGCGCTGGGCACGTACTCCTGTGGCTTCTTTTCGACGTCCATTATCTTTATTTTGCATGGCCCCAACCCGATATCGCGAACCACCTCATCTACCTACAAATTCGACGCGAAATGGGGGAATACGAGACGTCTCACTGGCGGGATACAATGACATAGCGAGGTATGTTCTGCGAATGGTGTGTTGGGTATCTCGCCTCATATCGAGCAATTCCTCCCGTATTCTCCCATTTTTCTGCGAAAATGGCCTGGGGTGGCGACGGGTTGCAATTCCAAGCCTTTGTTCTACGGTGTACCTCTGGCAGCAAACCTCATCTACTGAGGCATGAATACCGAATTACTGTGGAGCTCTCCTGGAAGTTATGCATATACGTGTTTGCTCACATCCGTTGCTCCCCACGAAAGGACAAGAGGGCGACTCGCTTTGAAAGGTGTTAATTTATCACAGGCCGAACCTCGCGTATTGTGCATATCGAACGTACGGAAGGGTGTGTACCATTGCTCTTCTTAAACTCGGGATTTTATGCCCTATGCTGACGAGCATTGACTCTTCGCTTCATCTCTTGAGACGGCCTTTTCCTTGCAAGCCCGTAGAAAAGCCCTGCAGCGTGTGGTTGATTGACGGGTTCTTTCGCTATTCATTCAGTTCCAGCCATTCTGCCCTCGTTGAATCTTCGTACGTTACTACCTCTGGGTTGCTCTCATTGGGGAGATACAGAGTGCCTTCACCAACTGTTACTGAAAGCGTCGGGCATATCAGCCAGCTTCGCAGCTATCGATTCGCCGAGTTCTTTCCCGTGTTGCCATCTTTCGTTCTTCTCTTCTCTGCTCTCGCTCATCCACCCTGCTCCTCGCTCTCACGCCTACTTGCCTGCCTCCTGCCTCCTGCCTCCTGCCTCTACCGTGAAGCCTCGTAAACTGTACTTCGCAATCGATACCAGCACCATTTGAGTCAATCGTTCCTGTTTCCAACTCTCGCGCCTTCGTACTGGCGATAATAGATCAACGTTTGGACATCGACCACCACCCTCTCGGTATTCAGTCTTGCGCCCCTCGACTACCCCCATGACTCACGAAATGAAAATCTTGGTACTATTTGCGCCAGCGAGTCCTCTGCTGTGCTGTGAAGAATCCTGACGACTTGTAAAGGGCAGGTGCAGGACGATCTCCTCCCCCTCATATGCGATCTGCTCTTCAACAGTAGTCTGAGCGCGTCGTGCCTCAACTCTAAACTTGACGTGTGTTGTCCGGTTCTTATTGCAATTTATTTGGCACTCATCTTCCACCACCGCCGCCACCATCGAGTTGTCTCGCTCCTGAGCCATCTTTCTTCCTCTCAGTATCTGTGAATTGTCATGGCCCTTCTCTTACCCGGCAGCCCATGAAGCGAAAAAGGGCGGCGATGAAGGATCTCACAGGTGACTGCCAGCTCCGTCGTGTTGAGCTCCTTGCTGCGGACCGTTCTTCTAACGCGTAGCTTGGGTCACTTGTGTGCACTGTTCCTTGTGATCTGCCTTTTTTCGAGCTCATGGACCGGGGGTAGCGGGGTGGCCGGGAAAGTGAAAGCGTCGAACTCAACTTGCGACCTGAAACGTCTCTTCCGCGTAGTGGCAGAAACTGATGCACCGCCCTCTCCTCTCTCGCAATCTTTGGATAGCTTTAGATCTCGACTATTATCAGTTGGATAAGGACATCCTTGCTTAAAACCGGTCTTGCTACCGAGTCATCTTAATGATTCCGGGTCTCGAGTGGCTCTTTTGAAGTCTTTTCCAGCACGACCTTCACATACAATTCGAGTTCCCCTCTTTCCTTCCATTCCCTAATCCTAAGTGCCACCATCTCCAGCACCTCTGCAGCTTCTTGCGACGGTCTTTGTGCTGCAAGTCCCCAATCCCACACTGCGCACCACCTCACCCACCACGATCTCGACGCTAAAGCAGGAGAATACAAGACGACGACGATTGACTGGCAAGAAACAATCGCGTGGCACGATATATTCTACGAATGCTTTCGGTAGCGCGCCTCCATGTCCGCGAAATCGTATTCCCCTTTTTTCACGGAAGGGGCCTAGGCTGGTTACTACGACCTCTATACGCAATGTCATTTTATTTTTGAATTCACCGGGGGAGTCGTGCATAAGATCAACGAGATAGAAGCTTCTCCTCGTCCGGTAAGAGCTTGACTAGAGGTTCTTTGCGAGCTTGATCTTTTTCCAGCTAGTGGTACGCGTCTTCGTACTGCTTACTCTATACCCTCTCGTGCACTTCCATCCGGGATCTTTTCCTCTCTCATATACGTTAGGGTCTTCGCAGTTGTCATGCCGGTGATGACTCCTCCTGCGTTAGGGAATTCGCCGCAGTCTGTCTGTGGAGAAGCTAAGAATTGTACGTTGTTCCCTTTCGCGGCAGAACAGTAGGGCGTATTCCACCCGTGGAGACTGACCAAATGGCATGTCGAAATTACGAAGCTGGTATCGACTCCAGCGTTAACATAAGCGAGGAAGCACGAAACGCGACATCATAAATGCCTCTGGTCTTCGTGATTTCACAGCCCGAGCCGGCGGCTGCCCGACCGAATTTCGACCCTCAGATCTTTTTTGGACACTCGCCCTTCGCCCGTGAACGTTGGAATAGGCAATCAAGGCGCTTTTTGGCCCGTAAAAATGGAGCTAATGGCCTGCTGCCAGTGTTCGTTCTGATCTCGACAGAAGCTTCGATTCTCATGTACCTGGGATTTTTACCGCATGATGACAATCCGATAGAATCAAAATGCGACCAAGATAAAGTCGTCAGTACACGACAGTTGGACGAAATACTTATGTCACGTCAGAGGAAAGGATGTGCGACAGGCTATTTTAATCAAGGCGACAACACCAATTTATTCTTATTCGTCCTTCGGATGTCGCCGGCCGCTTACTGTAGATGACCGGCATCTCGGTCACTCTAGAGTCACCTAAGATTTGCGTGCTTGGTTTGGGGGTATCAGAAGAAATAACAGTACTACTCAATAGGCAAGCATCTGAAGTACCTGTGCACCAATTATCAGAAATTCAAGGGACGGTTTGAGACCTCCATGAATATTTTATTTCAACAGGTCAAAATCGGTCAAAATCAGGAAGTCGGCCAGGCCCCGAGACTAGACCGATTTGTATTGGTCTCGTACACTAGGGTCAGTTATGCTTAGTAAGCTGATGATAAGATAACCTCGGAATATGAGGACAGTACTTGGCCACCTTGAATTGCTCTTCAAAGTTGGTCTGACCTCAACAAAAAAATGTTTCCAGTGAAAGTTAGACACCTCTATCATATTCTGGTCTTCTTATTTCGTGATTTCTGATGTTTTCCTTTCAGTTATTTAATTTAACATTTCTCATCACTCAAAACAAGATTTTTCAATTGCTTGGTGTCTTATGTTTGGAAGAAATGTGTGAAAATTAAGGGGTCTTCTGTCATGCACACATATTTGCCTCACAATTCATTTCACCTCTTTTTTTAGGCAATAGATGCTTTGTACTAAGAGAAGTCAGCAGGAACAGTCCAATTCACCTCCAAAATGGCACACTCTCCAATTTTCAAGGTTGGAAGTGCAGCAATCCTTCAACATGAGAGGAACTTACTTAATTATACAGTAATCACTATGAAATTTGTCCAAAGTATCTTCCTGGCAATGTGTCATGTCGTCGAGAAAAGCCCTCCACCAGAAACACGATATCAAATAAGGAAATTGGCCATCACACATCACCAGACACAAAGGGAGGCTCATTTCTCTGCAAGGAATGGTGTTCTGTCTGCCAAAAAATGCAGTTACATTGCTCTGATACTATTATACATGAAAGCACAAAAAGAATGGAGTGAAACAAGCAACTGTGCCACCCACAAAGGCAATGACTGAGTAGCTGGTGTGACCGAGTAACCGGTTACGTACAGTACATGTGACAACACCTGTGGGCTCTTACGTGGATGTAGTCTTTTCTCCACAGAACATCATCTTCCCGATAGCGACATTGTTGTCTACTCTACAAAAGACTCAAGGCTCAGCTAGAAACATGTGGATCTGTAGAGTCTGCAAGCACAACGCTAATGACGAACCGTGGCGACAAGATATCGACTTTTGGCTGCAGAATTCTTTGGTTCCCACACATGCTCTGCATATCTCGAGCTCAAGATCCTCGAGAACCAAATAATCGAAACTCGGGCATTTCTATTCCATCTCCAAATACACCTCCTTGCCCTCAGGTCCAACTACAATCACGCACACAACCTCTTCACCCACCGCCTACCTTCCAAAATCATGTCATCCATCTTCGAGTTCTATGCCGCCAGTGCACCAGACGAGATACCCAGTCGTCTTTTGTTAGGTGCCATTTGCAAGAGATGGCGTCAGATCACTTGGGAGACCCCGAGCCTCTGGTCGACGATCCATGTCAACCTCGACACGTGCCAACCACATGTCGAGCTATTGTCGCAGTGGCTAAGAAGATCAGGACAGCTTCCTCTGTCGATTCGAATATCCAGCAACGCCGACTGCATACGCTTCTCAATGGTTGAGCCTCCATTCAGTGTTCTCAATCAGTACTCATCACGGTGGAGCAATCTCAATATTTCATTGCCATTTGCCTTTTTGCCCTTCCTATCCAGAAGTGGGACGTCCAGCTCCAACTTAAAGACTCTCACCATTTTGCCACCGGTTGACAGTGACGACAAACTAGCAGACCAAGGCAAAGGCGTCTTTAAGCTTTCTAACGGAGATCCACACCCAGATACCATTTCTATTAGAGGATTGTCGTTCAACGCTGTCCACGTTGATTGGTCCAACGTAACGGATGTGCATTTCGAGGGAATTACACTTCTCGATTGTATGTGCCTCTTTAAACAAGCTTCTCGACTCATCAAGTGCTCAATCACCACCGAGGACGACGGGAGCATCCTACACTTCGACACACCTCTCATACACCCATCCATTGCACATCTCATCATTGTATTCAGCTTGTGGGACACCCCTGACGATCTATTCGATCGCATCTCTCTCCCCGCACTGACGGAGATGGATTTTACTGTCAGACAGTCAGATTATGATTCATTTATTTCCCTCATCGAGCGTTCCAGCTGCATTCTAAGTTCCCTCTCCATCACAAATCAGAAGCCACCCACTGCTGAAGATCTTGCCAACTTGTTGTGGACCACATCCAGTCTCGAAAACTTTGCACTCAAAGTACCACATATCCCTCCTAATCTCTTTGAGCTTTTTTCTTTGCCAGACTCAAACGACGAGGGGGAGATTCACCCAATATTCCTCCCCCTACTGAGAACATTTCAATATCGGGGAGGTAGCTCACATTTATCCTGGAAATCCTTCATTGAAGCTTGTACATTGATTCTCAGGATACGAAGGAAAAAAGAGGCGGCTCTTCCCTCCTTTGAATTTGTCCTCGACCTCAAAGACAAAGATCCGGACTCGGCCTCGTCTCAGGCAGAGCTGAACAAGGTTACTGTGGCATGTCTGTGTAGCTTGATAGATCAGGGTATTGGGCTCAAAATAAGTAACAGCTCAGGAGACATACTTCAGCAGGCTAAGAGGCGTTATAAAGCAGAGAGGTTCGGGGTTGGTGGATTCGATGAGGAGTCCGAGTGAGGCATAGAAAGTGAGCTTTCATTTTAATTTGAACTTTCAAGTAGCTCTAATGTGGTTGATTTGCTGCGTAGTAAGGATTGGGCTCAAAATGACCGTCTCCAAAGTTCTCTCTTGTTTCATTCTCCTTTGTTAGCTTGTCTTCATAGATTATTCACCCTCGCAGTGTGTAGCTATATAATTGTTATACTTGGGTCCAAGTTCAGAAAATACTCTCCCTAGCACAGTGATGTGCCCGGACCTCCATTGAATGGGTTTTCCAAACTCCATGGTAGAACTGGCAGAACCACCTACAAAGCTCAGACCTGACATCTGGCAGGGACGGGAGTCAGGCCGTCACGGATGGCTAACACAAAGCCAGCAGAGTCAGATCGCATCCTGGTATACTTAGTCTAAGTTCATGTGTACCCTAAATCAACACATAACTGAACCCACATAGAGTCTACATAGAACAATTTTGAGGTGACGCACCTATTGGATGCACCACCATGAAAAGTGAATTGTATCAAGTATCGAAAACAACTAGGCATCCACACACTGCCATGACGGAATCCGTGAGCGTCAGGCTTTCAGACCTTCAGGTCCTACCTAGGTGACAGGCGTGCTGTGGAACCTAGTGTTGCGCCTCATATGAAAGCTAAATGGAGGGAGAAAGGAGACATTGGACGGCGATCCGGTCAGAGACAAGACACCTGCCCTTGCTTTCAAACTTTCAAACTGGGAAGTTATAAGGGAATAGAAGAAACTTGGACTAAATTTCCATCCTGGTGGAAAGGAAAACCGAGAGAAAAGGAGGTGTAGGTGTTGCGAATGAAGACATGTCCGGCGAAGGCCAAACGGAAGGATAGTTGGAGGCACGAAGGATGTCAAGAATCAGACACCACACCAAACCGCGACCGAGGGATTCCAGAAATGCAACAAGGAGAAACGTGAAGGTGGTTTGCAGGGCCTATACACATAGATTCATGACTGCCATCCTCTGCTATTGCGGTCACATCCAGCCAACGGCTGGCGCGTTGGAACGCTACCAGTCGACTGATTAGATGAGAAAGAGAAAAGCAGCGGTGACGGCGGTTATGACAATGGCATAGTCAGAGAGACATGAAGGAAAACGCTGTGTGAGGTAGCGGAGAAAGCGAGACTTTGGAAAGGGGCACAGAACGAGGAAGAAGGGGAGGAAGAAAGACACATGAATTATATGGGATTGAAGAGAGCCTGTACGAAGACATGAAGTTGCTGCTGATCGATGACTCAGAAGAGGAGTGGAAAAGAGAAAACAAGTGTGACGTACCAGGTCAGGGCTAATTACTTTGTCTCAATGAGTTCCTTGACTCGATCTTCCATCCACCCACTCAGGCCCCGAACCTGCATCCGTTCCACCCTCCATCGCGCATCTTGATGCCAAAAGACATCCTCTTCACTTGGGTGGCAACATACGCCGTACGATGCTAGATTCTTCAATGTTGGAGTGGATTGTTCGTCTTCCGGCTAGACGATCGTCCCGGGCATTAATGTTAACATTGTCATTGGAATAACGGTGCCTTTGTGTGCTCGATGCCAATTGGGTAGGTAAGTGACGGACCTCCCAGTGGCAGTGGAGATTGGCCTGAACAGGTGTTGAGATGTGAGAGCAACGCCTAAGCCGAGGTCTTCGAGGCTGTCAACGGGGGAAGCAATGTTAGTGACAGCAAGAAATGCGAACAAGTGGAGGCAAAAAGTCGAAAAGGACGACGCCGGGGTATAGGTTTAAGAAACTTACAAGATGAGCATTCTGTTGTCATTGAGACCGGCGTCAACAATGTGAACCAATTATAGTTTGCAAAATAAAACAAGTAGAGGTATGAGTATAAGCACAGAATCAAGAGAAAATATGCAAATTTGATGGAAGAAGTGAATGATGAGGACGAACGATGTCATGTCCTGCCGTGCCTGGTATTCCAAAAGCCAACAGCCATCTTTGAGGTTCGTTTGGGTAGCACATTTCTTATGTAGTTGTTAGATTAGTCATACCGCCTGCATAGCTATTAGCTAGATTGTGGGCGAGGCACGGGAGTGCCCTCCAGCCCATCGTGGGGACCTTTTCTGAGACGAGCGGAGACACCCAGCCGAAGTAGGAATGCGTGGTCATGACGTGCCGAATGAGTCTCGGTCGGTCCCCATCATAAGAAGGAGTGAGCGCAGGTTCCAGACAATTCATCACTCTGTGTCCTTTGGACTTCTGTTCGTGAGTACCTCAGGCTACACCCAGTTGAATGGAGTGATCCTCCTATCCGTTGCTGAGAATCAGGTGAGGATGGAATGTTATAGCCTCCCAACGGAACATGTGAGTCTGCACATGAGCTGCCTAGAAACATGCATGATTTCGACATGGAGACATTAGCGCCTGTAGTGGCTTTCTTTGCTGTTAGCTGTGGCCAAGACTCGCATCGTCTGTGCTAGCTTACACAGAGACCCTACCATAAATAGCAGACAGGAAGTGTGTAAACATAGCTTCTCTCCATTCCTCAGCTGTAGAAGTAAATTTAGGACAGAAACTGGGTCAGAACCATAGGTCTGTAAGGACCCTTCCATTCTACTAGTATGCTTGGACCCATGATTTCTCCTCCGCATGAAGCCAGGCTTCCCAGACCCAAAGCGAGGATAAATAGCTAGTTTGGTCCTCTTTACCCCAGTTTTCTAATAAGTATGTACTTTCTTAGCAAGAAAGAGCCAAGGAGTCAGCTGCTGGAGGGACTACTGCAAACACAGAGTGATCATGATTGTTGGCCAATGATTCGTCAACGACGTTCAGTAATAGCTAAGCACTGAGATTCAGTCATGGTTCTCCTACGATGTCGAGAGCTTGCGCCTCCTTAATGAACTCCCAAGTTTGGTCTCCCGGGAACCCTGACAAAGCAGGGTGAAAATACTGCTGCAACTTGTATCAGCATCAGCGATTTATAGCTTCTGCTATTTGCAAAGGTCAGTTGTTTTCCTTATTTTCTCGAAAGGAAGGACACAGGGCGAGAAATAAATTACCCATGAGCCATAAGTTGTGTAGTCGGATAGCTGTGTAACTGGCCTAAATTTAAACAGCATTAGAGGCATGATAAATTCCTTCGAAGTAGAGTTATTTATAAGTAGCGAAGCAGCTTGGCTGAGAACACCTAGCTGTGTCCGAAATACTCGTGCAGAATACAGGTAGTTCAGCCATCAAATGAATAACTGTTGCATAGATTATTATGGGGGAAGCTTAGCATCAAAATTAATACAGCCTTACATGCTTGTGATGCACACCAGACATGGGTGTGAAAGGTGACCAGACAAGCTCGGCAGCTTTAGAACGTAGCTTGGGGTGCTACTAGTAGGGAGTTTGAATAACTGCTCGTGGGGCAGCACCTCAGACATGTGGTTAAGGGACCAATGACAACTTGAATAAGGTAGTGTAGCATCATCTTGAGAGCCATCATTCTTGCGCCGCATGGTTGTCGTCATGTCCTCGCCTTAGCGCCATATCTCTTTTCAAGTGCTTCATTGAGGCAGGAAGTCTGACACCTCATAGCAAGGATTTGAGACACGCTAGCAACTGCTCGACTCAGGTCCGTTGATGGTCTAGTACCTTGTGCTGCGGCAGTGCATAGGAGGCCGGGAGGCGCCCATGCACTCTGAACTTGTGCACTTTCTTGGCAGCTAGAACATATTCATGAATTAAACACTCAGTGCAACAGCTTCAACAGAATCAATGATCTCAATAGCCATTCACTAAGCCCACTGAAGGTCGCTGTCAGCATTTATCAGCAATTCCGTTCTCCGAGTCGTTCTCGCTCTTGCCACTAGCTCCGTTGGAACTTGAACGTTGAATTCCGAAGACAGAATTTTGTTGAATGAATTTATCTTACCAGGCGTCCATTTTCAGAAGAGAGTAGGTACTCCTATTGAGCAGTTTGTCAATAACCCTAGAGCCAGGTTCCAAACGCCATTGCTGGAGCTTAAGATAATAGTTCCAGCATGCTATGCAGAGTGGAACAAGGACCGTGACCATAGACTACCACGTGCTTATCCGCTTACAGGTCGGTGCGAGGAGTTTCAGACTCCAAGAATATGAGTGTAGGGTTATGACTGTTCTGCACCAGTGGGCACTTAGTTTGTGCTTGGCGCTGTCTGCCATGCCATATTTTCCAGCTTATGGTTCGGTACGGTACAAAGCCATAATGATGCTGTGGGGGGGGGCGAAGTCGCGAAAATACAGCGCCATCTATACAGCCAACTGCCGTCATGGTTTGACACATAGACGGCCTTCATTCTAGGATATGAGGTCCAGAAGAACCTAGCAGCAATCTTACTGTTGGGCATCACAGAGCTAGTGCCAATCCACATTGTGTACTATGTTGATTGCGACAGGGTCATGCTTCATAATGCGAAGTGGGTAGCATCGGCGATAACGGCTCGTATGTGCAAGAAAAAGATTGTTGACATTATTAGTGCGTCAATTCATTGCTTTATATATGAAACAACCACGTACCATGCTCTTGGTGGACTGTATTCACATCGTTCGGGTGTCTTCATTATTTACTTTGACCTAAGGACTCAGCGTACTCACACCAGCCCTGCTGGTCCAGAACATGGAAGATCAGTCAAGCAGCTGATTTCGACTTTATGGTTGTTAGCAGATCAGACAGGATAACGCAGAACCCATTCAGGGGGTAACAGAAGGCAAAGACTTCACAAGGCGTGGAAACCTACCGAAGTCAGACAGCATTCAATGGCGTTCACGAAAGATAGCAGGCAATATAATTGTATGTGGGTTGAATACTCGTCGGATGTCTTTTAGCAGGTAGCATGGCAGAAAGGTGCAGTATATAGACAGCTGGGTAACTTACCAATGTCGTGAACCCTCATTGAGGTATTGCGGGTGATCCAGGCCCGTATTTGAATCCTTATCCCGGTCGGGGCATGCGCGACGTCAGATAAATCAGCATAGAACATACTTCAACACAAGGGAGGACACGAAAAGGTAGCCATGTGAGTGCGACAGGAAGGCCAGCCAGGTGAGAGGAAATAGGCAGGGGGGACCAGCTGGCGAGCAGCCAAGGCGATAGACAAGCAGAAAAACGTTGTTCGCGCACTAGTGTAGTGACAACAGCAAGCTAGTGATGAAATTACCTACTCGTGGAAGAAACAGCCGACCTGTAGCAGCACCAGCAGTAGCAGTAGCAGGGCAAAGCCCTAATGGACGGCAAGCAGCAGAGGGTTTACATGCTGGTGGGGGATAACCAACCCAAAGTAGCACCAGCAACCGGGCAGAGCCCGAAGGAATAGCAAATAGCAAATAGCTAGCGAGGGGATAACCGACTCGCAGCGGCAGCAGCAGCAGCAGGGCCAAGCCCTCAGAAATAGCAAATAGCAGGAACAGCGAAGCGGGGTAGGTAGCGAGGTGGCGGCGACAGACAGACGTAACTCGTATAATGTATTAGGGACGTGACACTGTTAATCGATGGTGATGAGTCGAAGCTTGCACCAGTGGGATGGGGAATGTCGTTGATAGATGACTCCCGGGATGAGGGAAGAGGGATGTCAATGGTCGCTTGTCCAAGATAGCATTGGTTATGACCGCCACCGTAGGCAGTGAAGCCGCCAACATCAACTGGCATTGATGGGTATTCCAATTTAATTTTACGGGCATATGCGGTTTTGGGACGCTCTCGAGACACGGTTGTCACGCGTATTCTGCACGGAAAGCGAGACAGTGCTTTTTGAGTAGAGACGGCCAATCACACACCTCTTGTACTGCATTACAGATATTCCACCATGCCATTTGCTCTCTTTCTTGGTCTAACTTCGCATACCCGAGTTCCTAGGAGGGGTCTCGAGACTCGATCTTTGGCAAGGAAGCTGACCCTCGTGCCAGCTGGCACTCAAAAGATAAGGGGGATCCGTGAAAGACACAGATTTGTCGACTGCTGTACTATAAGAAACCCTGAAATGAGATTTTGAAGCGCTCAACGCGGCCGTTGAGGTACGGCGTTGAGGCTGAGGCGAGCCTTCGAGGCGAGATGGTGGTGGCACGAAGCAGAGAGCGTCACGTGCCACCCGCCACTCGCTCGAAGATCTCTTCGTTCGTTCCTCACTCACTCTAGAACCGCAAAGATGCAAAGGCCAAACGATCGTCAAAACCGCATAACGAGAAGGGAGTCGGGGAACGAGGAATTCTGCGCAGATTAAAATAGAAGAAAAGCAAAAAACCGTCAGCTCACTTTCACTTTGAGCACCTCATCTTATCAGCGAACGCAACGTCCAATGAATCGACTCCAGCCTCAAAGCTTTAACACATCACTCCTCTCAGTCAACAAAACACTCTACACAGATTTCATATTCCTGGGATTCGACCCTGTCAGGTGTTGGAGACCGTGGTGTCGTTGACTATGCAGCGCGTGGGCGAGCGGGCGGAGGTCCATAGACCGCGAGATTGGGCCGGATGGAAGGCTTGAGGATGACCGAGAAGCGTATACAGGTGCATATTCCAGAGCCTAGCTGTGTCGCTCTTAGGATTGAGCCAGGCAGGTGTGGGTGATCATTTTAGGGTGGTGAGTGTGCGTGTCAGCCTGCATCATTATTTCAAGCCGCATGTAGAGTGCTGAAAGTGCCACACGTATCCGCACATACCAACTCGCCGTACTCCTCATTCAACAGTCACTCAGTACACATGGAGACGAACTAGTGAAAACTGTGAAATTACCAGTTAATCAGCTCAGAGTTTAACTAGAAATCTGCAGAGGATATGCGGAAGATGCGGCTACTCTCTTAACCAATCGCATATGCCGCTCTGCAATAATTTTAACAACCTTCGCCGAATCGCCTACGCAGAGCGACGAAGCAGGCTCAGCTTAGGCAAATACAGGACAGAAAAAACTCGAGAATCGATGTCGCAAGCCTACATGCAGCCCACATGGGTAACAAAAGGACAACGAAGGTGAAGTTCGAGCTACAGAGGAGCAGGAACGAATTCGTTTTGATGCACTAGGATAAGAGAGCAGGAATAATTATTGACGTACAAGGGAGAATATTCGCTGAGCGATTGAGAAATAGAAAAGGAGGGGATCGACGCTACGGAAAAGATCGTTCTTTAGCGAACCGCCATTCATTGGGCAATCATAGAAACAGAATTTTTTGGATCATCCCCTTTCGAGCGGGACGGCTCCCTTCCCTTCTCTTCGTATCTCTATAACCGTACGAAGTACGTATACACCACCGGATCATCCATTGTCTGCGTCATTTCTGAGGCTCCATGGGGTTTCCCTCAGGGGCCCTCGTCTTCGCCAGTTACCATACCATAGAACGATGGGTACCCCTGTACCAATACATTTCATACTTTGTTCTAATCGCCAAAGTCCATGCGTCGCAGGAAAAGACCAAAAAGGAAAGAAATACACCGTTTTCGGATATTCAAAATGGTGGTCAAGATGACCGTCCTGATATCGAGAAAAATTCAGTGCGACACCTATCTTCCATCCTAAATCTCCAGATCTCAGTCCGATCAAATCAAAACCCAGGCGTGTACAATTTACTGGTCGGAGGTAGTTACACCTTGGAGGAAGTTATCACATATGGAAAATAAGGGGGAAGAACTGGGACTCAGTATTGAAGAAGACGAGGGCATAAAAGCATTCTCGTACTAAACCACTCATTTATCCACCAATTTTGCTGTATATCGCGCAAATATCCGTTTATTCTCGTTCGTCCGCGTCATCTCCGATGTCAAAGTTGCTCACGTGCAACGACTACCACGGGCGCTTCCGTCAACCTCGTCTTTCTTTCGCTGATCATCACCTCCCCTCCCCTCGACGCTCTCACATACAGCGCAAGATACACAAAGGTCAAGCCCCAGAATGTGCACCTGTCGAGTCTGCAAGCATAAAGCCAACGACGAACCTGGTGCGAGGAGATACCGACTCTCCGCTGCACGAGCATGCTCCGCGTGCCTGGAGCTCAAGATCCTTCAGAACCAGATCATCGAAACTAGGGCATTTCTCTGCCATCTCCAGAAACATCTCCACGCCCTCAGATCCAACTACAACCACGCACACGACCCTTTCACCCACGCACTGCCGCCCGAACTCATGTCCCGCATCTTCGAGTTCTGCGTCTCCAGCGCCCCAAATGGGATGCTCAATCCACTCATCTTAGGCGCCGTTTGCAAGAGATGGCGTCAGATCGCTTGGGCTGCCCCGAACCTCTGGACGACCGTCCGTGTCAACCTTGACAGGTTTCAATCTCGAGTCGCACTGCACTGCGAGTTATTATCGCAATGGCTGGCGAGATCGGCGCAATTACCTCTCTCGATCTGGATATCCTGCAATGAGTCCAACATAAACCCCTCGATGCATCCTCTAACTTCCCAAAACGCGCTCGAAATCCTCAATCAGTACTCAGCACGTTGGCAATGTCTCGACATTTCGATGCCGCTTTCGCTTTTACCCGTCCTTCGTGGAAGAGGGAAGTTCATGCCCATCTTGAAGAACCTCATCATCACACAACCTTCAGACAGTTACGATGATCCATCAAGCCAGGGCGAGGAAGGCTTTCTGCTTTCCAATGTAGATTTACGTCCAGAGACCGTCTCAATTACGCGACTGCCTTTCAACGCGGTCCACATCGACTGGTCTAACGTAACAGAGGTATATTTCGACGGAATGACGACCGTCGATTGCCTTTGCCTCTTCCAACAGGCCATTCAACTCGTGAAATGCTCAATCACCATCGACGAGGACGAGAACGTCCTGCATTTCGACACACCTTTCATTCACCCTTCCCTCGCACACATAACCATAATTATGCGCGATTGGAATTCCCCTGACGCCTTGTTCGATCGCATAACCCTCCCAGCATTAAAGGAAGCAAACTGCATGGTTGCCCGCCCCGATTACGACGGATTCATTTCTCTAGTTGAGCGATCTGGAAGCGTTCTGACTTCCCTCTCCATCGCGAACTGGGAGCCACCCAGTTGCGAGGGCCTTTCCGAATTATTGCGGACCACATCCCGCCTCGAATACCTCATGCTCAGAATACCGGATTTGCCACCTGGTTTCTTCGAGTTGTTTGCTCCACCAGAATCTTCAGACAGCGACGACGGCGCTCACCGGATATTCCTCCCTCTACTTAGAAGGTTCCACTATAGAGGAAGTAACTCTTACATATCCTGGAAATCCTTCATCGAAGCAGCTGAGTCAATGCTCAGGATACGAAGGCAAAACGATGCGGCTCTGCCCTCCTTTGAATTCATCTTCGACACCGAAGACGAAGATTCCGACTCTGACTCGTCTGATGCGGCTCAGGGGAGGGATGAGGTCTACATGGCCCTTTTGTGTGGTTTGATTGACCGAGGGATTGGACTCAAAATAAGTGACGGATCAAAGGATTTACTTCAGCGTGAAAAGAGGCGTTTTGAGGCGGAGAGGTTTGGTGTTGACGATTGGGATGGCGAGTTAGGATAAGACGGAGTCGTACATGAGGTATCGAGGCGGAAGGGGTGAATAAATCATGTTTATATGAAAGTGCAGACATACGAGAAACGTGAGGGAGCATCAGTGCTATTTTCTTGTTTGAAAGTCGAAATATTATCATCTGCTCAATCAACATTCGTCAGCCGTTCCGCGAAGCGATAAACGAGGGAGAGAAGCCAAGAACTTACCAGTGTTGGAGATCCTCACACAAAGAACCCCAACCCATCCACATCCCCCACCGTCTCTTGCTGCGGCTTCCTCACCTCGAGCTCGCTCCACCGATCGCCCTCGAACCTCCTCTCCCACCACGAGGCCCTCTCGAGCTGCACCACCCGCAATGCCTTGCAATACCGATTCCACCCGATCAAGTAGTCCTTCAAGTCCGCGCGCTCCAGGATCTCATCGCGCTGGTCGCGCGAGCGTGAGATGACCCAGCCGCCGAGTGACGGAGAGGAGGGGAAGTACGTGTCGTCGAGGTCAGGGGAGGTGGAGGTGTGCATGAGCGTGGGGTGGGGTTGGTTCATGTTGGAGTTGAAGAAACCTCCGCCGCCGCCAGCGCCTGAGAGCTGGCGAGACGTGACGTTGCAGGCGCGGTCTTGGAGGAGTTTGATCGTGTGTAGACTTTTGAGATCGAAGAGGATATTCGATCCGAGCGTCACGAAGAAATCCTACGAGTGAACGATTTGGTAAATGAGTGACGCGAAGAATCAGGAAATAACGCACCCCAGGGAAGGTTCCAGATCCGTATTTGACCACCAACCTTCTGATCTCGGGAAAGAGAGACCGAATGGCGAACAACACCTCCACGTCCCACTTCCTGACCTGGATCTCCAAGTCCTGAACACACCGCGGCAGCTTTTCGATCCCATCCAACAGCCCTGGCAAATCCATCGGCTCGTTCATGACCATGTGCGTTAACGTACCGCTCTCCTCGCGCACCGTGGAGAATGCAGCTAATCCGAGCGGGCCCTTGTACGACCACACACCCCTCAGTGGCATCGCGACAGTTCCCATCTGCTGATCACTGAGATTGTGACGCTCGATTGTGAGCTGGATCCTTGGGCCGAGGGGGCAGTTCCCGACGAAAATGACTAGAGAGTCGATGAGGTCGCGCGAGAGAAGAGGCATGACGACGTCGAGCGTCTCGAGCTTAGGCAAGAGCCACTTGCGCCTCGCGTACACGGCCGCGACATTCGGCGTCCAAGTTATTGCCAGGGAAGTCAGATTTCGTGCTGTGACGAGGTACAAAGGATGGTAGGGGCCCGAGTCGTGGTCTGCAAGGTTTGCTCCCCGATGGAACGAAAGGTGCATGATGGGCAGGTCCTCGAACGGGAACCTCTCCTGCGCTGCGGCGGGGGGTGGTTGGAGCCCTGCGTGTTGTGCCTGGACATGGAGCGCCGGAATGTGGGATTGGGCTGCCGCGGGGAAGGGGTGCGTGTGCCCGTGTGGGAGCTGGAGGAGATCCGGGAGAGTGGGCGTTCGCTGGACGCGACGGTCGGCAAAGGGAGTGTAGAGGGGGAAAACGGCGCAATTGGAGATGCTGAGTGTGCGCAGGGTCGGTATTTGCGCGAGAACGGTGTACACGTAGGGTGAGATTACCGTGCCTTCAAATATCAGCTCGTTGAGGGACGTAAATCGAGGAAGCTGCAGGTACATCCAGTCGTGTAGCTCGTACTCGACCGTGATCTGTAAATGGAACCGCACATTAATCATTCGTACCACCAAAAAAAAAAAAAATAGAAAACAACACTTACATCTGTCGCCATGTTTCTGACGTTCGATGCAAATTCGAAACCCACTCCGATAGTAATTTTCCTCGGCATGCTGACCACGTTCTTGTAGACGCCACTGAGGGGATCCCAAGCCTCGAGGTTCTTCCTCGTGCTCTCAACCTTTCCCCACCTCAGCTCCTTCAACAACGGCTTTAACGCGAGCCCGTTGAACCTCTTGCATGTCCGCATGAGCACCGCGAGTGTGGCTGGAGAGTCGATCGACTCGAAAATGTCGATCCACACATCGTCTGGGATGTTGGTGGCATCGACGATGACGTGAATACCATCGGGCTGGAAGGCGTCGCCTCCAAAGACGACCGTAGCTGGTGGCATGATGTGGGATTCCACAGAAAAGACGGGGTGATATCTGGTGGTATGTTGACGGTTATGAGAAAGAAGAGAACAAGGGACGCCGATCTAGGAACGACGACGACCGGCGAATGTTTGGTCCTGTTAGATTATGGCATCTAATCTTATCTCCTTGTCACTGACGGTAGCTTGGTAGAGGGAACGTAGAGCTCAAGGTCAAAGGCGCTGTCGAGACACGAACGAACTTGTGCTTATGGACATATTCAGCCAACACAAGCTGCTAGGAACGACTATATGCGCACCTTTTGAATGAAAACAACGCATATAGTCGAAGAAGGGGTTCCGGCTATTTCAAACGTCGAGTAAAGAAATTTGCCCGGTGAAAGCCAGCTTAAGATATGGTGCGTTAAAATCCACGCACAACGTGCGAGACGTACCCCTTTACAACTGGCGACGGCTGCAGTGGGGGGCACCAGCGCCGCATCTAGTGACATCGGAAGAATAGCATGGTGCATGCTAGTTAGCAACTGCAAGCACCATGATGATCTGACATGGCTCACCTTAACAGAGTCCAGGGTGCTGTTGGTAATGTAGCTGAGATATCGGCTCCGATGGTGGTCGTGGTCGTGAAGGAAGAAAGCAAAGGGGACGAAAGGTGACACCAGCAGGATTCTCATATCGGTAGTTGCCGAATCGTCCAGTCTCCTTTTTCAGGGATCTCAGACTCCCAATCATCCACGGACTATCGGCGTATCTCGGCGTTATATTGTTGTACGCCTTCCTTCCGCTTGCCGTGGATTGACGGTGCACTGAAAAACGAATCGCGACATCTTGGTGCATTATATGCGGTTCAATAAAATATTGGAGGTATGCCTGGGCGGATCTCATGACCCAGATTACTGGGTGGATGAAATGCTTCGAGAAATGAGGTTGAACGTCGGTTGTGCACGAGAGTTCGAGCTCTTAGAGTAATTGACTCGTTTCTAAAATCTCCCCTGTGGATGGCCGCGATGGTCTTACCGCAGGTCAGTAGGTCTATTCGGCCAACGTACTGCCTCCTCTCTCCGTGATTTTTTTAAGCTCTACCAGTCCCGCCACAATACATTCGCGCTTTCTATATGGATGGGTCACTCAGCGTTTCTTTACAACAGCGTTGACGTTAATCATCCAACCGTTGTCCTGAATTAGCAAGACCGAAGAGGTCGTTGTGCTGTATTTCGGATCCAAGGTCTTTACGAAGACAGTCGAAGTGAGTAAATATAGCCAAGGGAAGCGCAGAATATCCAAAATACCCAAAAAAACGAAATCAAAGCTTCGACCGTTCTACGACCCCGCTTTCGACTTTCACCGTGTCCAGGATCCCGGCAATCGTCTGGGCCAGAACGTCCGGCTGTTCTTGTACGACCTAATAATACCCCGGGTCAAAGCCAATCAACGGGTAAAGGGACCAAGACGAGAAAAATATATAGTGCTTACCATGTGTCCCGCCTTCTTAATCTTTGTGACCGACGCCACGATCCTTCCCTCCGACGCGTCACTTAATGAGTCCTGAATAAACTCGGGACTATAGAAAATCCCGCAGCGAACCGAAGTCAGTAATAAAGGAAGAGAAGAATGCCCTGCAGGCAAGTTCCGAGATGAGAAAGGTTACTAACACAAGGTCGTTCCTTGTTCCCCAGATGAGATGGACGGGGACGGTGTGGCATATCCGGCCGAGTTGCATCGCACTCTCGAAGTGTGGCTCGGTGTCAGGGTATGACACAGCTTCCTGTTTCCGATCGCATTTGAGCGTGACCTCGCCGTTCGGGAGGGATTCGAGGCCGTGTTCCTACAGAAATTCCAACTTGTGTCAGGAAACATCGAAACCGAAAGCGAGGATACGAAGAAAGAACGAGAGAAAAGGAACGTACTACCAGAACCCTCACCACTCGCTCATCCCACATCCCCCACGGAAACCGCTTCCTGAAGTACTCAAACGCCGCCTCGCGTGACTTCCAGATGTTCCGCCGGGCAGAGGTGGCGGCGACGGCAAAGTCCATCGACGCCATGCGGTCTTCCAGGTGCGCGTTGAAGAGCTCGCGGGTAATCATCGTTGGCTCGATGAGGATCATGGCGGCGTAGGCGAGTTTGTAGGGAGGAATCTCTTTCGTTGTGAGCATTCTGGTGATGGAAGAGTTGAGTGCTAGCACTTGAGGATGGGGCAGGGAAGACATACATGGCTGCGGTCCCCGCTGAATGGCCTATAGGTACGATGTGATGCCCCTTCATCCGTGGCGACCTCACAAAGTCTGTTATCACCGGGGTCCATTCACACACGGCTAGACGAATTTCCTGAGCGATATTTTGGATAACATCGAAATGAGACTTACAAACACCCTCTGGGCGATCCTTTAGCAGTTCATGGTTCAGCACCGCCGAGTCTCCGTGGTTTTGCCAATCAAAAGACCAAGCCTCGCGGATCTGGCGTGTTCTGTCCTTCATCCGCTGGAGGCTGAATAACCGCTCGATGACGGGCTCCCACTGCTCTTTGTCTATGGCACGATGAGCGCTCTCTGGGTTAGAAACATTAATAAAACTCACGAGATCCTATGCAATGTGCGAACACCAACGTCAGGCCTTGAGAATTCCTGGACGACGCCCCAACTGTGTATCTCTTCGCGACAACTTTCAACCCTCGACCTTTCTCCGCCCTCGCCGGAGTGTCCAACACATATCTCTTGACGTTCATCGTGTGTCGACAGCTCGAGGTGGTGGTTCCAGAGAGAGTGAGGTCAACATGTCAACGATGGTTCACACTAATGTAAGGCATCGTCCCAATCCGATGGACGATTCAATGGGGCTCCTCGCGATGGTCCGCGGAGCCTGTGTCTTTTTCTGGAAGCGGGGCAAGGCGCACGTGTTTTCCTTGGATTGCAGGTGAAAATAGGTGGACATACGAGACGAAGAAGGAGTATCTTTAGAGAAGAGATGCACGCTGAAGCTGAAGCTTGAAGGTAAACGAACGCTTGAGATGGATGAAAGAGGAAGACGTACGCTTGCGCTCGCAATAAGCGTTTGCCAAGAGGAAATCAGCTTACGTGAGATATCCAGGCACCCCCCCAGCCTCACATCCACGGAATCGAAAACTACGACCTACCGAAACACGATCTCGAAGATGTCAAGGACTGGATGGGTCGATAGGTACGTAATTATTTCTCTTCTTCTCTTCGAGGTGAATGTACTTAACGTCGTTCCAGCCCGTTCTCTTTCCTTCGGCAAGGTCCATGCGGCCGCGCCGTACGGCGACCAACCACATCTGAACGCAATATCTATCCCGCATCCCCTCTCAAACGACGGCGCACTACTCAAATAAGACCGACGTACGACTAGCCTGAAAACCAGTCGAGTAGAAGTAGAACCAAGTGGAAGTATGGGTAAGTCATCGGTATTCTTCATGGAGGATAGCGGACCCACGTTCTTTCTAGTGGCCAAATGTGGGCTATCCTCGTGCGTGGAATACGCGGGTCATGGTGGAGGAGAAGTGGCGGGAGAGCTTGATGACAGATGCCTGCTTTCTAGCGGGTAGGCGAGGACGGAGGACTGCCGATACGTGCTGCGGAAGGCGAAGCAGAGGGGTAATGTAAGTTATCGCGCCCTTTCCTGAGTACGACTAGCGCTTACATGTCCTTATATCTCAGATAACATGTCCACGCGCCAGAAGTGTCGGGATCCATGTTGAACAGGGCAATCGTATACCGGCATTTCACTATACGCGTTATTTGCCAGCGAAAGTCTCCCTACCTTCCACCCCCGACGAGGCTTACGGAGAGCTAGAGCTGAAAGCATACTTGTGGGCGAGATGAGTGGACGGCTACTTGGTGCATTGTGAGTTGAACTTTCTCCAACATAGACTTGCGACAATGGCTAACCGATGTTCAAAGGAGCATAAAAAGGCTTCTACGAGGAGAAAATCAGCCTTAAATCTCAACCATGAAAAAGACCCACCTCTAGTCCTGAATGGACCACGAACACCAAACTCTGGCTATTCAACGCACTTTGGAGCCACAACAGCAGGCACTCATACGCCGGCAAGTGGTGTCGTTGTCTCTGAACGGGTACGCCGTCGTGTTACATTCCATTACACCTCGCGACCGCCAGAAATCGCAAATTAGGTCGACGGCCACGGTATGGGTGGACATTTTTCATTATTCGGAGGGATGACAGGGTGGTAAGATGAGAGCTTCCATCTCCGATGCCCTTTTCTTCGTCGACAACGCAGAAAGGACGGGCTTTCGTTAATATTGACCTCTATGTATTCTTTCTTTCATTTAGGTATCATTTCGTCCGCGAGCTTCTACTAAATATCATGCTTTTGTTTCTTTTCTAGCCTGTGGCACCCATGTCAAATTTGTAACGCCGTCTCAGAGGCGATGGAACGATCCGAGAGGAACTCGAGAAGTGCGTGAATATCTCCTTCATTTCGTGGCCCGCCTCTAACGGATATCTAGGTTATTCGCACACGGACCTTATCGCCAGCGGGTCCTAGATTTTCGACCTCTGCGAAGCAGACCCCATCCTCGTCTTTACCTGCCCGCATGGTTCTAGTTTCGTCCGTCTCGAGTCTCTAAACACAGTACCAGGCCCTTGGAGTCCCCCATCGACCCACCCTTACGCGGCCCGTAATGAATTTACATACTTCGTGCACAGTGTGAAATCCCTGCGTATCGTCCAGTCTCCTTAAATTCCATTGGTTGCTGCTATTTCAAGAATGTTGGAACTGCGGCCCTCTATTTCTCGTCGACTAGTCCGATTGACCTTTGCATTCGTCGCTCGTGGGCAAATTATGTATCTCCTTTCATCCAGCGAGATACGACTAGTAGGAGAAGATAGAAATCGCAGTCAAAAACTTTTATCTCGTCATTGCTATTCAGAAAGTTATCTCGCGGAAAGACAATAATTTGCAAGACGTCCTTGAGGCGTCCGTTGTTCGTTTCCTGTGACATCTCTTTCTTGTGACTAATCACGCAGAGATTTTCCTTGATTTGCATCTACGAGTCTTCGCTTTCAACTACCACGTTCAAACCGCGTTCAAACGTCAAGCTGAAGACCGACTGATACCCCGCTCAAACCTCCAAACGAGTATGCACCCGGAGAAGGCCGATCGCTTCTCGACGGCGTACTGCGAGGTTTGCAGGACGGACCAAGTCGACATTTCCGGGAGCGAGTGCAAAACTCCAGGTGCTTGCCCTGGCTGCACCCAACTGCGCGGCGTGGATTCTAGAATCAAAGAAATGAAGATAGCGTTGAAGAAATTGCGCGACGAGCGCTGCCAGATCAAAACTCTGCGAAATAAATTCCACGATGCACTTGCCACCACTCTCCCCATCGATGTTCACAGTCCACCCTCCGAAAACGAAGCCGACCGACTGGTTACGTCCTTGGCGCGGCATGCAAGCGTTGGAGGGAGATCGCGCATTCGACACCGCATTTATGGACGACCGTCGTGGTGAGGCTCAAGAATGGGGAGGTGGAACAATGTGCACAGTTCACGAGTGATTGGCTTTCGCGCACCGGCAAGCTTCCCCTCACACTCGACATTTACCAGCCCGAAGGTACGCAAACCTTCTTCGGGCCTCCACCAGCCTTCGACGCGTCCCCCATCTTCGCTGCCATCAATGCACACTCGAGCCAGTGGGAGACCATTGTCGCCAACATCCACTGCGACTTGATGCAGCTCCTGCGCGGCGACGGAAGTGGTGCCCCCAGGCTACGCACCCTCGACATTGCGACAATCGACAAGCGTCCGTCTCAAAACTCCCTTACCCCTCCCCTCGTATTTTCTTTATCAGGACCAATGCCACGTCCAACGCGTGTCAGATTACACCAAATCCGACATCCCTTTGCGGCCGTGACCTGGGACTCGATCAAACATTTAGATATCCAGGAAGTGTCCATCACCGAATGTTACGACATCCTCCAAAGCGGGACCAACCCCGTCGAGTGCTACATCGAGGAGATCGAGATCACAGACGAATACGAAGCTCCACCACCACCCCAACAGTTTGTATTGCCCCACCTCCGAGTGCTCCATCTGCGATGGAATGATGCACAAGAAGTCCTCCTCAATGCTCTGACGCTGCCCTCTCTCTCATCCCTGCGGACGAACGGGCCGCTGAGAGTCCTCCCATCTCTCATCACACGTTCGGGGTGCAAGTCGACCTTGACAGAGCTTATTCTCTCTGATAAGGATACTACCGTATTCGACCTCATGCACGCCCTCGAGAATGCGCCGCTCCTCGAACAACTGTCAGTCTCAAGCTTGACGCTCGACGACACGCTCTTCGAGCAGCTCAGCTCAACAACCTTCTTCCACCCCGCCCAGGCAGACGCGGATGCGCAGGGTGTATTCCTCCCTCACCTCATGTCCCTAAGCATCGTCTCTGAACCGGAGTTGTTCTCTTTCAAGGCAATAACATCCATTTTCATACCGGAGCGCGAGCCCTGGCAGGAAGGGTGGAAACGCCGCCCGTTGTTCCGCTTCTGGTTGGAGGTGAGCGACTCTGACGATGGGTACGAACCATTGGAGTGGAATATGCTCGATCCATGGCCAATTGATCCGCTCATCATTGTTCTTTTGAGAGCAATAAAGGCGAGCGGTGTGGATTTGCGGATTTATGATGGGATGGGGTTGGATTTGTTTGAGTATGACGAACGGGATAATTAGTATATGGAACTTTTCTTGGGTACGTCGTTATATTCTTATGCTGTTAAGTATTCTTATACCATATGGCTCCGATTATTCCCCAACACGAGAGTTTTCGTGGTGGGCTCTTCTGTTTTGTTTTCGCTAGATGGTATTTCGCGAGAACCATGTTTCCTACGGTATATGTTATCCCTCCATCGCATTCCGCATTCTGGTACGAGGCGCTGTCTGTGACCCACCGAAGACTACCGATATTCCCTTGACCTCGAAGGATATTTCGATGCGGGCATTCAAGTCTGGGAAGCTGGCGTTTTATCTGGCAATCATCGTCCTTCCTTCACTTGCGGCATATGCGGCCTCTTTCTAATCTAAGATAGATATATGGTCCGAAAAATGCCTCATATTTGTTCTTGTCCTGCGAATGAGGCGCACGGTTCCACGAGCAGACATCGTTTTGCATAAGGGATTCAGTATCGAGATCAAATCGAGATTCACTTTATCGTCGTGCTGTGTTTTTAATAATCTGTCTGTCATTGGGGAGCTGTGGAAGTCATATTCTCCGGGAAGGGAACCGGATTCGATGGCCTTGTACTTGAAGGAATTTTTATGGCTATTTTCTACTGTCCTGACTGGTCTCGCTGATACTACACACTAGTACATAAGGCGTCAGGCTGGAAATGCAGAAGGTCAGCGTAGCTATCCACCCTCATGCAAAACAAAAAAAAAATCCTATTACATAGTTTCACCGTTCCACCGTTCCAAAATCTAGAACTTCGGTCACGTAAGTACTGTCCTACGTTCGAGGGGCGGAGCAGTCGACCTCCGAGAACCCCGAAGGGTTGCAGTCACGTCGTGACGAGTCTCAGGTGCACTCTTTTTCCTCGTCAACTCATCTTCAACACCACGACCATGACGGGCCCGCCACGCGTTTTATCTCAGTTTCCCGTCGAATTTATTCTATGGACCTGTAAACGTCGCAAATGACGCTCGAAAACGCGACATGACTGGCCTGACGCGTATGTTCTTTCACGTCGTGCGCGGCACCTAACCCGACAGAATTGCCGCTCATGTCCTTTCTTCGCTAGCTAACCGCACCATCCCAGTGGCAGCTGTGACCTTAGCTCCGGGACTCGCGTATCGGATACCACACGTTGAAGATAGTACGTCTAGCCAAAGAACAAGTTTTACAGATCTGACTGCGCACATCACGGACAGGTGAGTCCTCATAGCGGAGGGGCACTTGCTCCCTTCTACGAGCGGCGAGTGGCGAGAGATATCTGAAGGATGCACTATATTGAAGGACACAAAGACTGTTGGGTCCCTTCTAGCCCTTCCCTGGTGCGACCCGTTGTCCTTACCTGTGTTGTTTCTGGACGCGATCGTACTCTTCTTCTAGACGGACGAGCTCAAAGATGCAGTCGTGGTCCCGCTGTCGAAGTACCATTGACTTAGGCCTTAGGATTCCGACGTTTGAGGCGATGTAGAGCGGAATTATAGGTAATGGTGGTGCGTGCATTTGCGATTGCTTCACACATCCACATTCGTATCCTATGTCTTCCATTCTTCGATCGTACGCTTTCCTGGTGTTTTACTGACTTGTTTTCTCCTCCTCAGGGAAACCGTGGCTCTACAGAGACTTGCGTTCTTCGACGTTTGCTGCCAGTTGCCTTCATCGGGCTTTCAAAGGCCGTCCGTTCCTCAGCGACATCCAGCTTCCTGTCCAAATGTGGAACGCAGGGCTCAGTGCCTTCTGTTGGACAATAAGAGCCGCTGCCTTGGATTCAGCCCACATGTCAACCAGTCGGCGATGTCAATGAAAGACAGAGATGAGGTTTGAGTGAGGTCGACATGTCAGAAGACATCAGACGACAGTAACACTGGACCTATCTAGTACGTCCTCAAGTCGCCCTCAACATCCCATTTCACCCTGCCTATTCTCCCCACTACTCTGTAGTTCATCGCCATCAGCTCGATCCACGCCCGACTCAACTTACTCGATTCTGGGTCAGACATCGCCCTCTGTGATCCTCAGAAGCGCCGTCTTCCGGCTCAAATGCTGGGCTTGCAAAGCTCCGATATCGTGACACGCACGCGCCGTTGTCGTGATCGTAGCTTTCATACTCAATTCGAACCTGGCGCGGCGAGCAATTACGTTGATCACCCAATAGATCGATCGGACCGCAGAGCGAAGGTATGTCTCCATTTCGCAGTCTTCTCCCAATCACATCTGTGCCGCTTCGTTCCTGAGATTCTACCCGCGTTGGCGACTCCGTCGTTTCATTCATCCTCTCTTGCGTCCTCATTTCGTCATATTTAAACGCCCATTCGCCTCTTCATTTCGTATCGTCGTCTGCGCTGTCTTCCATAAGTATATGCGCGGAATTACCCCATTAAATCCAATTGGACGATGCCCCGTCGTATTCCAATGGCTATGCTGTTATTTGAACGAGCATGAGGACTCAGAGCAGTACTCGGTTTGGGCGTCGCATTGCCTCCAAAGTGGTCACCCTTCCTCGCATTCAAGCCCTCCGTCGACCCTGCATCTCGTTGAAGACTTGTGTAGCCCTAATTGGGGCGCACAAAAATAACCTATGCTCACCGAGGAAAGCTTGTTGTACCTCGTCGGCCAACCTACGACGCATGAGCGCGATTTCAGTCCCGGCAACTCTTGGACTGGCCAACATTCTGATGCAACTGAACCGGCTGGAAGTGTGCCTTATGGTCGGTCTCGTCGAATGCTTGGGCGCCTATTCGACGGGGAAACCTTCTCCATCACTGGTCGTTCGTCGAGCAAGGAGTAGCCCTTTGGGGGATGGCGCCTGGCCCGGAGGCGATGCCCCAGTGGATCCTCTGGCGAACCGTTTTCCATTCACAGAGGGGACCCTTATCCAATATGCTTGCGAGGACGCACATGCGCTTTCCAACGTCTTGGAACTTTCCAAATCGAGGCTGCATGCCGTACTCCTCCATCACCGTATTTCGAACGAAGGGACGAGGAGGGTTTTCTTTCTTATGTACGTCTTAAAATCCTCCTCCAGCGCCCACGCCTGATTCATAGGGAACGACATGTTTCTCTACCTTCGCAGACTGGGGAGAAATAAGATGTCCAAGGAACCACCCGGTGTCTTATGAGCAGAAAATAGGCTTTGTCGGTGGGAAATGTGCGGCCTAGTCTGACAGGTCGGAAAGTAAGAAAGAGGTGCTCTTGAATTTGTTTCCTCGATGCGTTGCGTTAAGATTTCACAAATAGAGAGCGACGAGGACAATATTTCCCCCACCTCTTCCTCTCGCCCACCATCACCTCTCGAGGAATCCCATCGCAGTTGTGAGTCCTTTCCCATCCCGTGGCCTTTATTGACGACGGCGCAGAACTCACGAGATTTCAGCAGGTAGCCTTCCATCACGATTAGACGCGATGTCAGCCCGGGACCGCTTCAATAATGTTTTCCGCCTTCAAAATGACAGCGTCCAGTTAGACTCTTGGACGATCCTCGACAGAAAACTCCCTTGGTCCCACCTGACAGCTCTGCACTTTGGAAACATTTCGATGCCGCCCAACGTCTTGTTGATTCTTTTGCACAAGACTACGCGAACGCTACTCGACGGATCTTTTCAAGTCGATTTCCAAGTCAACAATTACGCTGCTGGAGCCCCTGCATCCTCGACCGATCTTATGACTCCTGGGGTACCGCAGGTGACCATGACGAGGCTGAGGACCCTTGCGCTCCTTCTCGTCGGAGAGAGGTTGGACGAACATTTCTTCACCCACATCCACGTTCCTCAACTTAAGGACCTGCGCGTCGTGATGATGGTTTCTAAAGGATGCCCTCTCTCATTACTTCATCCCATCATCGCTTCTTCTGCGAGGAAGCTCCAGCAGCTTGAGCTCATCGCCGATACCTCTTCCCAGCGCCATATCACACGCCCGCCCACCTACCTCGAGCTTGAGGTGCTTCTCGAGTCCGTACCGAACCTACACACCCTCCGCCTCCCACACAACGTCTACCTCCATACTTCTACCGTCGACAAGCTCGGGTCGGGCACCCTCATTCCGTCGCTTCAGACCCTTGAAGTAACTACGAGTAGCCCCGAGAACGCGGAAGATATTCTTTCGATGCTGATGAAGAGGATGACCAGGGACTCGAGCAGCGCCGGGCCGTCCAACGTAAGGGATGACGGAGACAAGTGCTCAGAGGAGCCCGTTTGCCCTATTACCTCTGTTGTGCTCTCGATGCCCGTCGCCGAGAGTGTGCGCTTCATGCGAGACACATTACCGAGGTACCCTCTCGTTCATGGCGGCGTAGGGATCCGGCTGGAAGGATGGTCCTAAAATTGACTGTAGGAAAGGGTACGTAGTTGCTCTTTGATATGAAAACAAAGCTAGGATATTTCTTGGCAATTTTTTGGTAGATATTGGTCGGGTCCAAAGCCGGTCAGAAGTCAAAAGAAAATGTATTGTAATCGAAGTACGCAATGATGAATTCCTTCGCTTTAGTTCGACAATATTTCTTGTGCATATTCTTTTGAGTAGGGACCCAACGAGGAGTCCAATCGCGTGAGTATTCGTGAAGGCCGTCCTGAGTCAATAAATGATATCAAGTTTACCTTGTGTTGTGTACATGTAATACTCGCATTTCGAGGGAGATTATAATAGCATCAACTGGATTGAAGTCGAACGGCAGAAGGTCTTGAATGTTTGCTCAATCAGCTTGAGAGCGCACTCGCATTTCACGGCATAACCGGGCCACCCTAGTGCATTAAAGAAACCTGGCTCCTTTTCCGCGGGCAATCTAAGAGCTCTATACAAATAGGTGTGCGTGGACGAAGTCATATAGGTGGTTTAGTCCTCTGAGGACGGACGTGGGTTCGTCCGACAGGGGTGCCTGGGAAAGTGGAACGCGGAGCGCGTCGCGGTCACGTGCGCTGTTCGGTTGATTTAGCGGCCTGGTTGTGTCTTTTTTACACTCGTCCACTACCATACGCTTCCCCTAACCCCCTCCTTTCCCTTCCATGGCCTCTTCCTCGTTTCTCGACCAGTATGAATCGCTAGATGTGATAGGAAATGGGTCCTTTGGTATCATTCGCAAAGTTCGACGGAAAACGGACGGCCTCGTGCGTAGCTTGCTGCCACTAACCGATGCTCGAACTCAAAAATTGTTTTCTGGGGCAGGTATTCGCCCGGAAGGAGCTCAACTTTGAGAGGATGAGCGAGCGAGATAGGAAGCAGATTGTGGCGGAAGTGTGCGTCATCCAGCTTGCCTTTTCCTGACTTCGTCTGACCACATCTCTCTCCGCCGTTTAGGAACATCTTGAAAGACCTGCATCACGACCATATTGTACGATATCATGACCGCTATGTTGATAGAGACGCCGGCATTCTCTACATACTCATGGAATACTGCGGCGGAGGCGACCTTTCCACCGTCATCAAGCAGGCTACGAAGCAGAACCGCCCCATACCTGAAGACACAATCTGGAATTACTTCCACCAGATCCTACTCGCACTACAACACTGTCACCACCCCGGACACGTACGATCAGGGAGTGGGTCGGGCGGAGAGTACGACGGACCGCCGAGAAGGGCACAGATCCTGCATAGGGATCTCAAACCGGACAATGGTATGTGCTTCCCGCATTATTCGCCTTTTTCGGTTCATTCATGGTTCGTCTAGTTTTCCTGGACGAAAACGGCACCGTCAAGCTGGGCGATTTCGGGCTTTCGAAGGCCCTACCTCAGGCGAGCTTCGCGAACACCTACGTCGGCGTACGTGCCACTCGCCCCTTTTCGTCGCGCATACATTCGTACTTACGCTCATCCACCTTCTCCGCAGACGCCGTACTACATGTCCCCGGAGCTGATGCAAGAGAAGGCTTATGACTCAAAGTCCGACATCTGGTCGTTAGGCTGCCTCATTTACGAACTCTGCGCTCTAAAACCCCCATTTCACGAAGCCAAGACGCATTCGGAGCTGAGCATCTTTATTCGGTGAGTTCAACTCTTCTCCTTTCGCGCGTTTGTCGGTGCACAGTCAAACTAACGTACTGGGTAGCAACGGACGGATCCCACCATTACCTAGAGGGTATTCTCAGACACTCGCGCATTGCATCAAGTCAATGTTGAACTTGAACGTGAGTCAGCTGACCGCGATGGAACGATGCATTTTGACGGATTTTTGCCTGTAAAGCCCGCTATGCGCCCATCAGCCGCCCAACTTCTCCAACATGAGCGCATTGATATGGCCTCTAAGGTTTCCGAGGCTGAAAAAATGTTCGTCTACCCCTTTATTTTATTTTCGTGTTTCTAACCTCCTTCGCAGGCTCAGCATCGTAAAAGCCCATCGCGCGGACCTGACAACGAGAGAACGCGCCATCATTGTCCGCGAAAATGCCTTCAACGAAAAAGAACAACGATTTGCCGACCTCCTCTCCGCCAAAGACCAAGAAATCACGTCCTTGAAGCAGATGCTCGCACAGATGCAGTCCGAAGCTGAAAGGGCCGTCAAGGCTGCCGTTGCTGCCCGAGAAGAGGAACTACGCATCCTGGTCACCCAGCGCGAGGCAGAGGTTGGGCAGGCCATGGCGGAGCGGGAGGAAGAGGTCCTTAGGGCGGTTAGGGAGCGCGAGGCGGAGATTTGCAACGCGTGGGTGAAGCGGGAGGAGGAGATTCGGAAGGACGTCGAGGAGAGCTTCAAGGCGATGGAGGAACGGTTGGAGTGGGCGGCGAAGAGGGAGGTCGAGCTGAAGGAACAGGAGAGGAAGCTTGAGGAACGTAGGGCGGAGGTGGAGAAGATGGAGGCGAACATTGCAGCCGCGAATACCGCCGCGAAAGGTATCTACTTTTTTTTTTTTTTCATCTCTTCCATCATCGGGTCTCTGATGTGGCCATCCTCATAGGACGAAAAGAAAAGAGCCCTTTAGAAGAAGTCAAGAACGTCCTCGACCCGTTGTCTCGAGTTACCCATTCACAAGCGACACCCACCCAACAACAACCCACCCAGCGCAGGCGCAACACCAAGACCGACATCGTGCCACCTCCCTCTATTACGACTGCAACCACATCCAGCGCAACCCAGCCCACGCCTCGTCCCGCTTACCACCCACCTCCTGTGCCAACACCTCTGCGGATCCCTTCTCTCGAAACGCCTATATCGCGGCCTACATTCGCTGGGTTCATGCCACCCCTATCCGCTATGAAGGGCGTCGTGTTGACTGCGACCGGCGAGACTCTCGCTACCCCCTCTCCAGCTGAGCTCGTCAGCCTGCTCAACTGTTCGCCCAGAGTCGGCCTAAACTTTGCCCGGATATTCGACTTTGAAGAGCGAAAGACAGATGCAACCATAACGAAGGAGAAGGCATCCGACGTACTGGAGAGTCCGAGCCCGCCGCCCAGTCCTAGTGCGAGGAAGGAGAGAGATCGCCTAAGAGAGCGCAGAGCGAAGGAGAAGGAACGAGAAGCCGAGAAGGACGATGAAGACGAGAGCAGCGGATCGTCCACAGCCACGACACAGCAACAACAAACACCTCAGCAACTCGTCCCGCCGCCCACAAGAATTAGGCGGCCGTCAATACGAACGGCGCACCGTACGTCGAGAAAGGGTACTCTACCTACCTCCACTTCCGAGCCTGCCGTTGGGTCCTCCTCATCTTCCGCGTCTGCATCGTCATCGACGCAGACTATGAATGCGAAACCCCTTCCGCACCCACACCTGCGGCCTTCGACCAGCGCCACAAACCTCAATGCCCTGACTCGTGCAGCGAGTTTACCCATCTTGCCCATTCCACCGCGAAACCACCCTTCGCCTCAGTACGACTTCGCAGACGAGGAAAACCTGCCAAGTCCATTCTTGCGGAAGGTCGAGAAGAACGCCGCTGCTAAGGCAGGGAAGAGCGTGTCGAGTATGCGGCTCTTTGGCGACGCTGCTTCCTCGTCTGGATCCGCGAACGGCACTACAAATGCCCACGCAAGCTCCGCGACGAGCTCGAGTTCATCGTCTGCTTCGACAGCGACTATGGTCTCGACGTCTTCCTCAGCCTCGAGCTCGACAAAGGTGAAGAGGCGGCCAAGCAGCGGGCTCTTGCTTCGCGCAGTGGCGGCTGCGAACAATGCGGGCCGACGGGTGGCGAATTCGCAGACTGGCCCCAATCCTCATTCGCCAATCGACGATTCTACGACGCCTACGGGAGTCGAGTTCCCGTCAACGGAGCACGGAGAGTCGACTCAAAGATCTTCATTGGCCAATGCCAGGAAGGCGACCGAGGAAGCGAGAAAGGCTCTCGTACGGTCGTGAACGTGGAGATGGAATTGGCAAGGTGGGCACGGATGACGACGGGCGAGCACCCATTACTGCATGACTTTCTATTTATCACTCATGGATCCTGCATGTCTCATTACGACAGCGATGATTTTTTTTTACTCTACGATCTGATCAATTCTGACAACGAAAACTCGGTTCTTCGGTACTTACTTGCCCTCTTGTCTGCCCTCTGTACTTGTAGGCTGAGGGTAAGTAGGGTTGTTGTTTTGCATTTTACGATTTTTGTACCTTTCTGTGATATGATATGACCGAAGCATGCCTCTACTTCCATAAATACAAGATATGCACTCCATGTAACTAACCTTCATCGTCCACATCCTCATCACTATCATATGTATTTAACCCCAGCTCCCTCACACTCGACACTGCGACGAGTAGTGGATGATTCGAGTCGAAGCTCATGAGCATCTTGCCCATATCCTCTAAGGCGAAGTCCTCAATCTCCTCTATCAACGCCATCTCGTCGCGGTCGAAGTCAGCTGCATTCGATGAAGCCCTCGCCGCACGCGACTTGCGTTTGTCGGCGAGGGAGTGGAGTTGACGTTTTGTAGCCTCCATGATACCCTCGTGGAACTGCGGCGAGAGCGCCTCGGGCCCGCCGACAACGAGCAAGGCTTCCGAGAAGTATTTATAGAGAGACGCGAGGAAGGTTGAGTCGTGTTCGGAGCTGATGCAATTGATGAGCTGGAGAAACGTTGCCGAGACCATTTGGTTTGTGAGCGTCCCGGATTGCTTGCCACAGGAGAGGAGCATGGGTATCAGCCTACCGGGATTCCATATCAGAAACGTTCAAAGATTGAGGATGAAATTAACTTACATCGCACAGGCCTCACGCACGCCTTCATGGAAATAAAACCGTAGACATGGAAGCGTTACTTCCAACGTCTGCGAGAGGTAGGGCGCGAAGCGAGGACCCAACGTTGAGCAATAAATCACCAGAGTCTCAAATGCCTGGCACTTCTCGTCCATCGCTGATGTCCGTACGCCGTACGTTTGACCGTCCATGACGATGGTCTCCCATCCTTCTCGGTCTTCCGCGTTTTCGTCCTCTTCATCTGCAACGTCGTATTATTCCTCAATTGGACGGATGATAAGTCGAGACGAACCGTAGACGGAGAGGTCGGCTTTCGCACTTGCGGTCGCGAGCAGCGAGGGCATGACAACGGGTAGATATGGCTCGAATTCTTGCCCCATTGCTTGGCATACTTTCGCCCACGTCGCGATGAGGTAGTGGCTGAGTTGCGTGTCGTTTGGGTCAACAGGACTCTCTACATCATGAAGAACAGTTGGTACGGGGTATTTCTGAAATCCGAGATAACAACATACGTTGAATTCGCATAAGCAGCTCAACGAGCGTCTTTGAATCCGGTCTGAACACATCAGGACCAACGGCGATGGCTGTACCGTCGATGGAGTAAAGAAAAAGACGATAAATCGTGCGATTAATCTCAAACGTTAAGCAGATTAACGCACCTATCAGCCCAGCACATTCCATCGCCTTAACCCGTAGTTTCTGATAGTCCGGACTGTCCGCGTTTCTCAGAACATTCAACAGGAGCGGCATGATCGTAGGATAGTGCTATCGGACGGTGTTCAACTTTTTTTTTACACCATAGATTGATGATGGAAAAAAAATTACCTTCCCAAAAGTGATCTCACTCGCATCTGCGACCATCGCCAGTGTCGTAATTGCTTGTTCCTGGACATATCTTCGTACTTGCGCCTGGTCTCCACCCGGGTTGAGCAGTTTGAGGAGCCGTTCGACGATCGGGTCGAGATATGGTAGCAGAGTTTCTCGCTCGACACCCTCGCAAAAATTGATCAGAGCGGCAGCGGCGTGTGCATGTACTCTGCAAACGCGGAATGATTATGACATTAGGTCAAAGAATTTTAGAAAGACGAACACCCGTACCTTGGTTCAGGATCTTCTAATGTTGGTATTAGTACGGCGAATAGTTTTTGGTGGAACCGTTTTTGAATAATTTCCTACGTTCTCGTCAGTCTTTTCTAGTTCATGCCTCAAGAAGAATATCGGCGTACCTCTAAATCCGTACATAGCTGTCCTCTGCACAGCAGTGGCAAAAAATATCACAAATAAGTAACGCGGCGTCAATTGAACCGATGAGCATAGAAGACCACTCACATACACTGACACGCAGCATATCGTACCCGCGGATGCGAGTCGTTGAACATGGGCGTCACGAGACTATCGCGACAACCGTCTTTAGAATCTCAACCCCGAAGCAGAGGTAAGTATGTCAAAATACCCACTCTACGATCTTCTCCAGTTCCTTTTGCATGACCTACGTCACAAACGGAAAAGATCTGTCAGCGAAACGGGCTCTGTAGCTCTGTGATTTGGGAGCGAATCATGAATGAATGAAGCTTGGTTTGGGCGTTTGACAGCGCCGATAAGGAGCACGCACACCCAACGCGAAGCGGCAAGAATGAGAGCGAGTGAAGACGATGATAAAGAAGGAAAAGAAAGAGCAAGACAAGCAGATGGCGAGATAGCAAGGGCGAGAAGAAGAAGGACGGAACGTGGCTCACCTTTCCCGTGCCCTCTCCAATCGCGGCTATCGCCATGAGCCCGGCGTGCCGTACGCGCCAGTCGTAGCTCGCCATCATGGACGGTATGGCCTAGACAACGAAGAAAGGAAGGTTAGCGTGTTCCTGGTAAGTGGACGAACATGAGGAGAGGAAGGCGCGGGGTGGCTATTCTCCGAGGTCGAACGGAAGCGAAGACGAAAGAAGGCGTCTCGGAGGCAGAAAGCCCCAGGAGAGCGTATTCGGAGGTTTTGGTGGAGGAAAAGAGGTACAGAAGAAAGAGCGAAAAGAAGGGGGTGAAGACGTAAAACGAAGGAAGACGTACCTGGAAAGCAGGAGGCAGAACGGACCGTCCGCCCATAGCGCATGCCAAACGATCCAATGACTGCTCGTACAGCGCTGGCGGTGAGTCTGTGTCTGCCGAACTTGACGCTGACGATGGCTAATAATAATAGACGAAGAAAGTAACAGAATTCGTCATTCAAACTGGAGACAAATGAAATAGAATACGCCACTTACGTCTTCTCGTAGCCAAGTCTCCAACCCCTCCCGCTCGTCCTCCTCAAACTCGCCCATACCCTCCAGACACGCTCTGACAATCACCTCCGTCCACCCCGGCACCTTCTTAACCATACTAGGTCGGGACTCCGACAAGCTGATCATGAACTCCAATGCACTCAACCTGAGCGTCGAGCGTTCGTCTCTGTCCTCTTCTTCAATGTCTACTGGCGAGCCTTCGCGGTCTCCATCTCCCAGCGATGAAGAGGAGCCGGGCGGAGGGAAGACGAACGCGCCCTGACGGGTGCCGTTTCCGTTTCCGCTGCCGGAGGACGTGGGGAATGGACGTCCGACAGTGGGTGTTGGGCCGCAGTCGACAGCGGGAAGGATGAGTGCGGGTAGGAAAGTGAGTAATGACTGGAGGTGTGGGGCGAATAGGATCGGGTGGGTCGAGCATAGTGGTGTCAATGTCGAAAGGAACGTTGAGAGGTAGTGGTAATTCGAGGCTTTGGGCGAAGAGGAGTCGTGTGCTCCTAATGGGGGTTGAGAGAGTGAATTTGCGAGAGGTGGTAACGTGTCGAGCATCGGGCCTAGTAGGGAAATCGATTGCGAGAGCTGGCCTGCGTCTGCTGCTGACAGGTACGCTACTGACGCCAGGAGGGCGGCGTGTCGGACCTACAAAGCAGAAAAAAGAAAATACACGAGTCAGCAACAGGGATGATAATCAATCAGAGCGGTCAGAGCTCCCTGACACAAAGTATCCTTCTTCTCCATCTCCATCTCCATCCTTCACCGAAGCTCCACATAACACGAAAGAAAAAGATGGATTATCACTCCGAGCTCACCTCGATGCTCTCCGGGTCCTGGAGCCCGCGCTGAAACACACCCAACACCGCATCGACCTGGAGGTCCATGACCAGATTGGGGCACCCAGCAAAGATCCTATACGCAGTTTCTCTCAACTGCGGGCCTGGTACGCCTCTCTCTGGTCCCTGGGCGTGTGTCATGGAGAAGGACTGCGCTTGGAGGGCGTGCCACGGCTTTCCGCGAGCCATGCCCTGGTTCGCGAGGTCGCAGACGGTGTCGACGGCCTTGCGCCGCACCGTGATGGCTGTTTCGTGGGATAGGGAGAAGAGGAGGATCCGCTCGAGGTTGGAGATGGTTTGATGCGAGAGGTGGTCGTAGAGGGTCAGACGGGCGCTAGGTATTGAGTGGTGTTGCGACGTCTGGGTTGAGGGCGCTGGTCGGAAAAGGAGACGGCGAAGAAGGACAAGCGAGAAGGATCGCATCTATAAAACGGTTGTTAGCAAGTAGAACTTGAAATGGGTCCGCTGGAAGGTATTCATCTGCCACGAAGCCTTTGTTCGTCGACCCATAAGAAAGACGATAACTCACCACGTCCGTGTCTGCACTGATCGCAAACTGAGCCAGAGCGAGCAGATACAGCTCAGGAGTCGTCGCAAGCCTCTCATTGACCGCCTTCTCCGCACTATTCACCAAAAAACCCCGTCAGAACCACCACGTCTCCTCGTACACAGAAACCAGATAACTCACTTTGACCGAATCTCATTATCGCCCAGGACGAGATTAGAGAGGATCTGCGTCAGCTCCGCCGTAATCTGGGGCGGCACGACGGATTCCATCTTCTAGTTTCGTCAGTTTTTTGGTGGTGTTGAGGTGAGAGAGGTGAAGTGGTGCGTATGAGGGGTATGGTGATGGGAGACAAAAAAGACTAAGTGGTCGTTCAGGCACATCGCATCTGGGGACGGCCGGCGGTTCGTTCGGCGCGGGGCTAATCGCCCTCTTATCACCAACGGCAATCCCCGACGAGACCGATCTCTCTCTTCTCCTTCTTCGACCATTTCAAACGATTAGAAAACGTTGAAAGAGTGTAGAAGACTATGCTAATGAAGTCATAACGTCCTTCCATAAATCGAACCGTCAATCCACTTTTTTGTTCTCACTTCACGTCGGACGCCAGTCGACAGCCTTCTACCTTCAGCTACCTTCACACTGCAAACGCCCGAAATTTGCTCCCACACCAAACTCCGGAAAAGTACGAGCGTTACCCATGGGCCATGCCAACCCATACATACGGCATCATTCACACCAACTCACCAAGTCGTCTTCTCGCCTTCCAACGTCAATCTAACGCCTATTTACCTCCTCGCCACGCCTAGCCATCGCACATCTGTCACGTCGGTTTTCTTCTCGTCCTACCGCCGAAAGCTACATAACCATGCCAAATTATTCCAAGAAACGCTTCGTCGCAAATGCATCTTGTTCTCCCTACACGACACGCTGGAGAGCATCGCAACGACGCAACTTACCACAGCACCAGACTACAGATCGGCTCACTGACCATCTTCTCTTCCATCTCTGAAGCTCAAGCAAGCGACGAAAAAATAGGTAGTAATTGTATGTACTTCGGACTTAGTAGAGGAAGAGACAGAGGACACGAGATACGAGAGAGACAGAGATAGAGGAGGTAGGTAGACAGACACTAGTGTACATATGTGTTAATGCGTAGTAGAGAGATATTCGTTGCGTAGAAGGCCCAAGCATGATAAGGAGACGAAGCTGAAGCAAAAGATAAGAAGAGGGAAAAGGAGACTTGTGCGCGGTTGGCTAGGGAGGAGATGGAGGTACGAGGGTAGGGGGTTATGAAGAGCCAACGACGACGTCGATGTAATGAAGGGTGCAAGAGTAGGTAGACAATCCGATAAGAAAAAGGAAGAGTCCATAGAGCATAAGACGACAAGGGTAATGACGGGCCTGATATATACAGATGGCGCATAAAGAACCGTAAAAAGGATTTGAAGGATGAATGAGGAAGAGGGGGGTAGGATTAGGCATCACGACGTACCGCTCTGCACACTCGACATCCTTCTGAAGAGACAGCATCCACGGCGCTGACGTTGACTCGGCGTACGCTCCGCGAGCTGGTGCTACGGTCCAACTACCCCCACAGGACGTACGTACGTCGACCTTGCCGCTACCGCTGATTACTATACAGACAGCGACACAACGCACGTTTCACCCACGGGAGAAGACTCAAGGATCCACGCGGGGCTGATAACGCCATTGAAAGAGGCGAGAAGGTGAGGAGGCAGTGCACGGCTGAGTCGAGTCCGAGGTGTGACGCCAAGGAACTTGACATATGTATGCCAACGAATCCTCGGCGGTAGCTGCTCGCAGTTCGAGTAGGACGCCGGAGACTCGTTCCAGCTCGAACGTGGGCAAGGCTGACGTTGACGTTGACGCGCTGCGGGCACTGCTTTCACTGTGTCGAGGGCCGAACTTCCAATGCCTATTATCGAGACGCGAGCGGCGGTCGTCAAGCGCCTACCCAATTCGCCGTCGCGCAGCGCCGACGTTGAGGCCATTTCGTACTTCAGGTCCAACATCCGCGGAGCCAGCCCGCGGAGCGGAATCGAAGAATTCGAAGGAAGAGTGCCGAAGGCTGAGTCGGCGCGGATGTGAAGAGATGAAGGTGTGACAGGGTTGAGGTTGGATAAGAGGTGATGTGATGCCCGACGACGACGTTGAAAGGCGTTGACGAGGTGGCCAGGTGGTGGTAGCGAAGAGGTAGGTGTAGGAGGAAGGTAGGACGGAGACGCGTTGAGCTGAATGAATACGGATAAAGAGAGGGATAGGTTGAGGCCTAAACACGATCGATCGATCAGCGGAAAGAAAACAGCCAGCCCGAGCAAAATACTCACCAAAAACGAACGAACGAGCACAGCGATGACGATGACGATGACGATAAGAACATAGGAGATTGAGAGTTGATAGGAGCTGGTAGAGGGGGAATCTATGAACGATGCGAACCAAAGGCCGAGGAGGAAGAGGTGGAGGATAGCATGGAGGGCAAGACGCGATGACGAGCAAAAAAGAGGAGGACAAAGAGGAAGGGTGGTGACTATAGAATCCCCGAGTCTTTGAGTGCATTTTGTAGAATCGTCTCCTTGACGGCGGCGAATACTAGTCGGATATTCGTGGTATCGGTCGCTTGTGTTAGACTGCAACCAAAAATCTCAACGGCGACTCCAGTGGTTCAGAAGGTTAAAAACGTACTGCGGATATACGCTCAGCCTCGCCCTGTTCGCCTGCATGAACTTCCACAGAATGTATTTCGCCGCTTTGTTGATATCTGACCCGCCCGTGTATTCTGGGAAATACCGCTCCAGAGGCACCTACGAAAATCGAATGAGCAAGACAACGACGATAAGACGATCGGCAAACGCACCTTCGGTAGCTTGTTCTTGAATACGTCGATCTTGTTCAAGAACAAGATAATTGATGTTCGGAGGAACCATCTTGAGTTGATGACGGACTCGAATAGCAGCAGCGACTCCGCCATCCGATTCTGTTCACGAAAAAGGAACGTCAGTTGTAGCCAGGAAACGCCAACACCAACGTTGGCAGCAACACGTGGGAGAGATAATTACACACCTGAGTTTTCTCCTCCAGCAGTACCTGGTCGTATTCGCTCAGCGCCGTACAAAATATGATCGATGTGACGCTCTCGAAACAATGGATCCATTTTTTCCGCTCTGACCGCTGCCCGCCAACGTCGAACATGTGTATTCTGTGTCGTCAGAGAGATCGTATCAGCGTCACGTAGAACAGCCGCAGTCAACCAAAAGTCAAGGCAAGTCAACCATCGTCGCCGACGCCGCCGACGCCAGAGGGCAGCCGACGTCGGTTAACAAGAAAACGACGGGGTGAAAGGGGTAAGCATGGGAACAACAGAGCTCGACAGAGAAAGGAAGGTGGGACGAGGAGCGGGATGGAAAGCAAGGTAAAAACAACGATTGAACCTGTTCTCTCCTCATACGCAGGGCAATGCATAGGTGCATCGCTCCCCAGGTAATAATCGTCGAGATCGCCCACCAGCCCGAGCGGCTGCCCTTTCTCTGCAACAGCGCCTAGCTCAGCTAGCCCTTGCCCAACCATCGACTGTTCCGGGGCCACAGTTGCTTCCTCCCTCGAGCATGGTAAAGAACACGGAAAGGGGACAGGTGTGAACGGAACCAAAAGCCCGTTCTGGCACCGCACAGCTCGCGCCCCAAAAAAGGAAGGGCACAGCGGGAAGTGGAGCCAAGGAAAAGAAAAGCGAACGAACGAAACAAGACGTACGAGAGCTGGCCCATGGTAAACCTCGTCTCCTTTATCCCGACCGTCTTCCACCGTGCTCTTAGGACGTCCGTCTCGTTGGGCAGGTATCCGGGCTCTCCTATCCTTAGGACCTCGCCGAAGAAGCTGTGGGACAGGGGTTGGGATGGTTCGTTAGCAGGCGGGGAAAGGACGTACTATCCGGCTGAATCCATGAGGTAGAAGTCGGATGAGTGCTCGTCCATGATTTTTGGGATGACGCGGTCCTTCCAGAGCTGGTGGATGGCCTCTGCGATGTCCGTGGGGAAGTAGGTGTTGTGCGTGTCGAGTCGGAATTCGAGGACCTTCTCCGCTAGGGCCTGTGGAGGTTCAGGATGGGTGTGAGGAGGCGTAGGCAGGACGACGTACCCGATTTGAGTACTCCTCGCACTCGAGCCCTATCTTCTTCATGTAGATCACGACTTGCTGAGCTGATTCCAGGACGTTCTTGTATACGATAGGCCGATACTCTGCGAGCTCGTGGTCTGAGAAGCCATCCTGGTGAATAATCTTCATCTGCTTGACGATGGTGCTCTTGCCCGACTCCCCGGAACCTTTTGGATGGGTGTAAGCTACGCCTTCCCCGAGGTACGAAAGGGCGTTCTCACCTAGTAGCAGAATCTTGCATTCCCGTTTGAAACGTTTACAGTCCTCCTCAATCTGCTTGTCAATCATATCTGAGCGCTCCTTGCCCGCGCGATCTGCTGTGGAGACGCAGCCGCCCATCGTGGTGGTGGACGTCGGTGGTGGTAAAGGTGGAAGGTGTGTCGTTGCAACAGATGTCACGCTTCCAACTCTCACCCGTTCCTTTATTATGTCAGCATCTTGCCTTTGTCCTTTTTCGGGACTGGTAACGTCACATCTGTCATCCACTCAGCCACGCCCGGCCTCTCGATTCCGCATCTTCTGCCGACCGGACGCTGGGTGTAAGTGAATGCAATTTAGTTTTGACCTTGTTGGCCAGATATTTTTGCTTACAGTGCCCACCCGAAGCCCCGCGATGGGGTCTATGTATACATATTGGGCCCACGCAAATCAGGATCGTCATCGCCTCCCGGCCCATGATCGTTTACGCGAGCTCATCAACCTTGTTCCCATTTCGGGCCCCCAGCTCGCAGCACAAATTACGTTGGACGGCGACATGCAATAATGTGCGTTGGCTCGTACTTTGTCCTCCACACATCCAGCGCCCACCTGCGACAGAAGACCCATCGCGGCGCGTTACGGCGCCAATCGATCATCGTGCAATGTGACCGGCCGAAGATGCCGAAGGCCTAGACCCGCCTCCCGCTCTTAATTAATCAACGGCTGGCATCCACACGCCCCGGCGCTTTGCTCTTTTGAGACACCAGTCCTGGAGGCACGCCTGTAATTAGCTCACCCCTCTCGCCTTGCTCCACCTCGACAGCCTCGACGACGCGAATAAAGTGGAAATTTCATTAAGACAACGCACAGGAGGCACGTCCGTCACTCGGCCCCTTGCATCATTTAATTATCGACGCCGATCGAATTACAGCAAACGACAACCAAGGTCAATTCTTCCTTTCTCCTCTGAAATGAAACGAAATAAAATAAATTTCGGTCGCTCAAGGTTACATGAAGAACTCAGAGCTCTATTTCTTGACGCCTCGCGACAGTCTCGAGGACTCGCGTTCGTCGTTCGAGCTTCGTCGTGCACGACGCTGATCAGTGAGGTATCGACGTACGTATACCCTTTGCGATAATACCGGCATTCTAACGACGGCATCCTGTCACCTTGTTTCCCCCTTCGCGATCGTCTCGCCCATCTCAGCCCAAATTCAATGACCCGCCACAAACCGGAACGCCTCCGTCTCTCTGCAGTATCTCGTCAGAGCTTGACGTTAGGTTCATGTTATGTTATCTCTGGCCTCATCGGACCGACCTCAGCGCGCTGACGCCATACCTGTCACTGTCAAGTTTCGATTCCAATGCCTCTCTCATCCCGACTCGTTCCCTCCTTTCTTCTCGGGTATCACATTCTCTTTCAAAAGTAAAACATGCGATTTCGAAATGACATATCGCCTTTCCTGGTGAGATTACACCGTTCACGGTCGTTCTCCTCCTCCTGCTATCACGGGCTATTATCTCCTCGACCGAACGCTCATTATATTTCCTACCTATCTACATGCTGGCGCCACATCATTCCCATCCCATCTCAAGTCTCATCCGGAACACCACCACCACCTCGTAATCTCGTTGCCGTCCTATATGTGCACCGCAGGCCATTGCCTGTCCCCATCTTTGATATTCACCAATACCACCTGCGCCAGCTATAGATGTTACACGTCGGGGTCAACGCCATCAATTTCGATCAAACGCATCATCCTGTGCGCTCGCATCTAGAGCAGATATATAATCATAAATATGGGCGGTATCCTCCTCACCGTGGATTTCGTGACGGCCGCGACCTGGGTGTCTCGCCGACATCACCTCTCGATACTAACGAGTGGAAATCGAACCTACCATTGATCGGATATGTTTTTTTGGATCCTTATCCACATAAGCACACCTGAAACTCGACTTCCATGACAGGCCAACACCAGCGACGTCAGCGGCTGTCTTTCGTTATCCGGCCCCCTCCCAAATTGATAGACCTACATCCCCGGGTCTGAACGTCAATTCAATGACCTTACGACAATTCTGCTCTTCTTACGTGCCTGACTGCGAGCTCGCGAGCGCCTATTCCACGGTCTTTCTCGGCACATACCCTCGCATCACGCAAAAGCCCTGGGCGCCTAGGCGACGAACGCGGATCTCTGGGGCTGGAGACGATCTTTGAGCCTTCGGCTGGATGTTCCATTCTTGGGACTTCATCTTATGGACATGCGGTTCCCGGGCGCTATTTTTGTACTCTGCTGGGTTGCTTGCCTCTGGAGCTGACGAGCCCGAATCCGGATCTGGCGGTGACCTCATGCTGGGGGTATGAGAGGGAGATGACGTGAGGGAAGAGGGATCCGATGCTGTCGATATTTGCCCGTGGACATTCGATGGTGAACATCAGCAAATCCTGATTTTGAGGGTCAAAATGACCTCGATTTCAGCGTTACACCGCGTTATGGCGCGTTACGTAGCCTGCGTAACGCGCCATAGCGTTGTAATGCATCTTCTTATCTACCGAGATGGTCCCCAACTACGGAGTGCTACATGCCCTCATATAGCACTCATAACCCAACCAGGAATTGCCGATGAAGGTTGATTTGGGAGAGATAAGTAAATAAGTAAGTAGGTGACCGGGCGGGTCTACAATGTCAACGTCTGCGCTGAGCTCTCCTCCTCTGTCTATCTGCTGTCTTTAATCTTTCCGCTTGAGACTGACGTTTGATACGATGTTATACTTACCCGTCCTCTTTCGCGGGGAAGACTTCAGGGGGAGACTTCGAGGTCGTCAGCTGTTGGGTAGGTATCTCCTGACACTACCACGACTCCCTATTTGTACGGACCGGGATATCGTTGGATTCATGACACTTCGGCTCCGCGCTATGTGCTCCAGTTGGCCAGTTCTTCAGGCTCTCGAACCGAGCAATCCTAAGACACTCACTCCGTGCGGCCACTGAATGTCATCCATATGTCGACGACATCGTAACTACGACCTGGGGGCAATTGAATTGGCTAGCAGATATGTGTCGCCGACGTTCGCGGTCCTTGTGTTTCGGAGAGCTCCCCACTTGGTCGTTATTTTCTCCTTCAATGGAGATCGCCCATATTCGAGGTTTCGCAACGATATTTCTCCGTCTCAACGCAAACCAAATAAAGTTGAGGGTCTTACGGTATAGACCAACCTTTGGGTGTTCCAGCAAGCGATATTTACTAGGTTTGAACCGCTCTGAACGCCGTGCGACGGTATAAGTGGCTCGGAAAGTGTTCGAGTAATCCTGCAGCTCCACGTAGACTCTCCCTCCGGTAGTTCCTTACGATAGACCTTACGCTCGACGCGAATCTGATATTGCCAGACCGTCCCCGCCCTGGTTTGTGTGATGTATACCACTCCTTCTTCGTCACATACTTGGAGGATACGCATCCAGGGCGATCGAGGACGATGCCACCGTTGTTCCATCATGATCATCCTTGAACAATTTCGCAGGTGTTCATGCTGTAGGAGAGCTCGGAACGTTGTCTTATGGAAGCTGGATGGATCACAGACTATTACAGAGTGCATTCGGGTTTAAGGGATTATTCTCGCTTTGGCACTATATATTGAGAGAGATGGTCCTTCAACCTAAGCGGCCGCCGGAAGGTGCCCACTGTTTCGATTTTGATGGAGCGGCGCCTATGGGCGCCTATTGGTCTGATGGGTTATTAGCCCCTGGCATCGTGATGCCAGAGACAAGAGATCATGGAAACGAGAAAGAAAAATTGCCATGGAACCTTACGAGCAGTGCCGGCGTGGCGGAGAGGGTCTATCTCGTGAACTCACGAACATAGCTGCTTCATTCAACAGCTGCTCATACCCACGCCCAGATATTAATAGATCCCTGTACATTGAATCGGAGAAGAATCTAGAACGGCTCCGTCCGCATGCAACAATAAAGGGTTTGCCAAACCAGTACGCAACCCCCACGAGAACGGAGATTACGTCGTTTAGACTAGATTATACATAAGACTTTCGGCGCAGCTAGATATTATCACGTTCCCCGCATATCTTGACCCTCATTTGTACTCACATCCGTGGGCGCTTCTCCCATATTAAGCAGAAATGAGCCAAAATACGAATGAAACAGAGAGCAACGGCGAAAATAGGTATTTTTTCTCGGTTTATGGAGTATTGCGGAGATTCGAACGTCTCTACAGTCGAACGAATGCACTGGAACCTATTTCATCAGGACCCCGACGAGAATCGTGGCCTGCCTAGATATCATTCTTCTGTCTTGGTTCCGTTCTGTGCTAACTATGAGGTGCGTGGCAACTTATTACAGCCCATCCCGATGTTGGATCCAATTCTCGGCCACAGGAAGCAATGAAGACACTGATCGCGGCCTTCAACGTCCCAGAACTCACGGAACTCCACAAGAGTAGCGCGCCCGGTATGATATCTTTGAAGTGCGGGATCAAGAAGCCGGACGGGGAGATGTACGCTTGGGCGAAAGTATCTCCTGAGCATTGGGAGAGAGTTATCACGCCCGCAGACGATATCAGCGTGTTTGTGAAAGCCAGGCTTCCCGGAGGTGATCAGCCTCAAGAGAGGCTCTGGCGTCATCGACGAGACTCGGTAAGGGTCCAGCTTTCTATACCTTGTTGCCTGCTCATTGGCGAGAGAAGATCAATCGCCCGAAACTCGTTTCACTGAGGTGCGAGGGCGTCGAAGAGGGTCTGGTAATTCCGACGCCTGCAACATACGGTGTACGCATTCGAGTCATATCATCAGCGGGAATGTTCCACTTACTTCGAGCCGTAGATGCTACGCCTGAATGCTTGGGAGGTGTTTGTAAAGCACAAGGATAAAGCAGTGGAGGATGTTCGTCTTCTGGTGCACACGTTCGACCAAGGTCAAGATCATGGAGTTTGGTCGAACTTTTCGGAGTCTGCATACGAGCACCTCCTTGAGACGTGCCCTTCTGATACATTTAACATACGGGTGAAGTTCTAGCTCGGTGGCGGCTTCCATTTCTGGCATACAGCCTTGTAAGTTGTAGCAAATTTTTCGTCATAATTTCATATTAGTCGATGGCGTAAGAGAAGCTTTTGGATAAACGGATGCGGCCCCCGAGAACTCACGGTCAATTCCTCTGACAACTTAGGGATAAAATTTCCCTCTTCGGGTATGTGCAGACCTTGAGCGGAAGCTTGCGCCGCAGGTCCGTGAAGACAGCAATTCGGAGTTCAATGATTCGGAGATATCCTGATAAGCAGATCGCTAGATAGGCGCCCAGCCCCGACGGAACTCAGCTGAAACCGCCACGTCCCCAGCTCTCGTTTCCAAGAATTACGGCAAATTTTTCATCACACGTGGACGATATTTCATTATCCCAGTCCAAACTCTCCCTCAACACCTTTCCAAGGCAAAAACGGCGGCGAGCATGGCCACAAAGTCAGGTAACACACTTCGACAGATTCTTACGCATACCGTGGACTAACATCCGCCTATCTCCTAGAGCGATCGCTTGTCAGCTTGTTCGTACTTCAAGATGTCGGATCATACGATTATGACTCGTCTGCGCTCGTTCCTTTCTCCTTTGACTATGAGGTCAGATTTCTAACGCATTCACGCTGCCTTTCTACGCTGAAAACATTTGCCATAGGTTGTTCTATCCTCGGCTTCTCACCGTCTAGGACGCGAAGAAATATACCGCACCTACATGCAACAACACCGGGGTGTATTGCCAGGCCGGGCTCTTTTCCTGAAGTGCCGCGTTCGTAATGGGAATGGCGAAGACATCTGGGCTGTAGTCGGGTCCACGGACTGGTCAAGCATCGTTACGCCCAACGACGAAATCGGCATATTTTGGCACCAAGCTCCAGGAAAGCCAAAGGCAGACCCGCAACCGGAAGCGCAGGTAAGGCTATTCCTCCCGTCGTTGTTATCAAGCTGCAGATTGCTTTTGAATTTATGGACAGGATGGAAAATCGGAAACGAAATCGGACACGAAAGTCAAATTCGTCTCGCTAGCAGACCACCTGGGTAACAAATCCGTACTAATTGCCCTTTCCAAAACCTTCGAGGTGCGTCCGCGTCATCAGGAGGGAATCATACATCTCACTTGTTTTCTCTTTGTAAAGGAAGTGAACAAAGCAGTGGAGACCCACAGAATGAGCTGGCTCCAAGGCACCTATCTCACGGCCCGTGTTGAAAATGGGGAAGGCGGCTTAGTGTGGCCAGCAGTCGGGGCAGAGTTCTACGATGATGCTGTCAAGACATCCCAGGAGGAGATATTGCATCTGAGGGTGATGCCTAGATGGTGATCGACGCAGAGCAGAACACCATTTCGTAGATAAGATCGAACTTGGATGATGAGCTTGAAAGACAGTCCAAGAGATATACCGTCATTCAGGACCTCCAAACACCGCGAGCAACGAAGAGATTTAAATCACTTTCGATTCGCCTTTATTTCATATCAATATCAATATCAGTATCATATTATATCCTACAAAGAACGAAAGCTGAAATCGAAACCGAAACCGAAAATAACAAGAAGGCCGGTCAAGAAAATTAGAGCGAAGATAAGTATTGTAAGATATCGAGACGTTCGTTTGGATAAAGCACCACGAGTCGTTCGTGAAGCGTACGTGGTCATAAAGGAGCGGAGTGATTAGGGAAGTGGGTAGAGTAGTAGGCAAGATGGAGCATATTGGAGCATATTACATTGCGTGGCGATGGATGAGGGCGGAGAGGACGCAGGACGCAGGACGGAATATTTAATTTGGTTTGCGGTTCAAAGAAGGAAGAAGAGGGAAGGCAAGGAATAACGCCGGGTCCAAGAATGCGAATAGAAATTCCAAGACAAAGAAAGAAAGAAACTTAACATTAAGAAACGAAAACGCACCCCTTCTTCGAACTTCGCCGGTGTCTTTATCTTTATCTCCACCTTATCGTCCACTGTTTCAAGCCTTCCCGCCAACGACCTGCGGTTGCGGCACCTGCACGACCGGAACACCCGCCACCGAACCCGTCGTCGAGTTCGACCCACCCGGAGGCGGGATCAACAGCGCCTCCAGCCTCTCCTCCAGGCCCATCCCGAAGCCTTCTCTCTCCCACTCGCCTCCAACGTTGTCCAGCAGCGCGATTGACTCCCTCTTTCCTGGATGTGTAAGCCCTCCAGTGGCACCACGAAGACTTGGAGCTCTGCTTCCGCCGCTAACGCTTCCGTTGGCTGCGTTTGCAAGGGCGTTAGCCACGTTCAGGCCGCTGACGCTAGGGATGTGCGGTGGTGGCTCTGATGACGAGGCACACGTGGTCAAAGAAGAGAGAGTTTGTGTTGACGATGGGGTTGAGGAGAGAAGGTCAGAGTAGGACATGAAGGATAGCCGCTTCTTGGCAACGTGGATGGGCGAGGGTGGGTGTGAGGCTGTTGATGGGGAGAGTGGGAGAGTTGGCTGTAAAGGCGAGACGTTCCGTGCAGAAGATGAAGGCGATGCTTGGGCGGGCGATGTGAGGGCACTGGGCGGAGGCTGCTCGGCGGTAGTATTCATAGGCGCCCCATCCTCCTCCACGGAGTAGTACGCGGACGTCGGAGTGACGATCGAAGGTGTTGTTGCTGAGACCCTGCCGCTCGAGCTGTTGCTGGCCGAAACCTGTGTAATTGTCAGCTGCGTATTGCTCGTCTGGATCGTCGGCCTTGCCGATCCTGGCGAGGATGCTGCAGAAGACGGTGCTTGTGGCGATGCAACTGCAGGAGGCGGTGGGAGGTTGTGGAGCCCTAAGACCGACGTCGGGGATGCGATGGGAGATTGTGACGAAACTGGGAGATTGAGGACAACGTCCGCCCGGGTCTGCCCCGAGGTAACCCTCGAGCCTATCGGACTCGGGCTGCGGCTTCTGAAGCTACCGATGGGGCTCGCGAACCCGCTCGTCCTTCCGACCATCGACTCAAACACCGACGCAGCTGGCGAAACTACTGCCACATCTTGTGCGAGATCGTCGGGTTCGGTGTTGGCGAGGATAGATGCTGCGCTATCGAGGACAGACGGCACGGATTGCTCGAGCTGCTCGGAGCTCTTCGCTCTGGGGACTCGGTGCGGGTTTGGCGGGTGATGGAGAGTATTTTGAGGTGATGGTAGCACGATGGGTTCGATATCGCGCTCAAAGATGGCGGAAGATGAGGAACGGCTGTATAACGAATAAAAGACGTAAATTTAGCTGGAAAAGACCCGAAAGAAAAGAACGAGGGCGTACACGGAGGTAGGTGACGATGGAATCGAATTTGGAGATCCTAGTCGAGCATCCGCCGTCCGTAGATGCTGCGACTTGTTCCCGTGTCGTACATCCCTCGTTGGCGAGCTGAGGCCTGGATTTGAGGTCATATGGCGGAGGTCGATGGGCGGTGGTGGGGATGTTGGCGACGTCGCTGTCGTTATCGTCAGTGAGGTGTCTTCGAAAAGTGCCACCGGCACTCCTAGGAAAAGTTACTTACGACGAAGGGAATCCGGGGACGAGTTTGAGGCCATGTTCGTTGAGAACGTACAAAGGATTCCTAGAGTAGATGGGAGTTGGGAAGAGAAGACGAACGGCGTGTCTGTTGTTTCAAATGAACACTGTCGCTGACGTAATGTTCTCCACACGGAACAAGCAACGAGATCGTTACATCTCTAGGACTACCCTCATCATCTATCTCGACATTTTCACCTCAACAACGCTGAAGACCTCACATGCTCGACTTAGGAGACAACGCAGCTCGGTTGAGGGGAAATCATCAGACCTCATCACCTCGGTCTGTTCAACTTATGGATCGTAACTTTCATGTCTTATCTCACTGATTCAACAGCCTAACCTCAAATGAGAGAGACAATTAATAGGCGAATGGATTCAACAGCTGAAGGTATCTATCGAATTATTTCCCGTGGATGTGTATTTTCTGATGACTGTAACATTCTCCAGAACGTTGTACACCGCGCTCATCGGCGCAGCTCCATATTTCGTTGAAATGGACTTGGAAACGCACGGCTGGACGGGCTGCGCAGTCGAAAATGTATCCTTCGATACGCCGCAGGATGCTTTCTGACTGAATCCCCACCGCAACGCGCATTACTCATCTCGTTTCTCGCTCCTTGGCGGCCGCACCTGACTCTTCCTCCTCGAGCAGCCCTCACTTTGTAGTTGTTTCTACCGCTTGCTATGTCTTTCTGCGCCCTGTCAATGGTTCTGCCGACTCTCTGAACTTCTTCTCTCTCCTACCGAACCTTCCTCCCCTCCAAATCGCCCAGAACACCACATTCTAATCGATACCTCGTCCTGCAACGGAAACCTTCTCTATCTTTCTTTCAAAAATCGGCGAGACCTATTAAAATACGGGAAGCATCACGGGCGTGATGCAGAAACGAGAAACGGCCCTTTCGACTTGCATCACGCACGGCCTTGCATCACGCCCTTGTTTTCCCAACGGGAAAATAATGAGCGAGCGCACCGCACAGCGAGCGACGCAAGAGGACTCCCTCCTGTGAGCCACACGACCGCCCCAGAAGGCCTCAGAACGAGCCATTCAGAGGTCGAAGGAGGCCGCACGAGCGCTGCACAGAGGGAGGGACGAGGACCCTGCCACAGGAGCGTCGCACCACAGCTCAGGCCAGCACCGTGCAAAGAGGTCCCACGGCTCATTATTTTCCCAATGTGAAAATAATGAGCGGGTGCGGGTGCACGATGGGGGCGACGTTGGGCACAAGTATAGGACAACAGAGCAGATCCCCTGCCACTGGAGGTAACGCGCGATAAGCGCATCTGCATCACGGATCGTGACGCAGATAGCGGGAGGGGCCAGTTGGCTTGCATCACGCGAGCAGGTGAATCATGCATTAATTTCCCATTGGGAAAATGACGAGCGCACCAGCCGAAAACGGGGCGGACCGAATAGGAGCCTCTTTCAGCTCGCTGAACCAGTAGATCGATGAAGAGACCCCAACTCGAACTCTTGGAGGTCTTAGGGTTAGGGTTAGGGTTAGGGTTAGGGTTAGGGTTAGGGTTAGGGTTAGGGTTAGGGTTAGGGTTAGGGTTAGG